GTCGTCCCTCCATCAGCAGTTTGATGATTTCTCGAACGAAGTCTTGGTGCTGCTTCGCTTGCTCTGCCAAGAGCAGTTTGACTGTGTTGACGTCCATGGTGCGTAGATCCTGATCGCCAGTTGTTGTGTTCCTGATCGCCAGTTGTTGTGTCCTTGTGAACGAGCCAACGTAGAGAATATATTTATTAGACACAATATGAATAACTGATTATTGAGCGTAAAAAGGGGTTTTTATATCGCTCCTATGAAACGTGTGCCACGTGGTGTGTCACGTGACGTGTCGAGGTCACGGCTCCAACATGAGTCTTGTGGCGATTGATCCTGATAATTCAAATTTGAATTTTGCCAGTACACCGTACCACAGATAACCTGCGAATCAAACTCACAAAAAAAATCGACGGCTCGTTTTTTTTTCGTTGTAGTTTCAAGCCGAAATCTCGAACCTGGTTTCCTGGCATTTAGCCAATTTTCGGCAGTCTCGCAATATCTAGCGAATAGTAAACGATTGAAATGACCAAAAAAGGGAAAATATGTAGTCGTTCGAAATTTGCTCATTTCTTCCTCGTCGTTTTTTTTTGTTGGCTCAACTTCAATTTAATTCGCTGACTTTTTCGCGGCTACTACTCACTTGTTTTGCGTTCAGCAAGACCAACTCGAAAAAAAAAATGAACGAAACGGGGTGATGGTTGGGTGCAATTTGATAAATGGCGATATGAGTTGGGCGAACAAAAAAATCGGGTGCCTCTCAAAATTAAATAATTGAATGAACCCTGGGGGACAATTCAACAAGCACAGAAAAAAAAAAACAATGCCGCCCTATAGAAAAGAAAACGATGCGTTGCATAAGTGATTTTGTGCTCAAATTGGTCCGAGGGGAAAATGAGCGAAGAATCACAGAAACAAACCAATTCAATGCACTTTTCTTCATGGCTCGTTTCAGAAAAAAAAAATAATAATGGCATAAAATGAAGAATTTTGAATGCAGATACGAAATTTCGCGAAAATGTTGCACTTTGACGAATCTTGAAAAAAAAATGATAAATTTTTCATTAATGATGCTGACTTTTTGGCTGAAAATTCAGCCATTTGAATTCAAAATAACAAACTTCGTTTTGAAGATGAAAAAATCGAATTTGAGAAAGAAACAGTGGCTCAAAATCCTTTCACGATGATTAAAAAAATGTGGAACAATTCGAAAAATTGAAATTAAATCATCTGCTCCCAAAAATATATAAATATATTGCGTTTAAAATGATGATAAAAACGACACATGTGGGCAATTCCTCATTTTTTTTTCTCAAAGTTTACAACACATTCTTTTTTTTCAAAAATAAACAAACAAATTCGATTTTCGGCGAATACTTTTTGGCCCGAAAAAAATCGGACCTTATAAGGAGATTTGACATGAAGGGGGGGGGGTTTATTATACTTTATAACAACCACAAAAGTTTTGATCGAATTTCGAAAAATGAAAGCAGTCGACCGAAATTTCGATGTCGAATAATTTATAAGTCGAAGAGTCTAAAAACGGGGCGCTCAAAATGAATGGGCGGAGTGGGGCCAACGAAAAGCAGAGCGAGAAACGAAAAGAACTTGAATCAAGCGTACAAATGATAGATGAAAAACGCTGATTTAAAGGACTCTGGGGATCAGAAGACGCCAGGATGGAATAAGAAGCCCCTGAGTTTTGGTGGCGAACCTACAGGGTGTCATTTAAGTTCCCGCACAACTTTGAAGACGTATATTTCTGAAACTAAAGGTCCAAATCAAACGAGACTCGAAATATTTTTTATCTATAGTATAACAAATATTTATCTATTAACTCTTTTCGATTCGGCCTCCTTTCGGAGCTATGACTTCACAGAGACGCATCGGGTAGGATGCGACTGTGGTACGCAGGTATTCGATGGAAAGATTGTGCCATTCCGCCAGTAATGTCTTCTTCAGAGTCTCTACACTTGAGTGGGGTTTTGCGTTGACCTTCTCCTGCAAGACCCCACACGGAGAAGTCAAGCGGGTTCAGGTCTGGGGACCAATCAGGCCATTCGGATGACTTGATGAAGTCGGGAAAATGGGTCTGGCACCACTCCTGAGTAGTTTTGGCAGTGTGGGCGGGTGCTCCGTCCTGTTGAAAGACCCATTTCTGCCCAACGAAATGCGTTTGGGTCCAGGGCATCACATGCTCCTCTAAAAAGTCCCGAACGTAGACTTCTTTGTTCATTTTCATCCCCTGATCTGCAAAAACCAGGGGCGCTTCCCGGTTGAGCAGATGGCACCGAAAACCATCATACTGGCAGGATGTGAGGCTCGATGTATTGTTCTGCTTTTCTCAGAAGCTTGCTGGGATGTCTGGGCAAGTACTCGATGGTTTTGTGAGTTGAATGCCGCCTCCACAGTGAATAGCTTCTCGTCGGAGAAGACAGTGACGAGATGTTCTCCAGACTGCGTGCGAGCAAGAAGTTGTTTTGCTTTTTCGAAGCGTCTCTGCTTGTTGACGGCCGATAGAATTGCCGCTTTTTGGACACGATATGGGGTCAGTCCAAGCTTCGTTTTGACGATTTGTTCCATAGCGAAGATGCTCATTCCCACGTCTGACGCCATCTTTCTCCTGCTCCTGTGGGGGTTTCGCCTGATCCTCGATTTGACGGCGTTTATCTTCTGAGGAGTGGTTACTGAGACGAGTCTTCCTTGTCTGGGACGGTGACTGGTCGTATTTAGCTCCTTGAAACGTTTGATGGTGTCGCAAACCGTTCTACGAGGCACAGCGAGGCGTTCAATGATGTCTCTCGGGCTCACATTTTGCTTATGAACTTCGATAATGGAAGCGCGATGGATGTTAGCCTTCGCCATTTCTCGGAAACACATCCGAAAGAGGTGAAACTTGGAAAGTAAGTAAAATATACCTTATTTAACAAAAATAAATTGTATTGGTGCACGAAAAGTGCGCCAGCCAAGCTCTTCATGGCGTCAAACTTTTGTGCGGGAACTTAAATGACACCCTGTATTTCATCAAGAATTAATGGTCCCGCATCGAAAAAAAAACATTTTATTTGCCACTCACTCACTTCTCACTTTTTCTCGTTTATTTTTAAATGTTTTTTTTTTTAATTTTATTTCAAAAGCCAAGCAACGATTTGAAACTGATGTTTGGGCCGGTGTGAATTCGTTTCTCTAGGGACCACAATAATATTTTTAGATTCTCGTCCTACGGTATCGCGATTGATGAAGAGACGGCGCCTCGTTTTTTTCTACATCTTCTTCTCTCGTTTTTGCGCACAAAATGAAACAATGCAACGAAAATGGGAGGGCATCAGCGGATGGACGTCGCATCATGATTGCACAACGTATGAAAGCCTTTTTGAATAATAGAAACGCGATCAAAAAACTATTGATGATGATATTGTCGGCGAACGACAGAAAGGCCATCAAATTCGCGAGATCAGTGTAGATTTAAATTTATCATTGATTGAAATGCGCGTACACTATAATGCAATGTACGCAATCACACTGCCTCGAGACGCATTGGCACATAGCCACTAATTTTTTCGTTTGGCTCCGACAATATTTTTTGCAAATTAAAAACCAGCCTCAATGACGAAGGAAATCGATTCGAGACGGTTTGATTGAATGTGTGCATGAGTGAAAATATTTGCAGAAGCTCGTAACAATAAAAGCAAAGCGACCTTCAATGAGAATTATTGATTGAAATCAATTTGTGGTTTTCTCATGGCTCTGCTTCAACGTTCCCATATAATGACATTCAAATTGAATCCTTGCATTTCGAATTATGTCTAATAGATTAAACGTTTAATAAAAAAGTCCTCCTGTGACATTAAAACAGGAATAATAGTATCATATTTGCGATGAAAATTTTTATAAAATTCGCGGAAGTCAGCAAGAATTCCTATTTTGGCCGCAATTCATTTCTTGAAATTTTCGTAATGTATCAATATTGTCGCCTTTTGTCGTATCCTACATCAATTATTATCACGAGGAGCTGTTTTTGGTATCAAATATTTTTATTTTTTTTGCGTACAGATTCTTTTGGAAATCGGCAATCAATTGAACCGGGTTCCTATCGATACAAGCTTTTGGTTACCGAGATAGGGACCTTCAAAGTTTTGGATTCTCCTCACATGAATTTTGCAAACAAAATTTGTGGTACAATCTCAGTTGAGCCATCCACAGATAACATGGCCGAACAGTGACGGCCGATCTTGTATGGCCGAAGATGGCTAATTGAAATTTGTTTAGCAAGGTCCAAACCAGCGTTGCACGGAATTCCGTGTTCCGTCAAAAAAGTGAATTCCAGTATGAAAAACGAAAGATTTTCGGGAAAAAAATGTTTTTATTGATTTTTGTGCGTTCGGTAGTAAAGTCCGCAATGGACATTACGCAAAAATGAACAGATTTTTTAAAATGCGTTCCGTTGCTAATCTGCGTTATTACCAAATTTGTAGAAGTTAATGAAGATTTCTAATTAGAAATTTGAAAAAAAAATCAGGAATATTAGGATATAAGTAGGAAAAATTAATTGCAAATTGGTTTCGAGAAGAAATTCAAATTTTAAGCCGCGTCACTGGTTTAATATTCGAAGTAAAATCGAAATAGGTGTGAGAGACAGCGACTGTCGCCCGATAATATGTATAGTATATGGGATATACCTCATTTATAAAGAGACCCTTCAGCCACCATTCGATACTCTTCATTTGAGTTCGTATGTTCTGCATGTACCTGTTAATCCCGTCGGGGCACGAAAATCGATATTCCAATATTACGGGCCTAGCCTGGTGTAACCATGTAAACAATGAGCACATTTTTTAATTCCTATTATGCGTGTTGAAAATAGTCGGAAACGTTTTATTATAATTTTAGACAGCTATAAGCTGAAATCAATTTCGTCAAAGAAATGAAATGTACAATTGAGGAATGGTAAAGCGATGTGAGAATTGTTCGATAGTTCTGCCGTTTTCAATATAATATTAAAATTTAAATGATAATTATGAGGTAATTATGGTGGCGTTAACAATATGATTCAGAACGGCAGTGATATCAGAGGGATTCTCTATCTTACCAGCTTGTAGGAATCGAACAGCGAGACTCTGAAGATCAATGGGAATCATTATCCAACAAATTGGTGGTCAAAACTACCTGACACTCGAGCAACTTTCTTTGGAAAAGCTCATTGTGCTCACGGAGCAGCTGGCATTCCAAGCGTTGCCGATGAATTGTGTGCTCCAAACTGGTAACATGAGTTTGAGAATCGATTGCTTCATTCTGAAATTATCACTTTATGAAATTAAATATTGCCGATGAATTACTTGTAGAATATTGGAGCGAGATTCGAGATATTTGCATTTATTTTCCGATATCGATAGTTTCGTTTTATAAATCTGCAAATTTCCGTTCTAACGTTGCTCATTTCCGTTGAGATTCGGCTCACCTGACAATCATAGCATTCATTCTTCGGACTAATTGCCGAAATTTCCGAATTCGAGGATGGCGACACAGTCTGGACGGGCGAAATAATTGGCGAGTCAGCCTTCTATAAACCATATAATTATGGGACATCGCTTAATTGATATTGAGTACCAATTGATGGAAAGCGCTTTGTTCGGATTTGATGCTGCTCGTCGAGCATTCTGGCGACTCCGATGACGTTCGCTCATTCTCACTTCCACATTTTGTGTCGCATGCGAACAATGGAATTGTTGCTGCAAACATTTGCAAACGAAATGATACACATATTCAATTTGTGGTGGCGAATGAATGAGATCCAATACTCACTGGGTATCGGTTTCGGCAGCGAGGCGAGCCATGGCGGTGTTGCCGGAGCTTCTTGAAAACTGCCGACCATCATCGGACTAGTGGCAACCGGCTGCGAGTTGAACACTACTGCAAAAACAATACGCCATTTTGGCATTATCAATCGAGTAGCGTTTACCGGAATACGGATCGCTGACACATGGATGATAGGTGCGATTGATGACCGAACCGCGTGTGGCATCACTGGCCGATTGTAGGTGAATATGGAGAAGTGCCTTTTCAGGGAATGCCCAATTACAGCAGCGGCACATGTACATTCGAGAGACGTGATGGCTATTGAACATATGGCTTCGAAGGGTCTCGCTGTCTGAAACTCAACAAAATATTCATTCAGACCAATATGATATTCAGCGAAATGTTTTGGATTTGAATGGAAACCAGCGGGATTTTTACCAATTTTTTTGCAAATTCGTTTTCCTTTTGGCGATTGATATTTGGCGGCTCGCAATATTTCGACTTTTCGCTGCAAAATTCGGCACACATTGCTTTTGGCCACCGAGAATATTCGGCTCAACGTCGACTGCGACATTGTGCGATTACGCTCGGCCATTCGGATGAGCTGCACCTTCTCCTCGATCGTCAGCTCGTTGTACGGCTTTTTCGACGTCGTTCGCATTGAATTCGACACAATATTAGGAATATATGAACGAAAATCGTCGAGAAAGGTGTTGGAATCTCGAGGTGATAAGCTTGTAATACCGAAAAACGAAGCCCACCGAATGGAACAGGTTGAATGATGATGATTTCGAGGGGCAAAAAAAAACATCCGCGTTTGTTCAAACAATACTGTTTGTCCGAAATTCTCCAAAAATAAACGATTTCAAAAAAAATTGAATTGTTTCCATCTTCTTTCAGATACTCCGTTTTTGTCCCCGCTAACTATACATTTAGTTTAATTCGATGGTTGCGCAATTTGAGTGTACCAAATGAGTGAATGTGTTATTGTTCGCGCCCCGGATGACCCAAATACATGAATACCGTCCGAATGGATAAACAAACAATTGTGAAGGACGGCGTTTACGGGGATAGTTCAAAGCTATTATTGAAACGCTAATTACTTCCAAAGTTCATTTACAATATTCATAAATCGAAATTCAAATTTATTTAAGAAAAAAAAACAGAGAGAGGGAAAAATATCATAGAACGCAAATGCGATATTTAAAAACAATTTTTTTAATATTGAAAATTGTGAGAAAAACGATTTCGATGTTGGATATTTTCAGCATTTTGATATATCGTCCGCAATGATTTCAATTTCGCCTTTTTTCAATATTTTTACCCTTTTTTCTAGTCGCACTTTTCATTTTTATCTCGGTGATCTAAAATATTGAGAGTGAGCATTCAAAATGCTCAATTACGTTAAAAATTAGTCGTCGAATAAAATGCATAAAAAATTTTTGAATAGAAATGAGAAAAAAATGTTCAATTCTAAACAAGAATTCTCTAAAAATAAATCAAATGTGCGCAATTTGGCGTGCGCGTGTATGCACACAGTTTCCGATGCTACGCGCATCGCAATTATATTTTGAATTTATCTTCATTTTTTTGCTAGTAATTAAAATTTTCTATACAATTAATTCTTACTAATCAAAAAATTGAATTTTTTTATCCGCGACGTAAAAAATTTTTCCGATTCACAAAATAAAAGGTGTCCATATGATATATGGGCATGTCGAATTTATAACCTGGTAAATTGATTTTTTTTTAATTTCAAATATTTTATTCAAAACTTGAACTGATCCAGTGAGGTTTCAGTTTTTCTCTTCTCATTTTTCCTTATCAAAACCGACTTTGTTCATCGTGCGTATTCTTATCACCGGATTCATTCATTTACTTTTTTTTCTCTTCATAACGAACTTTAAAAACACGATATGATAAGATGTTTAAGAAAAAAAAACTTGCGATAGGAATGCATAATGTCTCCGCCGATGGAAACGTGAAGTCGGCGCAGTTCGATTCGCAAATTCATTGTATAAGAAAGACATCGACTTACTTGAAATATCTTTTCGGCATATTGTGCACTTGTAGGTCTTGAAATGCGACTGCATTCGGTGTCGCGACAAACTCGACGAATGGCAGAACACCTTCGAGCAGATCGAGCAGCGAAACGAGCCTTTCAGATCGGGTCGCTTCAGCTCGCCGCTCTTCGACGAGCTCTCCTCGGTGCTCATATCATCGTCTTCGGTCGTCGAATCCGCGCACTTCTCGACTTTGACCGACTCTTTCGACGATTGCATAACTGAAATCGAACGAGAATGCGATTACTTCGGATCGGTCGAGGAAGAGGGGGGGGGGGCGAATGATAATGCGGGAAGATGGAAACGAGGTTCAGCAAAAACCGAGTGTGCGTGATGGAAATTGCTTGGTAGCCGCGCCGTGTCGAAACGCACAATCGAGGGCACCAGGTCGCGTCATCGGTAGCCATTCGGATAGCGGCCTCTTGCGCATCGCCGGAGGGATGAGATCGCTTCGAGAAAACCAACATATTATTATTATTGCGAGAGGCAAAATAGTGCGCGATGATTGGAGACGCAGAGAAAGAGAGAGAGAGAGTGCTGGTTGCGCAACTCTCGATTTAACCTACTTTGACCTCAGCTGCGCGGGTTTCAATTCGACCGCCGCCGGTGGCGATTTAGCATGATTTCGAACAGAACCGGGATATCAATGCCTTACCCTCCGAGTTGCTTTTCGTGTTATCAGATTTTGTACTGTCTGGGTCAAATCGAATAGTACGAAAATAATCAAATGTAGGAGATGAGAAGGGAATGAATGAATTTTTGGAATCTCATTACGAAATAAATTTTTCGCTTTAATCGTTAAAAAAAGTGTTACGTAGAACGGGATTTGAGGAAGCGTTGATCAGATAAGAAGATTATTAAATAGCATCGTCGCGGCAGTACAACAATCATAATTTGTTTAATTGAACCGTAGCGTTCAGGGCTGCCCTGAGAAAAATAAAATTGTAAAGTTAAATTTAGGCTTGAAATGATTTTTGCAATCCGCGCGCTTTTTTTTGAATTTTTCATATTTATTTTTGACCAAAATATGCTAACCCGTTTCTAAATTATGTAAAATATTCCGAAAAGCATGAAATCTTTTATTATTTGAATAAAAACTAAGGAAATAAACTGTAAAATTTAGATTTATTATTGTTAAATGAAATGTGTGCAAAATTGCGCATATGTGTACACACACTATAACTGGACGAATACCGTATCCGCCCATTTAAATTTTTTTCTGTTTAGAGATTCAATTTTTTTTATGAATTATGTTCTTCTGAAAACTACCTTCACTCCTAATACAGTTTTGTTTAATGGCGCGAAGATAACACTTTGTGTTTGCTTGATATGCATTCAAATCGAGAATTTTAAAGTTATTATTATTGAGAGACTGAATTGTCCCTCTTGGAAGGCATCTACCTTCGACAGTACTTCATTTGCAATTTTTTTGTTGATTTTCCTAATATTTATTCCAGTTAACAATCATTGAGCTTCACTGATTTTGATGGTTTTTGCATCGAAATAGAATTTTCTAGATGAAATATTTGTTTTCGTCCATATCAAATTCCACACCTATTTTTGTTTACGATTCCGGCGCTGCTCCTAATAAACTGTCGAATTTTGGAAAATAAACATTCCAAAAAAATTGCTATAAAACAGCATAGATTCTTCAAAAAATGTCAAAGCGAAAATGAAATTGTTCATGTTTTTGGCAGCAGTCGTGTGCTCGATTCAAGCAATCGACCGCGATCTGTTCCCAGCGGCTCGCGAAACGTTCGGCAGAAATTTTGACGATGTATGATTTGCCTCCAATTTCAATATTTCGTTTTATTTCTGGTTTCAAGGTTCGTCGTGAAGGCTCAAACGACAATTTGTGTTGGGGATACTTTGACGGACACAACGGCTATGGATTCTATCGATCGCCGAATGGAGATAACGCCACTGCGCAAGCATTCAAGGAGGCTTATGGCATGCTCCTATATATATACTATACATACATATTGCGTATTGAATTATTTCAGATATCATTTACAGCAGCTCGCTTGCTCCTGCCGAGATTCGCGCCAAGTTGAAAGCTTGGAAGAAAACGCAACCTGTTGGCGTCGTTTCCGAATTGAAGAAGCAAAAGCACCAACTAATCGAGGACCACAAAAAGCTGATCTCGAAAGTGTATGAAACGATCCAACAACTTCCGACTGCTTTCGAGAAGGTCATGGCCGCAATGAACCGCAAGCATCTTTCGCCGCGTTCGGCGCTACATGAAGCATACGCATATCTTCAAAAAATTGATAAGAACGTTGCGATTAGCCTATTGAATGTGTTCGATGTTCTTGGATGCCCTCTGCCGGCTGATAAGAAACCATAAATATTTATTATTATTTTTTTTTCGTTGTAAATTATTGAGCATCGTTAAACATTTTATACTGTACAACAGACAAAATCCAACGAATATGGTGCCGGGTGTCTTTCTAAACATGGACATCGCAATGCGTCGCGTATGGTTTGCTGAAAAAATTGATAAGAAATACTGGAAAAAAATCACGGCAACTCACGTGTGGCCTAGGAAAAATTTCCAAAAAAATTAGGTTCGGCCACGGCCACACTTGATGAATGAATTAATTGAATAAAGTAAAACAAAATGAGTACGTATATATTTTGTGTAATTTTCTTTCAAAACGCATAACACATAAATTTAAAAATTAGTCTGTGATAGTTTAGCCATTTTTGTAGGGCGCACTCGAGTTGCGGCGAGTCGTGCAAATATTTTCGAAATTAGAAAGCCCCTCAAATTGTCTTAAAACCATTGGTCATATTTGTGGCGGCACGGGGCCGGCCGGGCTGAAAATTTTTCCGAAACCCCTACGAAATTCTGGTAGAAAATGATGTGGTTTGAAAATAAAATCACATTTAATTTAAGAAAAGACAATTTTAAAGATTAATTACGCTAAAAGTGTGGTATTCGTAAACGCGGAGTGTCGTTGCGGCTCTGTTGGTGTCGTGCAATATCGCAGGTATCCAATTTTCAATTATTTTTAAATATTTTAAACGTTCGAATTTAAATATATTTGATTAAAATTTTAATAAATTCAATAAAAAAGCGAAGTGAAAAAATTATAATTTAACGCGAAAAAAAATGAGTTGGGCCTATAATTTAGAAAATATCTAACTTTTTATTAAACTCTTATTGAAAACTGCGCCAAAATTTCTAAAAAAAAATGCAGTATTTAAAATAAAAAATCCTTGGAACTTTTGGCAAAATAATTATTACTTTTATGAAAAGCAAATGAAATAAAAGAAAATGTGTGAATCATCTCGTCACAACAACAAAAAATCATACCGGTTTCGGGCAAATATTCCGCAAAAAATGACGAAGACTGCAATCATTAAATGGCACGCAAACGTTGATGCAAGAACAATCAGTCATGTTGAATTCCATTTGCGATTTTTGCATTTTCGTCCATTTCGGCTTTAATTCGAATTGGTGATTTGAACAAAATGCGAACAATACCTTGAATATTGCGATATAAATTGCGAATCCAATGGCCCCAACCGAATTTAAAGCAATTACTATAAGGAATATAATAGTAACAGTGTCGTTGCTCTCGTTTCCAGCATTATCCATGTGAATGACATGCGGTTGCACACTGACGTTGCGCGGCTACTCACCGTTGCCATGACAACCTCATTCCGGCAAACACGCTTTGACTCGAACTTGAATTCAAATTAAATGTAATGAATCTAATCAAACGAAATTTTAGCAAAACTTCTACAAACTGAAAACAGAATTGTCAAACTTTTTTGCTAAAACCCTTGGCTACTTATTATTTATAATATGTAGAACCCGCTATAATGTATTCACCGCTTCAATTATTTATTTAAATTAAGTATAATAATGCAAACAGACAAATCGGTTGGTGTTTAGAATAAAGTGACTGGTCTCTTCTCGATCCATTCCTTCAATTTCGGAAGCGAGTAAATCTTCTTTTGATAGTTGATCAATTCTGGCTCATTCACCAAATCGTTGAATTTATTTTCTTGAAGTGTGAATAGATTGTCAGCGATTATTAGATCGGCAAAAGTAACGCTGTCTCCGACAAGAAATCCTATAAACACTTGATTGGTTTACTGAAGCTTCTGAAGACTTCATACCTGATTTGCTCTTGGCAAGGAACTTCTTGAGATTGCCGAAATAGGCCTCCTCAGCCGGCTTGTAGACTTCATTGCGGATCTTTTCCTAAATTCCATTTTATTTTCAGACATTCGCCCATTTACATCCAAAAAAAACTTACAATTTCCTCGGCTGGCTTTCCATTTCTCATCGGAATCACAACAGCTCTGAGAGCATTCATAAAATCTTTGAATAGATCAACGAAAGCATCCACCCACGCTTCCTCCTCTGGAGTTTTGCCGGCAAATCCTGAAATCGTTTTTTCAAAAAATTCGATCATCCACCAATTAAGTACCAAATTTGCGGGCCACATATCTCGCAATCGCAGCCGATTGCGGAATTTCGAATCCATCAACAGAAAGGACTGGAAGTTGTCCGAGAGGAGTGCCTAAAACAAATACATATATCAATTAAATCAAATCTTATTGGTTTTCTTGACTTACTTGGCTTGAGCTTTGGCCAATCACCGTTATCATTGCTGATTCTCACATCCTCGAACTCAACACCGGCCATGTAGAACATTTGGCGAGTCGATTCCGCCAATCCACGTGCATCGAAATACGTCAACTTGTAATGCACCATTCTGAACGCAATGAAATGAGATGAATAGAGGCACGAGGAGGGGCTTTATATATGCGCCAAATTATGGTCTCTGATTTCGTCGTGAGGTGGTCACAAAATATTGTGACATTGGACACAATGATGATATTGCGAAATATTGTTTGCAGGGGGTTTCGATCAAAAACCAACAAATGTATGTTGCTGTCTCACTCGGAGACCAAACACAACGGGTTCTGACTCTTCTGATTACTTGAGGAAGGCGAACAAATTATGAATAAATATCAAAATGTCGGTCAATGCCAAATGGGACCAAGAGGGGGGCAAATGGCAAAAGTGCCCAATTGGGGGCATGAAAATTGAACCAAAATGAGAATTTTGTGATAAACGGATCCGATTGGTTTCCACAAAAATTCTGATGGAATCTGCACGTTCCCTAGCGAAAATGAGCACCATCTTATGTATCCATTCGGTGCTAGCAAAAATGGCAAATTTGTCATTTTTATCCTATATTGTTGGCGTCAGGCGTCGAAACGGAATTTTAAAAAAAGTGCCTCGAAGCAGAGAGACGTATGTGTGTGTGTGTCTGCGTATTCTGAATTTTAGCGTGCTGGCATTTAATATTTAGCCGCGCGAAATTCGTAGATCTACACTGGATTTGAATTTCGCGCCAACGATAGGTCATTTGAAGACGGTGCGAAAATCTTGGAACCTACATATAAAAGATGGCTCAAAAAATGACTATTTCGATTATTTTGCATCCCACAGAATAAATCTATTTTGAAGAGATTAAGATGAAATGAGTGTTTTGCGAAATTTTTTTTCTGATTGGGTGACATCATCTCCAACCTCTTTAAGTCAAACTAAATTATAAGTTCTTGTTTTTTTACAAGAATGCGATAAGCCTAGTAAATCGACAAGAATATGTTCAGTAGTCGTCGGCAGCCAACTGGAACCATAAAAGATTTATTTCAGTAATTGATGAAAATAATTAAATCTATGTAAATACAAATTATTTTCAAAAAATGAAGCTTTTAATACAGTTTTAAGTTGTTTCAGATTTTGAGGGGAAGATTATGCCGTTGAGAAGAAATTTTACAGAAAAAATGCTGTCGTTCGGATTGCCAAATGAAGGATAGATTTTGTCGAAGTTTTACTTATATTAGATTGCTTCAAAAATTGTCAAGCTTTTTCCGAAAATTCAAAACATGGACACGTGTCCACTCATTTGTAACTAATTCAGTCTCTCTCTCTCTCTATTTCTCTCTCTCTCTCTCTCTCTCAAGCAACCAACAAACCCTCGGCCGTACATACTTCGCTTTGAAATGACCATCGAACAACGAAAACGGTTACTAAGCGACCCAATGGTCCCTGGGCAACATTAGTCGCCTCGTTTCTTTTTACAATTCGTGATTTTTCCAGAAATTCATGTCTAACACATAGGCGAATATGGTCAAAAATGGCGGCGAATCGATTCTGGTGGCGGTTCGCGTTCGGCCGTTCAATGATCGCGAAAAAAAAAGGAATTGCAAGTGCATCATTGAGATGCCGAACGAGCAGACGACGGTGATCAGGTCGGTTGTTGAGTTGTGCTCACGGCTTCATCACAATTCCAATTCAGAGATCCGAAGACGAATGAAGAGAAGAGATTCACTTATGATCATTCATATTGGTCCCACGACGGGTTCGAGGAGAAGAAAAACGGATACTTCGCTCCTACAGACTCGCATTATGCCGATCAGGTAGTCTTCAAAACAATCTCGAATTCAACTCATTGATTTCTAGAAGCGCGTGTTCGAGGATCTTGGTCGTGGAGTTCTCACGAACGCCTGGGCTGGATACAATTGCTCGCTGTTCGCTTATGGTCAAACCGGCTCTGGAAAAAGTTATTCGATAGTCGGATTCAAAAACAATAAAGGAATTGTTCCAATCGTTTGCGAGGAGCTTTTTAAGCAAATTGCCAAGTCGAAAAAGAAAAGCACGCAGTATGAAGTATTTGTGTCAATGATGGAGATTTACTGTGAAAAGGTATGAGAGTTGTACTCTCGGATTTCATTTAAAATATTCTAGGTTCGAGATCTTTTAAGCACAACTCCACCGCCGAAAGGCGGATTGAAGGTCAGAGAACATCCAAATAAAGGATTTTATGGTATGCGAATGACGTCAATAAAATACGGCTCACGTGTGGCCTAGGAAAATTAGTCGACACTTTCGAAACAAAAATACCAGTGCGGAACACTACCACAGGCTAATTTTCTAATTTATATGTAATTGTCTTTTATTTCCACGAATTCATATACGAATTCATTTAGTTCTACATAATTAAATCAAGTAATACATCAAGTGTGGCCGTGGCCGAACTTAATTTTTAAGGGCATTTTCTCTAGGCCACAGGAAAAAAAGAGGAAAGAGCCGTTAAAAAATAATTATGAATAGGAAAGTTTCATGAGAATTTACATATGAGAAAATGAAAATGTGCAAAAGATTTGAAATGTCACAGATTAAACGTGTTTTCAGTCGAAAATCTGACAACCGTTCCTGTGAATTCTTTCAAGGAAATTGAAGCAAAAATCGATGAAGGCACAAAAAATCGAACGATTGCAGCGACAAATATGAATGCGACGAGTAGTCGGTGAAAATAATTTGTTTCGATGTATTCAAAAATATTCAAATGGTTGTAGAGCACATACGATTGTGAAAATTACGTTTCATCAGAAGTCATCGAAGAATGGCGGCGGAGCTTCAATGAAAAAAAGCGAAATCAATTTGGTGGATCTTGCTGGAAGGTCTCTAGGAATCTATTCGGATAATCATATAATAATGTTTCAGCGAACGGCATTCCTCTGCTGGTACCGAAGGAGATCGATTGAAAGAAGGAATCGTGATCAACCAATCGCTGACAACTCTTGGGCGTGTTATCAAGGCGCTTCATGACTCGCAGAAATCGAAAGGATCGAAGAAGATCCAAGTCCCTTATAGGGATTCGGTGTTGACTTGTCTGCTAAAAAATGCGCTCGGTGGAAATAGTAAAACGATTATGGTTTGCTTATTTTTTTATTAAATATTTTGAGAAATTTGAACAAAAAAGCGTTTTGGGTTTTCGGTATTTCGAAAAGTCGAGATCGAATTTACTAATTTAAATGCGGTGAAATGTAATAAATTATATATTCGTTATATAAACTCATTTGCTAAATTTATTAATCAAATAATATTGTCGGCGTCAGCCGGATTTCAAATTTATCGTTGACTGAATTTAAATGCGCGTACGCTATAATGCAATGTACGCAACACATTGGCACATAGCCAATAATTTTTTTCGTTTGACTCCGATAATATTTATTATTAATTTTATTAATTAGGTGCAAAATCCCTTTTTTTCATTAATTCAAATCTCTAATTTTTAAATCTATTTTTCTTTAATTAATTATGTGAATTTGAGATTGCGGCAATTTCGCCGGCTGACATCAATTATGAAGAAACGCTTTCAACGTTGCGGTAATTTTTCAGAAAATTTTTATTGAAACTTTAATTTGATTTAGATTCGCCGACCGAGCCAAACAAATCAAAACGAATGCAGTTGTCAATGAGAATCAAACCGAAAGAGCACTTCGAGAGCTCAGAGAAGAAAATCTTCGACTACAGAGCCAGATACAAGGAAGAAGTGGAGATGCGAGTCAGGTAAAGCGATCTCAAGAGAGCTATGAATAAAAATCAAATCAAATCCATATTATTAAAATATTTATAATTTCAGGAAGAAATCGAGAAACTTCGCCGACAATTGGCTGAAAATCAAAAGGAAATGGAGGAAATGGAGAAGTCGTGGCAACAGAAAATCGCGGAAGAAGCCGCAAAGCATGCTAGCGGTGCCAGCGAGAAAGCTGAAATTGAAGCTAAAAAGAAGAAGATGGCGCATTTGTGGAACCTGAATGAGGATCCGGCACTCACCAACGTTATTGTTCATTTTATACCGGATGGTGAAACTGTAGTAGGCAAGTGACCGGACTTGTTTGATGAAAACAAAATTTAAAAAATGATTCAGGAAACAAACCTTCAACATCAGGCAATTTTATACAAATGTCGGGACTTTCAATTCTACCTCAACATGTTCTTATTAGGAACGAAAATAACAATAATGTGTATATTACACCGTGTTCATCGGTACACCCAATAATTGTTTTTTTTAATCATTGATTAGTATTTTAGGAAGTCGAGATCATCGTCAATGGCAAACGAATTCACAACGAGACCCAAATTCAGCAAAATGATCGCATATTCTTTGGCGGAAATCATTTATACGTGTTCAATAATCCTTCGAAGAAAGGCCTACGAACCGATATTACTTATGAGAAAGCACAAGCTGAAATTGCACAGAATCATGCCATTCAGCTTGGAAATCGGAACGGAACCAAAAGTGAATCGAAATTTAATCCTATGTTTTCTATATTTTTCGTTTCTTTAGGAGATCTCATATTGGAGGAAGAGCTTATGTCGATTCTTCCATTAGTACAACGGGCAAATGCAATGGCAACGGAGCTCGGTAGAAATGTCAAATTTGAGATTGTGCTTGTCTCACCTGAAATGCGCGGTCTCGCCGAAGGCCTTACAGAGGTTTTTTTCAAAATTTCATCTCATATTTATGAAATTAACAAAAATATTGATCAGATTTGGATAAAAGTTCACAATGTAACAGAAGATACATATTTCCTTTGGGAGAAGTCGCGATTCATGAATCGCTATTACGGAATGCAAGAAATGTACGAAGCAAAAGTTGATGGCGCGGAGAATTGGAACATGCCCAAGGTTCGTGGATTATTTTGGTTTATGTAAAAATTAATACACTCGAATTTCTGAATTTAGGAGCGTGATCCATTCTACGAGCCTCCAGATTCTCCAGTCTTCATTGCTTCCTGCATCGTCTTCCTTCAATCGCTTGCATATCTCATCGATTCTGAAGAACAGTTTCCAATTGTTGATTTGTCAGGTATTTATAAATGTGTACTATTTTTAGTGTATAGTATAAGATTGATTGAAGGTCAGGAGATTGGACTGCTGACTGTTGGCCTCTCACCGTGCTCGACAAATGGAAAAGAATTACGCGGCGAATACGTCGAGAGTCCGCGACAGCTCGTCGGCAAAAATATCGCGTTCAAAGTGAAAATTCTGTCCGCCGTCGGACTCCCGCGGCGAATTATCAAATCGAATTGCAAGTATCAGTTTTTTGGCGAGAAGGTGCCGACAACGACAGCAACGGTTTCCGGAAATTCGCCGGCGTATGGTCATGAGAAGACGTTTCAATTCAAAGTATTGAATTGTCATCATTCGCATTATTAAATTTCAAAATGATTGCAGCCGGTTACAAAAGAATTGGCCGATTATTTGGCGAATGCGAATTTGTACATCACTTTTTGGGGAACGCAACGACCGCGATCGTTGTCGCGAAAAAGCAGCGCGTCTACAATATCGAATCACTATGTGGAAGCACCGAATAAGACTGTATTTGAATTTTCAGCGTTCAAAATGCATTCCTAATCATTTTAGAAGCGAATTGAAAAACTAGTGGCGAATGCGAAAAGTGCGGACAATCGCACGATTTCCGTGAAAGCAATTGATACTGTCCTTCGTGGTCCTGAAGACATTGAGAATAAGTATAAATTATTTTCATAAATTGATATTTTTATTTCCTTGTAGGAAACCTCGAAAGTCATCGAGTAAAAAGGCGTCGGCGAAAAGTCGGAGTGCTTCAAGGAATCCGAAGAAGACGTCAGCAAAATCATCTTAGAGATTATCTAGTGTCAAATTGTGATACATATAGTATAAAGGCATTCAAATAATTGTTCTATATTTGGAATTTCCGTCTCTGAATTAAATCCATTAAAAGATCACCGAAAAACCGAGTGGTTTTCGAGAAAGTGACTAATCTCTCCACTTTTTGTTCCATTTTTTCACATTTTTTTGGCAAACACAAATCAATCTGAAGAATATAAACCACACTTGAAAGATTGAAAGTTGAAATTTGCCGAAACCCAAATAACGAATCGCATTCAAATATTGAGGTATACAGGTTTTGCGGTATTTGACCGCTTACGAATGGCTACTCCTCCATAAAATTAGCATAGGCAAACAATCATTGAAAACCCAAATAGGGCCTACCTGTCGATTTCGTTTCATTTTTTGTTCGCGCGATTTTTGGCAACGTTTTCCAAGATAAAAAGTTCATTGAAAGATTACCTGTCATTGTTTTTTCGCGCATTTTTTTTCGCTGCGAGAACCATCTAATATTTTGCGCAAATATTGACTGCATAAGCGCATAATATTTAAAGCGAGTGCGAAGTGAAACGAGTTCAAGTTTCGTTTGGCAAACGGCATGAGCAAATTACTTGTGGTGCTCATTTGCACGGCGAACGCGGCGATTTCCAATTACTACGGAATTGGCGGCGGCGTTGAGGTGAGATTAACAAAACAATACAGTGCGTTGCAGAATTATAAGGCCACCCCCAAATTTGAGCGCCCCGCAATGATTTCGATATTTTGAGACCAACCAGTGTGAAAATCGTGTTCAGCATGAAAAATAACCTATATGTACCTATTTTTATGTTAGTATTTTCAAAAGTAACCGCGCAATGGTCCAAAACCGTTTTTTCGAGCGGTGCAGAATTATAAAGCCACCCCCATGAAATACGTTATAAACTCAAAAATAACGACAGTTTAATGTTTAGTGGCACCTCCATTTGAGGTAATAATGTCAGAAACACGGTCTGGCATAGATTTGAGAAGGTTTTAAACATATTGGGTCGATTTAGATTTGAATTTCTGCTCTAACGTCTTCCATTCGACTACGATTTCGGTTTTGAGCTCTCCAACCCCGAATTTCCTTCCTTGGCCATAGAAACGCCGTACTAACTCTCCCCAGACGTTCTACATGGGACTCCAAAAAGGAGAACATGATGGCCAATCGAGAACGTCCACACTGTGAGACTGAAGCCAGTCCAAAGTAGACCGACCCACATGAATGACCGCATTTTTCTGTTGAAAAAGGACAATAGTGACGTCGGAATGGAAGAAGATGGCTCTCAAGAACATTCTGATAATCCGAAGAGTCCACCCTACTCGTCAGAAAAGCCAATTCCAGAAATCCGGCCTCCGAAAACGCTTCCCCCCTAATATCACGCTTCCTTCTCTAAAATTGAGTTTTGAAAGCAGGAGGTGATTCTTTCATAACTCGGGCCAGCAACTGTTATAGCCGCCTGGGCCATCCAAATTATTTTTTTTTTCATCGGAAAAAATAACCTGTTGAAGTTTGAATGGCTATTATTCACAATATTCTCGAATATAAACACCTTGTTCCAATCCGTATTCATGTTTTTGAATGCGAACTCAAGGCGTCGAATTTTATGGTCCTCTGTGAGTCGCGGGGCCGGCTTCATTTTTTCTCTGGCGATGTTGGGGGTTATTCTTGATGGTTCCCCAAACTGTCCACTTGCTTTTGTCGAAGTTTAGCTTCTTCTTGATGTCATTTGTAGACTTCATACTGCTCGAAGCTGCTCGAATGCTTGCTCGATTAGCGAGATAGTCCAGTTTTCCTCTGGCGCCTGCCTTTTGCGACATGTTGACACGAGTTAGATCCTTCACAAAGATGTCTACGAATGTTTTCGGACCATTTTAATTCTTCGCAACCCGACAGTTCGACCATCCTGCCGTTTTGAATGCGGTAATCTGAGATTGCTCAGAAACACTAAGACAGCGACCACGTGGCATTTCAAAATGATTCAAAAAGTGAAAAATAAGGACCACTGTAGGTTCTGAAAGCCACACAACAATTTTTATGCACACTGGTCCCGCCAAAGTTTCAAAAAAATGCGAAAAAGTCCGTTGTATGGGGGTGGCTTTATAATTCTGCACCGCTCGAAAAAACGGTTTTGGACCATTGCGCGGTTACTTTTGAAAATACTAACATAAAAATAGGTACATATAGGTTATTTTTCATGCTGAACACGATTTTCACACTGGTTGGTCTCAAAATATCGAAATCATTGCGCGGCGCTCAAATTTGGGGGTGGCCTTATAATTCTGCAACGCACTGTATATAGTCGGGGGTCCGGCGACTGCTGTACGCGGGTAGATTTACGGGGATGCGTCTTTCTCTTGGTCTCACACGGACAAGCAAGTTATTTCAAATTTTATGGAGACCGGCTCGATAATTTTTTAATCGAATGACTTTCGAAATCCTAAAAAAAATGCGACACGTGGCGAGACCCTTTCAAGGCGCTTGCGCGTAAATCTACCCGCGTACAGCAGTCGCCGGACGTTGACTATATATATATATATATATATATATATATATATATATATATATATATATATATATATATATATATATATATATATATATATATATATATATATATATATGAAAATGTGTGAAGATTCGCGTTTCGCCCTTATGTCCGCAGATGCATTTGAACACCTTCAATAGTTTTGTCGAATTTGATTTTTTTTTCAAGTCGGAGGCTAATCTTCACATAGTTTCTTTGATATTTCATCCCACTTGAAAAAAAAAAGAATTCAATTCAGCCGACATATTCCTACGGATACGGTAGCAAAACTGAAGGGAATTACTGTAGTTATACGCAAGAATGCGTTAGCGGCTTAGTGTGCACACCGTCGGTGAACGGCTACAAGATCTGCTATAGACAGCAGAACTCGAATTATCCGGGAATCGGGAATGGTGTGCAGGTACTCTCGCCCCCCCCACCCCCGTTGTAATCGCGTGTTCTGTTTCAGCCGAATTTTGACAATAATAATAATAATCAGGGGCGTGAAGGTAGTTACTGTAACACGAATCAAGATTGTGCGTATGGTTTGAGTTGTGTGCCGTCTGCTAATGGCTACAGAATCTGCTATCGTCAGCAGAATTCGTATTATCCGGGCATCGGCGGTGGGGTCGAGGTGCGCGTCTTCACATCAAAAGCTGGTCATTTCAAAATGAAATTTGAACGATTTTCAGCCAAATAATAACTATAATGGAGGCGGCGGCTCAAAAGCCGAGGGAAGTTATTGCAGCACAACCCAAGAATGCGCTTATGGACTTCAGTGCACGCCAGCAGTGAATGGCGTCAAAATCTGCCTGTCTCAGCAGAACATCTATGATCCGAACGGCGGAAACACTGGATATTGTGGATCAGGATGTCCGGCGGGAACCGTTTGTGAGAATATTGGCGGCGTCGGGCGGTGCCAAATTCAGGCCGGCGGAAATGTCGGAGCCTCGAATCAGGGTATGGTCAGGTATCCGTCGTCGAATGGAATCACTGTCGGATAACAAATGTCTCCTATGTATAATTGTGTGATGTCAATAAAGACGTGTATCGTATTCAATCGTGCGTGTGCATGTGTGTCCATGTGTGTTTGTTGAATCAATTCGCCGCCTCAACGATGATTGCAGAAAAACGAAAAATGAAGAAGAAGGGTCTGAATGGCGCGTGCGAAATGGACGCTGATTGTCAGGATCATTTGTTCTGCACTTTGTACTTTGGAGAGATGATGTGCAGGGTAAAGACCTTTTAAAATGTTCCAAAAAATCAGAAATTTTACAATCAATTGTCCGCAGATTAGTTTATACATATCATCATTCCATGAGTGTTACTTGAGCTATCAAATCTAAATCAATTATAGTTTCAGTTGCCGGTCAAATCGATAATTCCTTTGCGTTGCGAGACCGAATCCGACTGTCCCAACTCAAACTATCTATGCGTGTTCAGCACTGCAATGCAAGACCGAGTCTGCTATCGATATGGTGATGTCGTGACTGATGGCTACGTGATCCCGGTGAAACACACATCGACGACACCAGAACCGACGACGACAACGTCCGACGACGACGACGGAATGTTCGCGGAGTCGATTGCGAGATTCCAGGAAGAGCAGAAAGAGATTGAGGATATTCATATCGTTAGTAAGGCGAGATCGATGAAACAAAACGGTGTGAAAACTGAGATAGAGAAACGAGAAAGTACGCCGAGTCCGCCGACCTATATGAAGATGGAGGATCAGGTGCCGGACGAAGTGAGCATCAACTCGACCACCACTGTGTCTGATGAGCCAATCGATCCAGCAGCGACGATATGCGAATTCGATTATCACGTGAGAAGCCAGTTTCAAACGAGCGAAATCGAGAAGATTTCGATTTTCAGTGTAGAATGGGTGAAAGCTGCTCAGGAGTTGTGAGATTCGTCGACAAGGTCGTTCATGTATGCCGCTATGATATTCTGAAGAAGCATCGCCAATGCATTTATCATTCTGATTGTCTTTCGGGCCAAGTAATCAAAACATTGGGTGCTTGAAAAATTCGAATACTCAGAGATGCATTCCGAATCCGACGAAAGCCGACCAGGCGACATGCGAAGTTGACGTTGAAGCGACACTGGGGAATGTCGCGTGTATCTACGACTATCAATGCTCGGGAGGTGAAAAATGCACAAAAGTTGACGAGGTGAATCCGAAAATGAGTTTCCCCGCAATTTGAAAATTATTCACGTTATGGACCCTATTCATGCAATGGAAAAAATTTTTTTAATCAATACTTTTTCATTTGAATTCCCTACACACGTCGAAAACCACAAAAAAATTGACACGATATATCGTAATTCTCCGCTATTTATTTTCAAAGGCGCACGCGAAAAGTTGCGCGGGTCACATCGCGAAGTCGGTACTGTACTTTTTATTTTTTATGCTGCGTGTTATTTTTTCCGTATTTTTTAAAAACTTTGAAGAGGAAATGTGTAACAGATTGACGAACGAAGAAAAAAAGCAATGATTGGAATAAGTACTTCTAATTCGACAATTTTTGTCCATTTTTCTTCATTTAGATACCAATTATTATGAGAAATAATGATATTTGTGTTTATTTAATGATGACTTCGCTGAATGACGCTTCTGAAGAACCATTAGCGTTGATTAAACAAAATACGTTTACGCATTTCCAAAAAAACATTTAAAAACTCTTAAAAAATAAAAAATTGAAAAAAAAAAGCAGTCATTAAAACGTGACAGTACTGATATTCGCGTCGTGACCCGCGCAACATTTTGCGTGCGCCTTTGAAAATAAAAGAAAATTACGATATATCGCCTCAATTTTTTGTAATTTTTGATGTGCGTGCATAGAGAATTCAAATGAAAAAAAGAATAACTTAAAAACAATTTTTCTTTGCATGAATAGCAATGTGTGCTCTCGGGAGAGAATTTCCCGTGAATTCCCTAAACTACCCAGAAACAAAATTCTCGAGACTCCCGGAAGCACCGAGAAATTTTCGAAATTATTAGCCTCGGTACTATACGGGTAGTCGCGTGTACGGGAACCGAGAGTCTCGAGACTTTCTCGGGAATTTTTCCGAGACTCCCGAGAATTTCTCGGGAGTCTCGGAAAATTTTTCTCGAGAAAGTCTCGAGACTTCGGAGAAAGTCTCGAGAAATTCTTGCAAGTCTCGGTACTTTTTGGAAAGTCTCGGGAGTCTCGAAGACATTGTCGAGAGAAATTCTCTCGGTACCGGTTAATTTTCTCGATTTTTCTCGAGAATTTTTTCTCGAGAGCACACACTGATGAATAGGTCCATTACAGAAATTCATTTGCCGTCCCCCATCGACATCCGATCCAAGGACGAATCAATTGTGCACCACAAATGCGCAATGTCCGTTCCAACAGGTACGAATTTCACTTATCAAAAAGGAAATAATCCCAAAAAATTGCGAAAATAAAAATTATTGCAGGTTTGTCGTCGTTCTAGTGGCATCTCGATGTGCATCGACGTCGCCATGTCGAAGCAGCCGCACCTTCTCCAAGAGCGCGTCATCCAATTCATGCGAAATGTCCTATTCCGCGCACTTTGATTATTTATTGAAGAAATTCGAAAAAACATTTATTTATTATACCATAATTATATTAATTTATGCTTTTTTTTTCTTTTTTTTCCCAATGTTCGAAAATTGGTGTATTTGAAACCGCAAAACGTCGCCATCGCTTCATTTTTCTGCGAATTCGAATCCAATTCAAGCGGCCGCAAATTTTTGGTTGCATTTATGATTAATAGCTGCAATTTTAAAATCTATGCAATTATTAATTCGAAAACTAATAATTCATGTTTTTCCATTAGCGAATATGTTGCTATCGACCCCCTATCATTTGAATTGTTTCGCCGAAACGTCATCGTCGCGAGAACCCAATTATTTTGGATACGGTAGAAATTGGTACCATAAAATGACGAGACGCCAATTTTGTTTGAATCATCCGAAAACCTTTTGGAGGGGAAAACAAGTGATGTCATCTAATTCGGTCAAACCTTTGAATTGTTAAGGAATTGGACTATGTGTTGAATGTAAAAACATACGGTTTAGTTAAAATTTCTCTGCGAGACCCAGCTGGATCATCTACAACGATATCTATCCGGACAGTGTTTAAGGGACCATGTCATGTAGTGGAAATGAAATATTTTCCTCAGACTCAGCTATAGACATATTCATCACCAAGCTTCTGGCTTTCCACGACGACTAGAAGCATAGCAACGAGTCAGCGAACATGTCCAACGGTCATTTGGTTACCGACACCGGTAGTCAAATGTGCGTTGGGGTGGATTCGATTTTCGTCAAAAAATGACAATCGAGGCTATGACACTGCCTTATGGATCTATTCATGCAATGAAAAAAAATCCATTTTTTTCATTTGAATTCCCTATGCATGCACGTCGAAAATTAAAAAAAACTGACGCGATTTATCGTAATTCTCCGCTATTTATTTTCAAAGGCGCACACGAAAAGTTGCGCGGGTCACGAAGCAAAGTCGGTACTGTATTTTTTAAAGGCTGTTTTTTTCGAATTTTTTATTTTTTAAGCTTTTAAAACGTTTTTGTTGGAAATCTGTATTTTGTTTAATCGACGTCAAAAACTCATCAGAAACTTAATCGAGCAAATTCTGCATCAAATCAACACAAAAATCACTATTTCACATGATAATTGGTATCTAAATGACGAAAAATAGACATATTGTCGAATTTGGGGTAATTATATATCTGTTACTCATTTCCTCTTCAAAGTTTTTGAAAAGTACGGAAAAAATAGCACACAAAATGAAAAATAAAATGTACAGTGCCGACTTCGCTATGTGACCCATACAACTTTTCGTGTGCGCCTTTGAAAATAAATTGCGGAGAATTACGATATATCGCGTCAATTTTTTGTATTTTCGACGTGCTGTGCATAGGGAATTTCCAGAAATTTGTTCCAGAAATTGGTTCCAGAAATTTCCAGAATGTTCGCGAAACTCTGGCCGACAAAGCCCGTCTAGACGGCAATTAAATATTGTAGTGTAATTATGCTATATTAGCTGATCGCATAGGCTCAGAAATTTTTGTGTATCCATCTGATTTGAAAACCAATCGTCATGAATTCTTAAGAACCATTTCTTGAATATTGGTAAATGGATCGAGAGCGAAATTCGAATGAAATAGAAAATTGGTGTGTCCGTGAAATGTCATCTGAATTCGTTAGCTGCGCCCAATTTCTAAAAAAAAACTCATAGCCTATCCTGAGAATTCAAAAAAAAGCGGACTTCGCGAGAAATTCAAAAAAAAATTTTGAATGACGCGTGAATAGTTGAATAGTTATTTTTTGGCAATTCTTCGAATTTCAGAGTTTAGCTTAATCGAAAAATCTCAGTTGTCAATGTTGGTCTTCTATCAAGGCTTCTTCAATAATCTCCCCGTCATATGCGTTCAACGGCAGACGTCGGCTGGTCGGAGGCAATTCCATTTCGACAAGACAAATTTCGGCCAGTGTTTCTCGCCTTTTCGGCGCCATTTTTCACATTTTAACGAGCGATTCTCGGTCGTCATGACGGATTGGTCGAGCGTTGAGCACCGAATGAGGCGGAGCATGAGCTGGGCGTGGTCGGGCGTCTAATTGGCAAGGCGTGAAAAAAAAAACAACAACAACATGCAACGAATAGGGAGGAGGAGGAGGAGAAGAGGCGACAAAACAGAACAGCCCTCGAGCCAAATTCGGGACTCGTCATTTTCGGTGGATTCTGCCGCGATGAGTGCCTGCTACCGCCGCAGCCTGATTCCGGCGATCGTTGTGCTCATATGCCTCATGGCGTACACAGCCACCGCTCAACGCCAACAGCAACACGTGTCGATCGGCGAGCAAATGCCACCGCTTACCGTAAGCCCGTGTTTTTTTTTCGCAATTTCTCATCGAGACACTTTTGAGGCATACAAACGCTTCTACTCGTGGGAAGACGCCAAGAGAGCCGCTTCTTTGGAATCCGAAGAGATGCGCACCAAGAGAAAACAGTAAGTCATTCAAAATTTGCCCAGAAAAAATCATACAAGCTAAAAAAAATTGCGAGTTTTCATTAGTTATGATCGTTTCAAAATAAACCATTTTTGGTATCTACTGATTAGGAAACTATTTGAAATTCGTTCTGCCGTCAATCTTACGGGTCGACAAGTAGTTGCAATTAAATCATTATTGCGATTCAATCGAGAAGATGACTTTCAATTCGTTTGACATCTAAATTAGGGCTCTAAAATGTCGTGCACTTGACATTTCATTTAAATGTCAAATTAAAGGCGCATGCTCACAAAAAAGAGGAAATGATTAGAAGAAAAGATTAATTGATGGATGATGGTTTAAGCGACGGCTCTCATTTCGCATTCATTGCTCTTCGAGCACTAGGGCTTATGGGGGGGGCCACATAAATCATTGGAAAGTGAATATATGGATATCACATAAACCATTCATTACAGGTTCTACGCATGGGCTGGCAAACGATCAGTGCATTCACAGCAGCCTGATGAACTCGATCATGTCATGGACAAGAGAAAACAATTCTACGCGTGGGCGGGAAAGTAGATCAAATCATAATTGTTGCCCTTTCGCATTCTCATCATCCTTCAGCCCCCCGTCTCTCTCTCTCCCTTTTGTCTGGTCTTCTAGGACAACGGATTCAAAGAAATTTTCTCGATTAATCGAATGTGTGCTGTTGCCAACGATTATCATTTTTTAAATTCGAAACATTCCAAATAAAGCATCGTTAAATAACTGGAATTGTATGGGAAAAGACGAAGAGAAATTATTAAAATATAAAAATTGATATCGAAGAATTAAAGGCGCACAAATAAAACGAAAGATTACTGTTAATAAGATATACCTATTTTCGGAGTCAAATGACTCGACGAAATAAAGAAAATTATTGGCCAATGCGTCTCGAGGCAGCGAGAAGTACGCGAGACTGCGTACATTGCATTATAGCCTACGCGCATTTTAATTCAGTCAATGATAAATTTAAATCTACACTGATTTCGTTTGACGCCGGCAATACTATATTGCATTTCAAATTTTTATACGAAAAAAGCAAAATGAGATATTGAAATACAAAATTTAAAGGACCATCGCATTTTTGAAATCATTTTTTGATAATTCGCGAAAAGTCGTTTTTTGCTAACTTCGTTATATTATTATGCAGATTGCGCAAGAAAAAATAAAATTTTGAGATTTTCGAGTTTTCTTCTCAAAATCTGCACAGCACCAATAGTCTTTAATTTTCAGAGTGAAATTTTAAAAACTGAAAGAGAGACAAGAATGATTTAAGTGCTTCTCATTTTCGAATTTTTTTCTAATAAAATTGGCATAAGAAATTGAGATGTTTCCTTCAAACTTGTTATAATATTTCATAGAATTTTGCAAAATGTACTTTAATTTTTTTCGTTTGATTCTAACCAACCGCTTGAACTTTCAGAATTAATTAAATTCAAAAGAATTGGTTGAACATCGAATTTCGAGCCAATTTCCGTGCTCCGCTGTTTTCAAGTTGATTCGATGGAAACAAGGAACGAAAAAAAGAAGACTTCTTGAAAAGTTTTAAATCGCTTAATTAAATGATTTATTATAATCTAATGGATTTTGAAAACCGGCATTTACATATTGTTAGGATTTTTTCTTTCCAAAAAGAAAGAGTAACCAATTCTCCCGCTTTGCTTCCGTCCCAGCAAAGCATTATTGCACACATTTCTCGGTCGAATGGAGTCCTCGATCGACTTTTACTTATCCGAAATCGAGCAGCGCGTTGCTGAAAAAAAGGCCGAACTCGAATCGACCCTTCACAAATCTGCGACGGTTCGTCAGAATGCCGACACAATTTCGGGATTCGTTGGCAAGTGAGTTCTTTTATTTTTTTTTTTCTTCAATTATTCCCGCCAAAAAAATACTGTAGAATTTCAATAATGCGCATAATTGAATGGATTCGCAAAAATAAAAAAAAAGTGATGTTTATCGAAAACAAGTCAGCTGGCTATTTGAGGTGGGACAAATTCGAGATAATGGTGAAAAATATTCAAAACGCAATTCGAGAGACGGACGTGAAATTAAGCGAAAAATTGAAGCGATTGGAAAAGAATTCGAGAATGTCGATGCAAGAAGGGTAAGTTTTTGTCAAGGCAAAAAAAGGGAAATCATTTTATTCACTCATTTTTATTCCAGAAGCAAATTAACACATTTATATACAAAATTGGAGAGGATGGTAGAAGAGCGAAAAAACAAAGAGAAAATTCTTCTAAAATTATATGATGATGATGCTGATAATCGTATTATTAGTAAGGAATAAATCGAAAAAAAAAACAAATCCATCTTCCATGTACTAATAATTAACCGCTAATAATTATCGGTTGCCGATACTTGTGCACTCGGTCACTAACAGATTTGGTTGCTACCTCTCGGTAAAACTCTTCGGTATTGAGATCAAAAATAGTCAGCACGGATTGGGCTTCAATTTGAGAGGCACAAATTTTTTCATGACAATTTTTGCCCGCATGATAAAGCTTAAAATAGTATTTTCGTGGACGAATGAAATTGAAGCACCTCTTGTTGAACATTTGAGTTTCCGCCGTGGATCTCGTATGGAAAAAATCCCTTAAAACTAGCCTTTGCGTTTTCTTAAGGCCATAATTCGTAAGAACCTAATTGCGTAACGAATTTTAGGTGAATTGATAGGTAACAAAAATTCCGAACAACGAAGTAGGTTAGTATTGATTAGGCGACCTATTAAACACCAGGCCGTTTATATGGAATCTTCAAATTCATTCTGGTCCGCTGGAATTCACCGCGATTGAACGAAACCAATACATGGCACGGCAAAATTACGTGGACATAAAAAAAACAATGAAACTCGTTCAAATTGACAGTACAATTTATTGAATATAAAAGAATGATGAAATAATCAAAATTGTTCGATTCTTCCTCCTCGATTTTGGATAACCTCTTTCAGATGCTTCGGATGGCACGCGGGTAATTGGCGTCCGATCTGTCCATTTGCGTTCCAGGAGACGTACATATGTCTTCAAAAATTATATGATAATGAAAATCGTATTAGCGAACAAATCAATATGAACAGAAAATTTCTGTTTCCCATGTATTAGTTGTTTCTCCGCTCCTCCTCGTTCACGTGCTCTCTCGTGCTCGCCCCAGTTGTCATGGCAACAAAGAATACTTTCATTTGTCAGTTCATTGCACCATTCCACCAAAATGGCCAAATATTCTCGCACCGACTTCGCACAAGTCGGAACCACAAATCGCGGATGTATGCAAGTGGTCCCAGGTGATAAGAAGAAGGACCAACTGGATCGGGTTCGTCCAATTGTATCGTTTCCAATTTTTAAATATGCTTCAGATAGCGGTTGGTGGCCAGAATGGGTGCGTTATTCTTCTATCAAGGAAGCACAATGACACACAAGTAGGAGATTCGGTTGAAAGTTGCAATCGAGACGATCAGTTCAGATTCTTTTCAAAACGCCAGCAGGGCCAGAAATCGAATCAATGTGCCTTGGAGGAGCCATTGGCACCATAAAAGACAAAATATTTGTGGCCTCTGACACCAGTGTGCGAGGAATTAATCGAAAAGGCAAAACGTTCTTCTCGTTCGACACAAATATGGCAGAAACTGCGAAAAGAATGTAAACGATTGATTTCGAATTTAGGATTATTTAAATCAGCTTTATTAAAGGTACGTCCATGGCGTTGAATTGGTCTTGACTGGAAAACGCAGCTACAATCATTACCATGATTGCGCGGATGCAAACGTGAGATTTTTCTGTAATTAAACAAGTGCAATTAAAGACAATTTTAGTATTATTTGTGCTCGGAAGACATTTTCGATGTTGTGAGTTTGGTGAACGAAGGCGCTTGGGGCGACAGACCATTCACATCGATTCTTGCTTGCTCGGATTCAACAATAAAGGTGGCCTATTCAATTTCTCACCAAAACTCTCCAGTAGCAATTTGAAGGTCATCGAGGGCAGTTTGAAAGCATACGACATCAATCTAACTGATGTGCCTTTAACATTGAACATATTCATCAATGAGAAAAGCGAAAACCATGCGAGGGTCTTGTACGGAACCAAAAATGGAAAACTCGGACTGGTGCACGTGCCGAGCGGCAAAGGCGAAATTCTGTGGGAAATCGAGACAACCACGAAATCGGGTAGAATTCTTGAGAATCGCAACTCAATCAAACATTGCGTCCTACAGCGATTACCGTAATCAAATGTTTTCACATGACAAATCAAGAGGTTTCGGATATTGTGATCGGCAAAGAAGATGGGACTGTCGAGTTGTATACTGTGGATGAGAATGAGAATCCAGTGCTATTCAACACTTTTGTAGGAAGTTAAAAGAAATTAGGGGGCAATGCCAGAAAAATAAAAAAAAATGGAAAAGAAAAAAAAAAAGAAAAAAGAAAGAAATAATCAAAAATATGCGCGTTTTTGATGGAATCGCATCGAGACCCATCGCATAAATAAACGGCATGCGTCTTAACATACTGTAAACGAAAACATTTCATCGAAAAATAAGAAAAAATCCTAAAAATAAAACAGCATGACGCATAGATACGGTATTTTAAGACGCATACTGTTTATTTGTGATGGGTCTCGTTGCGAATACACCAAAAACGCGCTTATTTTCGATTCTTTTTTCTTTTCTTTTTTTGCACCGGCTTTTCCTTAAGCTTTTTTTTTCATTTTTCTTAATTGAACCAAAGCAAAAAAAGAACTCTTAAAAATCGATCGATTTCCAGAATTGTGATGAATCGATAACCGGATTGGGATGCGGGAATGTGACGAGCTGGAATGAGCCCGAAATCATTGTGTGCACATTCAGAGGTTTCCTTTTTTTGGAGACTTTAATGATTGAAATGAAATTTAGGATGGTTGTTTTCGTTATCGAGATCGGGTCGAGTTGCGAGTGAGCCAATTCCACAAGGAGCCAATTTTTCTGTAAAAGTGCAACAGTTGAAGTGCGTCGAATGACAAACTGAATTCTTAATGCAAGTATTGTTTCTTCCAGAGCCGAAGTCGAAGAACTCGAAACGAAAGTCAATGAAGAGCGTCAACGATATGAAGAATTGACGAAGAAATCCGGTGGAACGAATGTTGCATTCATTCCCAATTTTCAGGTATTCAGACATTTTGATGAAAAATAATTCGAATTGATAATATTGAAAGATTCACGATAAATTCGAGTTCAGCCCAGATTTGGGCCTATATAATCTGACAATTGAATTGGTGATTCCAATCGATTTCGTGCTGATCCAAAGCCATTTGCCAATCCGACTCGTCGAAGTCGAGAAAAATGCTTCTGTTGTATGTCAGATTCGTAAAAACGAGCTGGTAATTCGGATTTCTGATAGTTTTTTTTTAATTTGTTGAAGCATTCAGAATCCATGGCCACTCCTCGCTTCTTATCGATGTCAGGCCAATGTTTGCCGATTGGAATTGCGAGTGCGCGTCATCGAAGGCAATTGCGGCCTTTTGAATTTGTTCGTTTCACCCAAAATCCATCCAAAAGTCTCACAGGTAAATCGGTTTTATTCATAACAATTGTTATGCATAGTTAGGCGTAGTTGGGGGGATGATGATTAAAGGGCCAACGCGCAACAACTCATGCAATCTCGTGCCGACGAGTAGAAGCAGCCCAGATTGCAGCCGCAGTTGTCGATTCCGCGTTTTGAATACAACGGCGAATAATTCTGAAAGCAAAATTGTTTTACTATTTTTTTGAAATTCAAATATTTAAGTGGAAATTTCAAGATTTTTAATAACATAATAATAGAGTTTATAGAAAAATTTTAAACTGGATTTTTCCTATCAAAAATCGAGAGACATTTGGGGATTTTCAAGAAAATGCTTGCAATTTGCCATACCATCTCGAATTGTCTTGAAAATGTCTTAAAATGTGATTTAAGAAATCAATAAATTATAGCATTCTTTTTTTTTCAAAAATGAATCCAGTTAAAAAAAAGTAAAATTTAAAAAAATGACATTTTTCATAAAATCGAAATTCAGAAAAATGAATGTTCAACTAACAAGTGATTTGTGAGAAATTTGAAATGTAGAAATAGAAATGTCAATTTCTTCAGATTTTTACAGTACTCTCAAATCTTGTCCATATTTTTAAGAAAATTACTTTGAATGAATTCGGCCACTCGAAAAAGCTTGTAAAATTTTTTGTCGCTACCGAAATTTGGTCTTGTCCGAGAATTGTTTCAAACTTTTCAAACCCGCACATATTTGCTGTCAATTTCGAAGCATTTAAAACGATTTTTAATGCTTAGAAGAAATTAAAAAGTTAAAAAATTACCTGCATTCGTGTCAACGCGTCGAAGAATGGATGAGCATCGACGACGAGCACCAACATAACGAGGAGCAGAATGACGAGCTCAACGGCGCCGCGCATTCCCAAAAAATGAATGAGATGCTTCGGGACGCGATTCGATTACAAATTGTAACAAAATCTCAACACGAAAATCATGGGCGGAGTTTGGCGTCTTTTGTTTCTAATCTACCGTAGCCAAATAATTTTTTTGTTTGGAAATGAATAGCGATGGAGGAAAAAAAATGATTGGGTGGTCGCGATAAACAGGATTAGCTGAAAAATAGAAGATGAAAACGATTGATAATAGTATTCCAGGTCGCATCATACACAATCAAAGCGCTTTCTGCTCATGTTCGTGTCCACAATTTTGATCTCTCGAGACCAATTTCGGTGTTATCATTCACAGGTTAGAAATGCCAGATGAAGCACTCAAAAGGAGAACGGTTTCTGAAAAAAAACCATAAAGGGGCTTTCTTTTTTTCGGTTGGCCTCGATTCCCGAATCCGTAAACAATTTTTTTAAGACGTGAGATTTTGAATATTCGTCAGGACCAAAATTTGACAATTTAATATTATTCAAAACCGAATTCAATCTCAATAATCTCGTCGAGATTGTTCAGGAAGTTTCTCGATATCTGAAGCTCATGCCTGGCTGTACAATCTTGTCCCGGATGTTCCCTTGAAATGCCCTCCAGCTGAAACAATCACCAACAACTTCCAGTGTGCCATTAATGGCGGCACTCAGCTTCAAGTCACTTATTCGTAAGCTCTTCGTTTTCTACCACTCAACCAAAAAAAAACGAATTTGTCATTAAATGTGTATATTTATAGAAAAGGCTCGGCTGTATTCCGTTCCGACAGCGTTTCGACGATATCTATAATCAGAGATCAAATAAGTGACGAAATCCTAAACAAACAAATGCGCGTCGACGTCTCATGCGGTATTTCAATTGTGTCATTTTGTGCGTATCGACATCCCTATTTAGATTTAAATGAGGCCAGCGTCGAGCACTGTCTGAGACTCCTTCACCCAACCATAACCAAATATGTGACGATCGAAACACAGAAGAAGTACGCCGCCGCTTTGAAGGTGCATTTTTGAATGTGAATTGCGTGCACACGTCGGTGCACGCGGTTTGACGTGCACCGCGTCGAAATTCTATCCGATTTCCGGAACTGACGACTCCGATTTCGAAAAACGAAGCATACCAAAATTAGACTGAAACAAATAATTGCAGGAGATTGAGGTCAATAATTCCGATGTCTATTCATTTTTGAGTCCTGAGAATGCCGAAATTCTACGCAATCATGATAGCATCTTCAAAGAGGCCGAATCGTTGTGTCTAGAAGTAAAATCATTCCCGAATCTCCTAATCCCAACTACATTTTTTTAACAGTCGTCGGGAATTCTTCAAATCTACGAGAATCTTCTTCAAGCGCAGGCAAAACTCTCCGGTCGATCAGTCCGCTCAAAATCCGAAGCACTGATGACACTTCTAACCGAAAACTACAATCTCGATGCGGTCATCGCATTCTTCAAAAGCGCTGTTCAAGATTAAATTCGATTTATAACAAGTACTCAATTATGACATGAATTCAGTATCTTTTTTGAGAGAATATTATTCTACACTACTATGAAAACCCGGCAACACAACAATAAATAATACAAGAAAATGGATTGATAGAACTCTGTGTTTTTTGATTGTGTCGTAAGCTGGAAGAACTCGTCACAATATTAGGCATTTGCTCATTTCCACGAGCGAGTTTTTGATATTGCATTTGATGAACAAGGGAACCCGTAAGTCATTAATCGAAAAATTCTAAACACCGCTATTCAAATACCCTAAATAATTGGGGTTACACTTTTGTGTCGCCGTCCTTAAAAAAAAAACGAATCAAATTGGTGTAATATTGGATAGAGGTCTTACAACGATTGGCTTATCTACTCTTGCCGGATCATTGACCACCTGAACGGCTTTCTTATACCATATTTCGCCATTTTTATGGACATCGTCCGTATTTTTGGCGACTAGCTCGTCCGGATCACCTGCAAATTTCCCGTTTTCAACTGCCACTATTCAAAATTTTCAAACAATTGACCATATTTTGGAGGATTCGCTTTCGGATCATATCCAAGCTTTTTCAACATCGGCGCGATCTCATCCATATCTCGAACAACATCCTCCGGTATTTTTCCAACCCATTTCGAAAGCGCGTCAAGATTCACTGGTTTCACCACCTATACATTTCAAGATTATTAAAAACTCCGCGAGAATCTCAAACCTGATCCGAGCTTCTTTCAACATTCGACAACGATATGTCCTTTCCAATCAACTGTTCATGATGCAGCACGTTCGAATTCCATGGGATATCCAGAAACTCAAGTATCTTCCGCATTTGTGCCTCCGGGTGGAGTACCAGAAGCTCATAATTAACTCGAAGGCATCGATCGCCTACAGCGTTACACTGATCTATCATTGTCTCCATCGCCGAATTCCATTTCTGCATGCACTGACGGAAATCATTGAGATCGAATCCGGTGATTGTGATCTACAAAGTCGTTTATTTTTTTTCGAACAGTACAAGAGTAATTCGCACTTTTCGACTAATTATGCTATGCACTGTCGCCCGTCCATCGCGCACCATCAGCAAGTATTTGGCATTGGGAAAAATCTCCTTCAAGTATGTCGCATATTTCATCGTAAACGGGTCCTTATTGCATAATCTTGGCGCAACTTCTCCATGCCCAACAATAACCTGACAAAAAAAAACCCAGAGAATTGTTCGAAAAAAAACTTGGATTCCTCCACCTACCTGCATAATAAATGAGCTAACCGCTGCGTTAATTACATCGTTAGTAACACCAGCTTGTTGAAGGCGATTCCATTCCTGATCAATTGAAATTAGGTATACTGTTGTTTTCTTTTCCAACCTTTTCAGACTTCTTCCACTGCGATCGCAATCCAAGTATCCTTGGAATTACTCGCGTCTCCTCACCACATCGAACGTCGGGATGAGCGTCAAGCATTGCTCGCATTAGCGTGGTCCCAGAACGCGGCACACCGCCTAGAAATTTGAATTTGCAAATAAAACATTGTTTCGCTGATTAAAATCATCATATCAGTTTACGCGCTATCTCATCAGTTTTCTTGGCTTGGATACTTTGGATTTTTTTAATATCCACCCGAATCTCTTGATGATCGGCAAGTTTTTAATCATTCCACATTCTCATTTTATTGCTACCAATCTCATTATAATAACGATTAAATTGAAAAAAAAAACAACGTTTTAAATCATATGTTTTTTCCTCGTTTCCTCTCGATAAAGATAGTCGACGTCGCGCGATTGCCGAAAATTAATGTCATTCAAAACAAGAACATCGGACTTCGCTTGAAACAAAAGTTGTAAATTTACGGATGAAGCATAAAAATACGTTAAAAGAGCACACCACGCACCATGACATCACTTTTTGCCATCTAGCAAATTTTCCGCAGTCGTCGATTATTTGATTTCGAATTTTTTCACTCGAAACCTTGTTTTTACCTGGCTCATGTTCTTTTTGCTTTCATCAACATTATAAATAATTCAAAAAAAAAGAGAGAGAGAAAGAGAACCTATGAATATGAACGGTGACGAAATATTGAATTCTGGCAACGGCGATAATGGCGCGCGAAGTTCAAATTTCGGCGAATAACCTTCATTATTTTCCCTTAATTAAATTAATCAATGGAACAGATGAACGAAATTATTGCGAACCTCGAAGTGATAAAGTAGAATAATATAAACGCGATAAGGAATAAAACCAAAAAGAAATCGCGATTCCGTCGCGCCATTCAACCCGCCGTCTCCGCCTGAAAAAAAAAACAATAATATAAGTGTATGGGAATCAAATAATTTAAGTAATAATTATTCAAGTAGAGGTCAAAACCAAGATGTGTTCCGACAATATGTTTAGTTACATTCGAAAGGTAGAAAAGAGAGCGAGGGAGAAAGGTGAGGTGGGAATAATGTCAACAATGCAAAACATTAATGTCGAATTATTGATTAAAACGAGGAATTGCACAAGATTAAATGCGCATGAAATCTAATAAGGATTAGCATTGGATTCGGTGAGAATCCAAAGATTGCTGCCTCAGTCATCAAAACCTTTGAGGAAAATTGGGGGAGCGAAAGGTAAGCTTATTAGATTCCTAAACGGATCGCGCGCTTGGCGGGTCAGCGGCAATCTCTTCGATCTCTTCGAAAAACTCGAATCTTTCGCCTAGTCGTCAACGGGATGCGGCTGCGGCGACGGCGGCGACAACCTTCACATCGCCGGTAGCCACGCGGTTGCGTCGATAATTGGCCAACACGATTCATTCATTATGTACAAAAAGTTCAAACTAGGAGGTCAACAATACTACATACTTCTGAATACTAACCAGTCATAAAAAAATCATTTTCTCGGAAGATTCAAAAAACCAATAAATTTTTCTGTCCAATTATTATTTATGATCCAATTCCCACAATTTTTTAGTTTTTTTTCATGAGAAGAAAAAATGGCAACCATTTCAAAAAAAAAGCAAAGAAGAAATGCCTTACTTACGAAATTTCAATTGTTTTCAATTAAACTGCGTGAAAATTGTTTATGCATTAGACGGAAAAAAGGAAGCGGACCAAATTTGGAAACAAAAAAAAACGGAAGACGAAACTAGAGCTATTATCTAAAAAATTTGTTTCGATGTTCTTTTAAGTACATCCGTGGTGCATAGAACAATTATAGGAAATTAAGCGATCAGAGATTATGGCAACCTGCCAATCATAACCCACAAAAATGGGTAATTTGATCATTTGGTTCATCGGTGGCACAATTCATATATGAGATTCAAAAATTAAAAAGTTCCGGCTTATTCAAATTGGTATAGATTTAGGGGAATGTCTTTCAAAATGGCCTCGCAAGGACTAACAGGTTATTTCAAATTTTATGGTCCGGTTCGATAATTTTTCAATCGAATATCGTTAGAAACTCTAAGAAATGCCAAACTCATCAAGAAAAAAATAAATAGTTCACGTGAAAACAGCAAAATAGGCGTTCACCCGTGACGAGACCTTTTCAAGGCGCACGCGCGTAAATCTACCCGCGTACAGCAGTCGCCGGACGCTGACTATATTTTTGGTTTAAAAAAAACAAAATGTGTTTCAAAAAATGAATATTCTCCTCGCATACCATTTTTGGAAATCGCCACAAAACTAATCGTACAGAATAACTAGTTTCTCTTTTTGTCGCACGTGTTTTATGGTATTTGTTCCGAAAAAATATTCATTTTTATTTTCCAGTGCGATGCAAATAAACGTTTTATTGATAATTCAACAAAATTCTTGGTAGCCGGTAATCGCAAATTGCACGTATGCAACATGTTTCATGTGCATGGACACATTTTTTAAATTTCAAACAATTTTTCAATAAGAGGGTTTTTTTTCGAGAGAAAAAAAAGCAGAAGAAGTTTTAAGAAAATAAAAGTGCATTTTAATAAACGAATTTTCTCTATTTTTTTTCAAATTTACTTTGAGAATTCACTCGAACAAGAGTCTCTCAAAGAAAAATTATCAAGAAACGCATATTGTAATCTAAGAAACCAAAAAACATTGAGTGCATCATGATTTCTTGATAAGAAATATTTACATCATCAAAAAACGCGAAGAAATAAAAAACGAGTGAGAAACAAAAATATGCCAATCAGAAAAAAAATGGAGGCGAGTGAAAAGTATAACGCTTGGGAATGCAGACATCGTGAGAAAAAATCTCTTCCTTTTAAGGAAAAACTTTGAAATGAGGCGCCTTAAAACGAAAAACTTGATTCTAATGAACGAATGCATGCATTTAAAAGAAACTTGAGATCGCGAGGAAAACGCCTGAAATGTTTTAAAACAATAACTTGACACTATTCAAAATATTCTTTATTTGAAAACAGGTTTTGCCCGTAGTGTGTCCTAATCATCTTTATCATCCTTTACGTCAACGACTTCCTCGCCTTCCTCATCGCTCGATGATACAGTATCACCAAATAGAGCTGTGTCGGTGACCGGAGCAGTTATATTGCTCGGCGGCTCCTATAAAACAATAACAACTATTCATTTCATTCTATTTTAAAACAAAAAACATTGACAAAATTTGTTTTAAACAAAAACCAAAAAATCTGGAATAAAATGTTGACTCATCGATTTTTTGAGAAACATTTCCCGATTGAAAACAAAAACGTTTAGAAATATTTTGGCACGAAATGATATAAAAATATCCGAACAGACGCAATAAATTATAGCCTCGAAAAAATGCGAGGTCCGCCATCATCTCGTAGGCTTTGATTGACATTTTAAATGGGATTTTTTGTGGAAAAAAAATACGACAAACCAACCACAGCTGTCGTGCACTACGGTTTAATAAATTATTGGTCTCTCGGCATTTTCGACCATTGGAGTCGCTTCAGTATATTCAAAAAAGTATATTCAACATGTCTCAAATGTCAATTTGAGCCAAGGGAAATAAATTTTAGGTAATTAACAATTATCAATTACCACTTTTGGAAATTAACATTACGATTGATATGAAAGCTGGTAAATTCTTGCATTGGAATTTAAAAGAAGAGAACCTCAAAATTCGAAGATTTGAAAAAATATATTCAAAAAACAGATGCAAAACATTTTCTTATCGTTCTAACGCAATGAAGATAATTTTATTTCAACGCAGTGGTAGCACTTCCTGGTATTTCCGAAGAAAAAATATAGGGTGTATTTTAAATCAGTATTAAAATCTAACTTACTTTTTTCTTGTCTTCAACGATTTCCCATCGAACACTGTCGGCTTCCAAATCAGCTCTTAATAATCGCTTGAGCTCCTTTTCGACTTCGGGAGCATCCATATACTTTTTCTTCTTCGTTTTTCGGAACCTCCTCCTTCTCGCACTTTTCATTGGAGCTGTCAATCCGTGCGGATATTGCCATTGTTTCATTTCCTTCTTCGCCGATTTCGGATCATTTTGCTCACCGAGCATCGATTCCATCGAAATTGAAGATGTTGATGGTTGAGATACCGCCCGACTCGACGGAACTGGATCATGACTGCATATTAATATTTGTGAAACATCGGCTACTTTATACACATTCTTTTTATCTAACGTTTTATGGACCTAAAGAAAACATTGAAGTTACCAAAAAATGAAGAAATTTATTAAAACCTCATTAATACAAGGAAGATCAAGTAGTTTCCCGCTCAAAATCTTGTTCCCTAATCGTATTTGTGCATGTCGCATATCATTCATGAACAAAATTCCAAGCTCTTCCTTCCCAGGTTCGTCATTTACAATTTTATTCATCTGAAAATTTTTATTGAAATTCAATTAATAGCTAAACAGAAACCTTATCTACACAATCTTCAGGAACCCTCAAAACTAAATGATTTTCCCATTCTTGTAATTCATCAGCTTCTGGAGGCTAAAATAAATAAATAAAACAACTAACATGATTGGTATCTTTACCTTGGTTGAAGACCGTTTAATTGTAATCCGTGTGGGTTGTATTGACATCTTAAATTAAAGTTGAACAAAATAATTCCCTCATAATTGATCTAATATGTTTATTTTCTAATATTTCACACAAATCACAGCAAAAAGAAACGGAAATAATTGAAACATGCGTGTGCAGTGGAGCGCATTTTCCCACGAAAATAGTAATTTTTTGAATTCACTATTACTACAAATTTTTTAATTTTATAATTTTTTGAATGTTTTGAGATTTTAAGACATTTAGATATAGAAAAAGATTTTAAGACAGAATAATAATAATAATTTTATCAGTTTTTTCAACACAAAACATTTATAATGACAGTTGGAAAATGGATTTTAAATTTCGGCAAACCTTTTGGGAGAAACTCCGGCGTTTGATAGAGAAAACGGATTTTTCCCCCATTAAAGGGCAGACGAATCTCCGCCGTTTCTCCCGAATGAATTGTCGAAAAAATAATTCAGACTATTCATCGTGGGGAAACAGGAGTTTTTCGTGTCCGGTAAACCAATGGCAAATTTTAGAGAAGCAGTATTACAAAAATAGAGAAAAATTTTTTCTCCATGTTTCGCTAAAATCGAAGAAAACCACTGATTTCCCCGGGTCGTATGCACAACAATTTCCGCCGGAAAACGTGAGTCGTATTGTTATTTCAGCGGGAAATGGAATTTTTTAAACGTACGTTTTCCAGCAGAAACTGAATTGTGCATACGGCTCCCGATGAGTTTCTCGAGTGAAAATTTTCACTCGAGATTTTTTAAAAAATCAATTTGTCTTTATTTTTACGTAATCGTGTTTGCGTACTTCTCAATATACAGTACCTCATTTTGTCATGAAAATATTCTGTTGAAACTTAACTATTTCTGAGCCAATGTATTGTTTTCAGGGAAATTAAAAGAAATGCACATCAAAGAAGAATTTATTTCCGCAAGTGTAAATCCAAGATCTCACTGTTTAACAGCTTGCCGATCGCGGAATCTCGTAGTTTATGCATCCGAATTGCAATTAGCTGTGCAGACCATACCAAATGTACGTATTTCTTTTATATTTCTGAAAAATATGAACTCTTATAGGGGGTCGACGAGTGTGGAGTTATTCAATCTTTGTCGGAGCGAAGGCATATAAAACCAATAACTACAGTAAAACGCATAAAATCGGAAGATTCTGAAGATTTCTTTGTAACTGGCGGAGTAGATTCGCGGATAGTTTTGTGGAAATTCAATCCTGCAAATGAGAAAATCGAATTTCTGAATTCCTTAGGTAAATATGAATTATCATAAAACAAGTTTCATTCATCTTTTAGAAGGTTGCTCGGGAAGTATTGGAGCCGTTTGCGGAGCTCATTTAAATGGGAAATTTGTGGTTTTTGCTGCTTGGGTGTCCGAAACTTCTTCAGGATTGGAAGTTTGGCATGTTGATAACGAAAATATTTCGAAATCGTCAATTTTTCTCGATCAAAAAGCTTTTGCATTATGTCTGGACTCCACAATTTACAATGGTATTTCAATTCTTAGCGAATTTTTAAAATGACTATTTCTCAGATTCTATTTTGCTCGCCATTGGAACATCCAAGAGATTCGTCGAAATCTTTGGAGAGTCCTCGGATCAAACTGTATTAAATTCCAAAGATTTTTACGTTCAACATTCAATTTTTAGTTTACTCGACTTACTTCATTTGCTGGTCACACTGATTGGATTCACTCGATCACATTCAATGGCAAACGATAATATTCCCAATAAATTTGCAATTTTTTTTTAATTTCAGACAATTCATCGAAACTTCTCCTCGCTTCTGCTGGTCAGGATACTTATGTCCGTTTATGGTTAATTGAAGAAGATGGTGGGAGAAATGAGGAAGCCGAAGATGAACTGACTTCAGCCAAAAGCAAATTCGAAATGACGTTGAATGCGAAAAGTAGTTCAGTTTCATATTTATTCAAAAAACCATAAAAACTTTAGAAGTTTGTATGAAAATGTCTTCGTATGCAGTCATGCAAGGCCACGATGACTGGGTTCATTCGACGAGTTGGAACAAGGATGGAAATGTCCTTCTAACGGCAAGCAGTGATAAAACTTGCATTATCTGGCGGTAATTTCGAAATTCTGCAAATTTTCTTGCTCATAATTCAAATTTTCAGAGAGATTGACGATTTATGGAGGGACGACGTTCGTCTCGGTATCATCGGTGGTCAAGCAGCGGGCTTTTTCGCCGGTGTTTTCTCACAAAACGAGAAATTCGTTGTGAGCAGCTCGTATTTTGGCGGAATCCATGCCTGGTGCTCCGAAAATGACGAGGCAACGTATTGGGCGGCTGTTCCGATGAGTGGCGGTCACGTTGGCGAAGTGCGCGATGTTTCATGGCAACGAGGCGCCAATGGAATGCCGAATTTTTTAGTCTCCGTGGGAAAAGATCAAACAACCCGAGTGTTTGCCAATTATGAAAAACAGGTGAATCTTTTGAATGCTACAAAATAACATGTTGGCTGAAATTATTATTTACCTATCCAAAAAAAAAAACAATTTCAGGGAGTGATGGTCGAAATTGCTCGTCCTCAAGTCCATGGGCATGATATGCAATGCTTAACCATGGTCAATCCATCCGTCTTCGTTTCCGGAGCTGAAGAGAAAATCTTTCGCGCATTCCGCGCCCCAAAATCGTTTGTCTGTAGTTTGGAATCAATTAGTCGAATTAATGCTCAAAATGTAGGCAGACTATTTTAAACTTTTTTTTCTCAACCGTCCGATTTCAGATTTTCGGCGATGCAAAAATTGCCGAGTTTGGCGCTTGTGTTCCCGCTCTCGGTTTGTCAAATAAGGCAATGGCTGAAGGAGAAACGGTTGACGGCGAGCATTGGGAAGAAGACGCGTTTCGCGCGAAACCTAATATTTTAACAGGTACCGTCAAATAATTTTTGGTGTCGTGTGACTAAGAAAATATGGGTAAATTCTCAAAAAAAAATTGGGGAAAGATGAAGTGATGCTCTGCGCCTTTAACCAAATTATTTTTTAATTAAACTCCAATAGTTCTCCCATAGTTTCTTTGCCGGCAATAAAATCAAAATAACAAAACTCATTTGACAACCTATATTTTCAAGTTCCGCCAACTGAGGACGCCCTTCAACAGAACACGTTATGGCCAGAAGAGCATAAATTATATGGGCATGGTTACGAAGTATACGCAGTCACCGTTAATCCAACCGGAAATGTGCTGGCGACAGCATGTAAGGTGCACAATTTCTATATCCTTTCATGTCGAGGAAATTCAATTTCGAATTCACTTTAGTCGAGTCACGCGGAGCATTCGGTCGTGATTTTATGGAGCACATCGGATTGGTCGAAGAAAGCGGAGATTCCGGGACACCAGTTGACGGTGACACAGATAGCCTGGAATCAATCTGGAACTGTTCTGCTTTCAGTGAGCCGTGACAGAACGGCCAAGTTATATAGAGAAGCTTCGGGGAATGGTTTGAAATTTTCAAAAAAAAAATTAGGAAATATTTCGTTTCAGTTGATGGATATGAATATTCTTGCTTCTGGACTTCTCAAAAACAGCATACCAGGATCATCTGGGCTTGTGATTGGTTTGATGACGATAACGTCTTCGCTACAGCTTCAAGAGATCAAAAAGTACAATAATTCCTGCTAAACTTGGCATTGATATTAATTTGAAGGTGATTGTTTGGAAAATTAATCAAAATGAATGTTCGCCGTTGGCCCAATTAAAGCTTGCCGAGCCAGTGACAGCAATTGCGGTATCTCCAGGAAGCCTCGAGTGATCTCTTATCCACTTGACAGCTTTTAATTAAACATTTTAGAAAAGCTGTCGTAGCGGTTGGCTTACAAAGCGGTGAAGTCGTATTCTTGAAATTGAACGGAGAGGAGTTAACAATTACTGCATCATTGTTCGAAAACCAGATACCACAAATCGATGCCTCAATCCTCCGACTACGGTCTGTCAATACACAAAATCTCACAACTCAAAAGTTCCATTTTCAGATTCGCTTCATCAGTTTCGGAGCATCGTTTAGCCATTGCAACATCCGATTCGAAATTACGAATTCTCAGTGTTACCGATTGAATATTTTGTTACACTTTGTTATTGGTTGGGCCGCTGTTTTTTTTTTTGTTGTTAACAACAATGAAAGAATACATTTATTGTTTTATTATTAAACATAAACCATACCGAATTTAAAGGTATTGTCGAAGTCGCGCGACTGCGGAAAAGTGGCTAAATGCCAAAAAATTAAAGAGGTCTCGGTGCGCGCCTTTAACCTATTGTTGTTTTTTTTTTGGCATTTAGCCAATTTTCCGCACTCATGTGACGTCAACAATATACGAGACATCTCCATAGTAGACGCAATGGCACCTCATTTCCAACGAAATCCTCGATCTTAATATGTATTAGAGTTCCCCCCAGGCTCCAACTTTCAAGACATTAATCAATTTCGTAACGCAATGAGCTCATGAGGAAAATTTTTAAATTTAAAAGTGGGTTTTTCAAACATTTAAAAACCTTCAAACGGTCCCCCATTTGATTTTTGTCTCAATTTGTTTCGTTTTGATCCGAAATTGGTTCCCATTTTCGATATGAACGAATTGTCCTAATTGATTTCAGATCCCTCATTGTATAGATGAGAATCCTCCTCTCCTCCCATAGAATTGTTTTGTGGAGTGGAGGCTGAAACGATAACGCTTTATTAAAGTTCAAACCAACAGCAACAATGTATGAATTAAAATAATGTTAAATAAGTGGCAGATATTTTACTTTTCAAAATATAGAGAATAAAATGATTGTGATAAAAACAGATCAATGATGGTTAAAATCGAACAACACTTTGGAATTTTTCTCGAGGTTGCGATCTTTAATAGTACTTTTGCTTAAACGAACAAACAACCTTACAAAGATCATCGATGCAAAACGCTACCGTTTAGCACTGAACGTTGTTTTCGTCATTTATTGCGGCGAAGCAGAGCGGGAGCGCGAGCGAGATTGAGAACGCGACTTGCTTGGGGAGCGGCTGCGAGTGCGGCTACGCGAGCGGCGTGGAGAATATCTCGGAGAAGCACGACGATCTCTTGGCGAGCGCGAGCGGCTGCGGCCAGCACCTCCACGACCTCCAGACGAAGAATCCTCACGAACTCTGATGTAAGCAGTCTCACCCTAAAGAGATTCTGATTTATATATTTTTATTATGAAATCCCCACCTCGTGAGATCTGAACTTGGTATCGTCCAACTTCTTGACCGCGTACTTCACGTCTTCGTACTTTGTAAATTCCACAACACCGGTTCCATCACGAGCAACATCAGCATAGCAAACGTCTCCAGCCTCTCTCATGTGGTCCTTCAAATCTTGCCACGATCCAGTTGGCGGCAATCCCTCGACGATAACTCTGTATCCAGTTCTACGCTGTGGACCACCTCCACGTCCTCCGCGTCTTCCTCCATAGCCACCGTCGTAACCAGAATTGATCGGACGACCGCCTGGTCCACGTGGTCCGACGCCTCGAGTGAATTCAACACGAATTCTGTGTCCATCAAAGTCATATCCATCACGACCACGAACAGCATCATCAGCATCTCTTAAAAAAGAAAAGAATTAACAGAAAATGTTGCAGTTTTCTTACCTCGGATCATCAAATTCAACAAAAGCAAAAGCTGGTCCTCTGCCGTTTTTAATATCGATATACCTGATCTTTCCATATTTCATGAACAAATCCTCAACATCACGCTCTCGAACGTCGGAAGGCAAATTGCCAACGTAAATTTTGGTATCCTCGCGTGGCATTCTTGCTGAAAATAAGTGTGATGAAATTTAGGAATATTTGAATCATTGATAAAGAAAATATGGAAAGATATTTATCCACACCAATGCTATACATTTCATATTTCATCAGTCCTATGAATAACCAAAAAAAAGTTTTTGAAAGAAGCAAGAACGAAACAACAAAAAACGCGGCAGAAACAACAGGAAATGCGAGCAGAATGAGTCGTTTTGGCGCGGCGTCGTCGCATTTTCGAATTGACCGCTACGCGACCGCGCACGCGTCTGCAGGAAATGCGTCGTCAGCCCGCCAAGTTCAAATATAGTTTTTTTGGGGCGAATGTGCGGCGTGCAAATATGGCGTGATTTTTGAAGGGAATCAATGTCCTTCATCTTAGGTGCAAACAGTATAATAATTTAAAATAATATAAAACAAATTGGGAGAAATGATAATTTTGGAAAAATGATAACAATCGCAAATGGAAATTAATATTGAGCTTACTCCGGCAAAACACGAATTTTTCACTTTAAAAATTTTCAACAAAAGGTGATTGTAAAAAATTAACCATATAACATAAGAAAATGTTTACTTTCATTCCTATTATCCCACAATTCAATTCTTTTATTGTGGAAACGATGTTTTGAAATGTTTTCTTTTGATAAGAATGAGGTGATGTAACAGGCGATAGAAGTGAAACGAATCTCCAGGAATTGCAAATGCATCACTTTCGGAGGGTGAATCAACACAAAACATTATCAATTGGAACATGTTTATCGCCTGGTTTTAATGTTATTATGCAGTCTTAGAGAATTATATTTTTCTCAACTTCACGTGAAACTTTAATACTGTAAACATTAATTCTCTTGACATATTATATTCATTTGAAACTTATGTTAAATTAAAAGACGTTGCTAGCTTCATATCACTCGATGACACAAATGACGCTGTACTCAACGAATCCATCGCGTTTCGCAACCGCTTACGCATCCAATGGCATCGGACCGTCTGCCCGCGACGTTCAAAATAATTATTTAGAGCGTACTTGTTCCTTGTCTGTCTGTCTAATTCTCCGTATTTCAACACTCTCTCGATATGTCGCGTTGATTCACGTGAAGCTTGTCAACTTTTAACATATCCACTGAAATTGAGGACTAACATCTTTTCTTCGATTTTCTTATTTATCAAATTTAATCGTTTCTGTGGATTAAAAAAAAGGTGACTTATTGCAAATATTTTGAAAACAAATTTATTATTAAATATTCACGAAAAAATAATAAAATGACGCAAATTAAAATTAATGGGCCATATATTTTATTTCAAATTTTATATTTCAATTACGCTTACGGTAAAATAATTCGGTTATAAAATGTATTATTCATTTTTCACTTGATCCAGCTGATATTTTTAATGGATTTTGCAGTTTTTCTAAACATAATTTTTTTTTCAGAGTATCAAATGCCTGTCGATGATCAACCTTCCCCTGAGCCGCCGTCATCTTCCGGTAATCATTAATTTTCATGCAAAAACTGAAAAAGACAAACACAGGACAGAAAAAATGGGTTGCACTTCTGATATTAATTTTTGTGAATCTTTTAAACTATATCGACCGGTTCACTATCGTCGGCGTGGAATCCAGACTAACACCCTATTTTAAAATGGACGATTCACAATCTGGAATGTTACAAGTATGTTAAAAATGGGAATTTTTGCTGAAATTGAGACATTTAGACGGTTTTCATTTCGTTCTATATGATTTTCGCCCCAGTATTTGGATATTTGGGTGATAGATACAATCGAAAATTCATGATGATATTTGGAATTGTGATTTGGATCATTGCCGTCATTTTGTCGACATTCTGCGCTCCGGGGGTAAGTATTCATCAGAATACAGAGTGTCATTTAAGTTCCCGCACAACTTTGAAGACGTATATTTCTGAAACTAAAAGTCCAAATCAAACGAGACTCGAAATATTTTTTATCTACAGGGTGTCTTTTAAGTTCCCGCACAAAAGTTTGACGCCATGAAGAGCTTGGCTGTCGCACTTTTCGTGCACCAATACAATTTATTTTTGTTAAATAAGGTATATTTTACTTACTTTCCAAGTTTCACCTCATTCGGATGTGTTTCCGAGAAATGGCGAAGGCTAACATCCATTGCGCTTCCATTATCGAACTTCATAAGCAAAATGTGAGCTCGAGAGACATCATTCAACGGGTCGGTGTGCCTCGTAGAACGGTTTGCGACACCATCAAACGTTTCAAGGAGCTAAATACGACCAGTCACCGTCCCAGACAAGGAAGACTCGTCTCAGTAACCACTCCTCAGAAGATCAACGCCGTCAAATCGAGGATCAGGCGAAACCCCCACAGGAGCATGAGAAAGATGGCGTTAGACATGGGAATGAGCATCTTCGCTATGGAACAAATTGTCAAAACGAAGCTTGGACTGACCCCATATCGTGTCCAAAAAGCGGCAATTCTATCGGCCGTCAGCAAGCAGAGACGCTTCGAAAAAGCAAAACGACTTCTTGCTCGCACGCGGTCTGGACAACACCTCGTCACTGTCTTCTCCGACGAGAAGCTGTTCACTGTGGAGACGGCATTCAACTCACAAAACCATTGAGTACTTGCCCAGACATCCCAGCAAGCTTCTGAGAAAAGAAGAACATATCATCCAGCCTCACATCCTGCCAGCATGATGGTTTTCGTTGCCATCTGCTCAACCGGGAAGTGCCCCCTGGTTTTCGCGGATCAGGGGGTGAAAGTGAACAAAGAAGTCTACGTTCGGGACATTTTGGAGAAGCATGTGATGCCCTGGACCCAAACGCATTTCGGTGGGCAGAAATGGGTCTTTCAACATGACGGAGCAGCCGCCCACACTGCCAAAACTACTCAGGAGTGGTGCCAGACCTATTTTCCCGACTTCATCAAGTCATCTGAATGGCCTGATTGCTCCCCAGACCTGAACCCGCTTGACTTTCCCGTGATGGGGTCTTGCAGGAGAAGGTCAACGCAAAACCCCATTCAAGTGTAGAGGCTCTGAAGAAGACATTACTGGCGGAATGGGACAATCTTTCCATCGAATACCTGCGTACCACAGTCGCATCCTACCCGAAGCGTTTCCGTGAAGTCATAGCTGCGAAAGGAGGCCGAATCAAAAAGAGTTAATAGATAAATATTTGTTAGACTATAGATAAAAAATATTTTGAGTCTCGTTTGATTTGGACTTTTAGTTTCAGAAATATACGTCTTCAAAGTTGTGCGGGAACTTAAATGACACCCTGTATAGTATAACACATATTTATCTATTAACTCTTTTCGATTCGGCCTCCTTTCGGAATATTACTACAATATTACTACATCACATGAATATTACTACATCACATGCTTCTCTAAAATGTCCCGAACGTAGACTTCTTTGTTCACTTTCACCCCCTGATCTGCGAAAACTAGGGGGCACTTCCCGGTTGAGCAGATGGCACCGAAAACCATCACACTGTCAGGATATGAAGCTCGATGAATTGTTCTGCTTTTCTCAGAAGCTTGCTGGGATGTCTGGGCAAGTACTCGATGGTTTTGTGAGTAGAATGCCGTCTCCACAGTGAACAGCTTCTCGTCGGAGAAGACAGTGACGAGATATTCTCCAGACTGCGTGCGAGCAAGAAGTTGTTTTGCTTTTTCGAAGCGTCTCTGCTTGTTGACGGCCGATAGAATTGCCGCTTTTTGGACACGATATGGGGTCAGTACAAGCTTCGTTTTGACGATTTGTTCCATAGCGAAGATGCTCATTCCCATGTCTGACGCCATTTTTCTCATGCTCCTGTGTGGGTTTCGCCTGATACTCGATTTAAAGGCGTTGATCTTCTGAGGAGTGGTTACTGAGACGAGTCTTCCTTGTCTGGGACGGTCACTGGTCGTATTTAGCTCCTTGAAACGTTTGATGGTGTCGCAAAGCGTTCTACGAGGCACAGACAGGCGTTCAATGATGTCTCTCGGGCTCACATTTTGCTTATGAACTTCGATAATGGAAGCGCGATGGATGTTAGCCTTCGCCATTTCTCGGAAACACATCCGAAAGAGGTGAAACTTGGAAAGTAAGTAAAATATACCTTATTTAACAAAAATAAATTGTATTAGTGCACGAAAAGTGCGACAGCCAAGCTCTTCATGGCGTCAAACTTTTGTGCGGGAACTTAAATGACACCCTGTACAATTACGGAGTTTTTTATTTTCAGCATTATTACTTGTTCCTTCTTTGTCGCGGAATTGTCGGAATTGGAGAAGCCTCATACTCAACTGTTGCTCCAACAATTATCGGAGATCTTTTTGTCGGCGCGGCTCGAACGAAAGTATTGATGTTATTCAGTATTGCAGTTCCCGTTGGAAGTGGTTTAGGATTCATATGTGGTTCAACTATCGCACTTATCACCGATTCTTGGCAATGGGGAGTAAGGTAATAGCTTTCGTAGAAAATTTTCATTACTTTTATCAAACTTACTTGCAGGTTTTCTCCAATTCTGGGTATTCTCTGCATAATTGCAATGATTTTTTTCCTCGATGAACCCGCAAGAGGAGCTAATGAAGGTTCTCAACAGCCTGGAGATGATGCTACATTATGGGAGGATATCACTTACATTTGCTCTATGTATCTGCTCCAATTTATATTACCTTCCACGATGTTCTTTCAGCCCTTCTTATGTCCTAGTGACACTTTCAATCATCGCTGCATTCTTCACTATCGGAACTTTGAGTTGGTGGACGCCTAAGTTTATCCGATTTGCGTACACGATCGCAATGAAGAAAGATCCAACGAAAGCTGAAGTCAACTAGTAAGACGCCAATACTTTTGAATCAAATTTTCACATTTCGACTTTTCAGCATTAATTTGACATTTGGAATCATCACTTGCATGTCAGGCCTTCTCGGAGTCACCATGGGAACTCTAATGGCAAGATCATGGCGAGATGGAAAAGGTCTCTTCAAAAACTGTAAAACAGATAATGCCGACGTTCTTGTGTGTGCCATTGGTATGCTCGTTTCTCTTCCCTTCTTCTTCGCAGCACTCATGCTCGCAATTATCAATGTTAATGTGACATTCGTAAGTGGTTTCTATTGAAATTTTTAATCAATTTTCATGTTATAGGCTTGCATTTTCATCGCAATTCTTTGCATGTGCTGGACATGGGCAATTAATGTCGATATCGTAATGGTTTCGTTATAATTATTATCCTTAAGTTAATTATATTACAATTTTCAGTCAATTGTGATACCAAACCGAAGAGCAACAGCATTAGCGATTCAGTCACTTGTTTCTCATCTCTTCGGTGATGCTTCAGCCCCGTATATCACTGGAATGTTTTCGGATTGGGTTCGCGGCAACAATGAATCAGTTTATGGGCATTTCTATTCGCTTAAAACTGCATTGTACATCCCAACATTTATGATTGTCATTTCTGGGAGTTTATATCTTGCGACCTCATTCTTTATTACATCTGATAGAAAGGAAGCGCTCTTCCTTATGAATGGTAACGCGAAAAGTGGAAAGAAATTTGAGCAAAATCAAATTTAATTTAGCTGTTGATCCAAATGCGCAAAATCTGCCAGAGGATCAATCTAATTTGGTGCGGCCTGAGTCACCGGACTCGGTAGGATCGTCAGTTGATCAACCAAGGACTTGACGGTGCGAAGAGGGACAGATTGCCAATGAAGATGTAACAATGCTTGATATCAAAAAATACATAATTCGAAATTTCAGACTGTTTTTGATAATAATGATGATGATGATGATGATATTCGTGAAATTGAATTCGAGCCGACTGATGACGATGATGGGATTCCTACGATTGACTCGCGGCGTCTCTCCGCTGGTCTTGATCTTCTCCCGCCAGTAATCTCTTGGCGGCTTGAAGACGAAGCATTTCCCATTAGTCGATCGGCTACTAACGTGGTTCCAATTTTTCTCTTAAAAAAATAAAAATTTGGAAAAATTTCAGAATTCTTCAGCGATTTATCAGAATCTTGCCTCTCTCAGAGATGCTGAATCGTCCAGCGATGAGTACGAAAGTGTTGGAGATTCACCGCGTTACTGGTTACCACGAGCTTAATTCGGTATCATTTTGAAAATATTCTAAAACTGAAAAATTATTTAAAAAAATAAAGAAGCGTCAGTAGGTTTTCTGAAATAGAAACAAATCATTTGAATATTACTTATTTTCCATCAAATTTTCGTCATGATATTAGAATCATTAAAAAATATTCATTTGACGTATTTATAAAAATGAAAATCTTGCCCCTTTAAATACTCCTTAACCAATGCGAAATTATGCAGTATTCAAATGTTTCAAAAGACCTATTGTATTCATTGAAAAGGCTATAATTAGTGAGTCTGAATGAATAAATCTACGCTAATCCTTTCGTCTTTCTCGCCGTGCAAATCGTATATTTTATTTCAGGTCATTGTCATCTTCATCATCAACATCATTTTCATTCATTTTTGTACATTTTTCGTTTTCAGTTTATTTTTTCTTGTTTATTTTGTGTGTGAGTGTGCGTGCCTTCTGTCTCTCGCTGCCTTATTAAAACCTCTGTAGAACTTGTTTCCAAACGAAAACTACGGTTCAAAACCCTGTTTGCCTTATTTGTGATTGAGTGGTTTTTGCGATTCCAAATTTTTGTAAATTTAAAATTCACAGCGTAATATTCATTGTTCTTAGGTCGTCTTTCGTTTCATCCAATTTTATCCTGTACAGATTCTTTTGAATAAAGTTTAATAATTATGCTCTTGCCATTTTTTTTTCAATTTTTATGTTAAATGTCGTTTTGTGTCGATGTTGTGCTACTTTTGGTTTTCATGTGCTCTATTTTGTTCCTAACACTCACTTTAAATTCAGATGAGATCCAGAAAAGTACCACTTCGAGTTGAAGCTCATGAAAGAACGAGAAGCGATGGGATCGAAATGCGTGAGTGTTTGTTGAATGTTTTCTAATTTTTTGGAAGTGTTGAAGTAAATTCAAGATGTTCTATATATGCTAATTTTTTTGCTGTCGAATTCAGCGGTGAAATTTAAATTATCGCCTCATACAGCAACTCATAGTTTCATCCTAAAAATGAACGAGTTTTTTACTCTTTGATTTTTTCGAAACTACAATTCATGCTTATAATTTTTTGAATTGGTTTATGTGGCCCAAAACTATGTAAATGCTCTTTTTTATGCATTTGTTGAGGTAACTTCCCAAAGACTCGCGGGTATTCGGTACAGATCGCCAAATTTTTTCGGGAACCTTCAGGAATTTTCGATATTAACCGGGAGAAAAAATGCTCGGGAAAATCCCGCACCTCATAATTTCCCGAAGACACTAAATAGCGTATATTCCAGCGGATCCATTTGCTGATGTGCAATTATCTCGAGTACTCAAGGAACTCTCATTTATCAGAATTCAACTGGATGACATTACCTTACCGACTCCTAACCCATTCATCCAGAAATTACACAATTCCAGACAGCTTTATGGGTAATTATTTGCCGAGTTTTGTCTTTAAACTAATTTTTATCGCTTTGAATTCTTCAGATTTCAACTTGAATACTCGTTTCCTTGTTTGGATGTTGTTTCAAAAGCCCTTCAATCAACCGTCAGGATTCCTGAAAAAGTCGCGACAACGACCCAAATCGAATTCAAGCACAAACGTGTTGTCCTACTAACAATGCATGAGGATCAAGTTGCGATGTGGCAGAAATCCAAATTGAATATTCATTTGCTAGTTCAAATGGAAGCTGCCGGAAAATATACGGTAATTATTTTCACATTTTTGAGATTTAATTTGCGATTTTTCCAGACGAGACCTCTCGCCAAAGCGTCAATTCCGTTATACGAACTTCTAATTGCCCCATACATGATTTGCCGAGATTTCGATTTTGTTGGTCCCGATTTCGTCGGATCAGCTTTGGTATATCAATTTTTCAATGGGTTTGTAAAAACAAAATTAATATTGAAGATCCGAATTGACCTTGGCAGTCGTGTGAAACCACTAATGGAAAAATTGGAAGCTCTGAGAAACGAACGCTCGTTTGATGAGACTTTCACTGTTACTGATAGGTAAGAGCAATACATGTCAATATGCAATTTGAAAAGAAAATTGCAGGCATCGGAATCCTGGCCGAAGGACGAGATCGAGAAGCTCGTCAAGATGTCACTCGCACTCAAAATCGAGACGAAGTAGCGATGAGAGCGAGAATTTGCGACCACAAACCATTGAATTATCCGGTATTCCAACAAGAAATACGAGATCTGAATCTTCGAGTGTCTCCAGAATGCCAATTGGTTTAGCTTATTTGACGTAGTCGATCAAAATTGTGAAATTGCAGATTCCCACCGACACCATACTCGTCCTTTATCTGCACGCTCTTCGACGTCGACACCGCTTTACGGTCAACACCTCGCCGCTTCGACGTCATCGTTGGGATCGGATTCCGTGTTTCGACCCGTCGATGTTAATGAATACTCATCGGTTCCAGATGTATGCAACGAAAAATGAAAGGATTTAATTATTGGAGTGTTTTACAGCGATTCTTGAAGCCGAGCAATTATCACAGTACTAGTGAAGAGATTCGTTATGAAGGAAAGTGCCATTTGCAGTTGACAGTTCATGAAGCTTCTGGATTACCACCTATTGAAGATGAAAGGTTTCCTCGAATTGTCTAATCATTCGAAATATGTATTTTCAAACATTTTAGTGGTCGTATAGTGAGTCCGAATGCATTTATTTCGATTCTTGGAAGAGAAGGAGAGTTGCGTTCCGAACCAATACCGGCGACGCGTCAACCGCGATGGAACTGGACGGCGAGATTTGCGATGAGCAGCGAAAGACGAAATCTTGTTGTGAAAGTGCTTCATCGAGGCACGATGGGTGATAAAGTATGGATTCTCGTGTTTCGGCTTCATTCTCACTCAATCAACATTTTCCAGCCCCTCGGATTTGTGACATTAACACTTCCTGTCGCATCAGCACGCCGAGCAGTTTTTGAGATGACAGATGTATCAAGAATGAATAAATTTACCAGCGATGTTCCCGTTTTGGTGGTGAGTTCTTATGATATTTGCTTTTCTGACTTTGGCCCCTATAAATATTTTGGCGAAAAACTTCCCATTCAGTTTTCTCCGCAGAAACGATGATAATTCAGTCCAGTTATTCGTTAATCTAATTCGTTTTGTTTAAAAAGTTAAAAATGGTGACAAAACACGACCAATAAACTAAGGAAAGTCACGTAGAACCGTCTTTTTTAAACATGCCAATTGACCTTGCCAATTTAAGTTGTTTTTTTTTTTCATAGTTGAGTTCGATGAACCGAACATAATCAAAATTATTCAGATGTCGATAGAAAAAGTTCGAGATATTGATGAAGATTACTCTCCAAGAGCTTCAGCACATTCAAGGTAATTGAATCTTTCCATATTTTCTGATGAAGCAATTCATTTGTTGAAAAAAAAAAACGATTTCGATGTAAATGCTATGAAATCGGTTGCTGAGCGTGCGTTTGAACCCACAAAATCAGTGGATGCGTTCATAGATACAGAATCATCGTGGGAAAACGAATTTTTTTCTACTTAAAATCGTGAACACGCCGTAATTTTAGACGTGAATTATGATTTTGTGTGTTGGGTTTTGGCGAAAACCGTATTCAAACGCACCCGGACATCTTGATTTTTTTCAAAATCGCTTTGTTCCAGTTCCCAAAATAGAATCGCTCTATAATAATTTTTTAGCACTGTTTCTCGATCCCATCAATCCACACAATCCTCACCAACGATTATTCATCGCCGCGAGCCACCGCTACTAAACAGTCCAAAAATTCTCGAAAGTCGCGAGCAGATTGTCGAACGGTTGCGTAGAAATATGGAAGAACTAACCACAATGGTTCGCGAAATTCAAAAATAACTTTGTATCTTTTGTTTCCGTGTATTTTTTTTGGTTTAATTGATCTACCTCATTCGAGTATTATAAAATATATTAACTTTATGCAAAAAAGATAATTATTGTACATTGATTGATTAAAAGAATAAATTTACAATCCTTTTGAGAGATTTAATTTACAATTACCCGCATAGTAGCTGAAATTATTGAAATTTGAAAGAAATAGAAATAGGAAAATTACTTTTTATATGGCAGCAATTTGAATTCGCTGATGCTATCCAACACCCATTCGCAAGTAACAACCTGAAATTATTTAAAGAAATAGAAAAACGTACACATAGTAGAAAAGTTGTGGATAGCACAAAATCGGCAAGAAATTGAACGGCTTATATGAAAAAATTTGGCTCAACACAAAAAAAAACTGAAGCTACATGAAAAAACCAACACACGCAAAATTGATTTGTTTTGGCATTTCAAATTATCCTTTAAAAATATAATATTTTTTCCAAAATAAAATCAATTTTTTTTAAGATTCGAACCTGGTTGTTTAGAAATTTCGGTTAAACGTTGAAATTATTGAAAGACACTATAATTCTCTTCCGATTAGGAACTCAAATCCGTTTCCATTCTAACCTTGACATTTATTATTTTTCCGTCGTAGAGAACTAGAATTTTCATAAAACTTACTGGACATTTATAAGTATTTTCCATGCTTTTGACTTCCGTTAGTGCGTGTGAGTTTGACGAGAAAACGATAACCATTTTCGATGGGTTCGGTGTAATTGAAGAGTCGAAAATCTCGCCACCGCATAATGTCACCAATTCGATAACATCCTGAAAATTGGGACCATTGAAATCGTAATTTCACATTTTAAACCTTATAATTCAAATACGGCGATGATGCGAATCGTCGAAGAATCATAAACTGCAATCCACTGAAGAGTTCAATCTTTCCCTCGGTTAAAATTGCCTTCTCCCAACCTTCAAATTTATCATTTTTTTTTAAAATTTATTTCACAATTGTTTTTCAAAACCTAATAGCTCCCGAGTTTTCATATCAATCTCCTCCGGTGGTTCGACTCGAGAGTTTATCGATTCCGGGCACCAAAGAATCGTATAATCATTCTGCAAGTGTTCTTTGAAAATTCATTGATAAGCAAACAGTCAGTTTTGTAAAATGGCAGGTCGAATAGCAACAGAAACAGCAAAGAGCGATCAAAAATCACAAATTTCCTTGGGGAGAGAGAGCGAATTTTGAAATTTTTGAATAAAATGACTGCGTGAAATTTGGAAAATAAAACATCTTAAAATTTATGTAGATATTGGCTTGAAGTTGACGAGTAAAATGCGTTCATAAAAAAACAATCAAACACATTTTTGTTACTGTTTAAAAATAATGTACAGGGGGGGGGCCTATTACATTGCCCATTATTCTAATTTTGGGGCCATGGGCTTATAATCATTTACGATTAATATATGAAATGCATTGAAAATTACAGTAGTCTCTTAATTACATTCTCCTTTCATACAAGATTATCAAATTGTTCATGATATTCGTTCAAAAACGCGTTTCGAAGCGCTTTCTCGCCCTTAAATTGGCGTCATTAGCGCGAAAATTAGGCTCATCACAAATAAAAATGTGCTCATTCTCTGATGTTATTTTGCATATTATATCAGCACATTGTCGTACGAACCATCGCGCCATTATTTCGATCAGAACACCATTATCATGTGAATTCAAGAAGGAAAATGAAATGGTTAAGCATCAAATATGGTATGTGCAAGATAGCAAAAAAAATCATACCACCGCGAGAAGACACCTCATTTTGACACAATCCACCATCCAATCCCGATTCACGATCACACATTTTCTCGCGATTGCATAAACAAATTGAAGCGATTTCTGCGGAATCATTCGACCAACTCAAGATTGAAAAATATGATCGGAAAATTAATTACAGCATACTGCTATTCATCATAACGAGATGGGTGGTGTCAGATGTGACCGTTTCCGAGAACCGACAACTATTTGACAAAAAGTATTCATGAAAATCGGCGCACAGCTCCTAGAATGAATTTCGAGGTGAAAAAAATGAAATATGAACCAACTACTTCGTCATCAACATTCTTGATTCTCGAGCAGCAAATGACTATTGGAGTTTTTGAAAGATCCGAATCAAGAGCAGCATTCTCATCTGGAAACAATCAATCTTCAGAGAGTTTGAGTATTCAAACCAACTTTGAAGTTCTCTATGAGTTGCATCTGGTTCAGACAACCCTGGTGGCCTACTAGAAACCTGAAAATTTTGGATTAGGTTTAAAATTAACCACAATATACATATACTACTGGTGACACATTCGTTGGATTATTGAACTTCTCCTCTTCATTCTCCGAATCCACAACAACATCTTCATCATCGTCAACATCTTCGACATCAACATTCACGGGCATTTTTTCTGTAATTTTCGGCTTCCCTTCAACTATCAAATCGTTCGGAGTATTCGATGCATATTCCTGAATCCTTCCAAACGTCACTCTTCGATCACTGCCAACACTACTTAGTCCTAAAATTAAAAAAAAATCAAGTTTTCATATATATTTTTTTCGCAAACTTCGACGTATGAATATTGAAAAAAAAATCGATAAAATTCTTGTTTATGGTCATGGGAGGTTTTTGTTGGCCAAGAAAAGCATGATTCGTGAACAAAGTAGTAAAATGATAAAATTGTGTGTTTATGGGACCCATCAAAATTCATGAATTTGGCATTTTGAGATGAATTCAATCAATTCGCCAGATTCAAAAAAATTTGATCGAATATCAAAATTTTAAACTTCTAAATCCAAGTTTTCTTACGTTTTGTCTCCTTATTCTCTTTCGTCGCCTCCATGTCTTCCTCAAAACATGAACGGACGCCCAATTTCACCATCAGAATTTGAATATTCTTCTCGAAAAACGATTTTGCCGATGGGATCAGTTCAAAAAGTGCATCGATATCGTCGATCGCGTTTGCTGAAATAATAGAAGCTAATAATAAATAATTATGACACAAAATTGCGCATAATTGAAACTTATTTACTTTTGCACTTTGCCACCTCGTTTTCCAAAATAATAGCTCGAAAATCGTCTCGAGACCATTCGAATGAACGAGCATCGCAACAAGCATCTTTTTTGGCAGGAATCTCGAGTTCGGCAGGTTTTGGAACATCCGCTTCAACTACTGGAGGGGGTGGAGTTGGAGCTGGAGCTGGTTTCGAAATTCTTCTTTTTCTTGTTGGAAGCGATGGTATAAGGAAATCAGGGGCGACTCTTTTCCCATCATTTTCCGGTATAATTGTGATATCGAGTGGAGCCTGACTTTCACAGAATTTGACTTCTGGCGGCAATGCCTTGAACACTTTCTGCTTTTCGATGTCCTTTTTAAATGCTTCTGACAACTTCAAGTATTTCTGAACAGCCATTGTCAATTGATACGAATCTTTGCAACTTCTAAATAATTAAGAATAATTGAAATCCGCCTCGAGACCACACCTTTTGTCGAGAACTTGGCGGCATATCGGACACTGCAATTTACGCTTTTTCGCAAAACATGCTTCGATGCATTCGCGACAGAATGCGTGATGGCATGTTGATATAATTGGGTCCTTGAACGTCGAACAGCTGAAAAACACTTGGCTTCAACGGCAAATGCCAGAAATTTCTACCAAACACCACAACGCAGCTCTTTTTGCAAGCGCGAGACGAGCTCTGTAATCCGAACCGCGTTCTCATTCATCTGCAAGAGAAAATGAGACATAGATGTCGAAAGTGTGTGAAATTTCGAGTAATTACGTAGCGGAAAGATGAGCTCCAAAATAAGATATCGTCATTGCATTCGATATACCCGTAGAAAGTTTACTATAATAAGAAAGCTTTCGCATCATAATGAAGCTATTCAATGCATTCAATGCCCAATTCAATGAATCCATGCAGCTTATTAAAAATGCTGAGCAATTTGAAGATTTGAAGATTTTATTTCGCAGTTTACAATATTTCAGACGATTAAAGATCTAGTTGTTGCGTGCATTTCTCATTAGTTTCTTCAATATATACAAGAGCCATTCAGATATTTTCAAAATTTTTGAAATTTCTTCAAATATTTTGCTGTCAGCAATATGAATTTCAACGAAAAATAATTCCATTAATATTTGGATTCGATAAATATTTTAATAAAAATATTTCTCAAATGTCTGAAAAGCTAAAGTTATGAAGAAAATAATCTAAAAATCAGAAAATGTTTCGAAATGAGAAGCAATTTTTTAAAATTTGAAAATTCGAAATTGGCGCATGTCGACAATCGCGCTCCACCGCACACTTTCCCCGCCGAAGGGGCGTGGCCTCAATTGCTCGCCCGGCCACACCCCCTCGCTTCTCGCCAGTATTTCAGTCGTCGGGTGCGCCTTCTCCTCGGGGGTCGGTTCACTCCTCGCTCGTTCTCCAGCCCGCGCCTCGATCGCCCAGGCCGGCATTTCTCTCTCTCCCCCTCCCTCATTCGCTTCAACATCCGTGCTTCTCTTCCCAGACTTTTCCAAAGTGGGGAGGGATATTCAACGAGATTTTCGACCGGGAGAGAAGAGGCTACACCATTCTCTTCTCCCAAAAACCACGGCGCTAGCAACGAACCAAAGCCAATAGAGGCCAAAAAAAAGACGACGAAAAAAATTGACAGATGCGCCGCCTTTCCGAGGCTTCTCCTTATTTTATTGATCACACTTTTTGCCAAAGCTTTTAAAACCGTTTAAATCAAAAACCAAAAAAATTTTCTTCAAATGACCTCGTCGATACGTATCAATGACCGTTCTTTAAATTATAAAATTCTACTGCGAAAGTTCATTGAACCTTTGCAATGTTTTTTTTGAAACCAGCCAACGAGAAAAAAAATATTGAAAAGAAAACGCGGTTTTATGTGAATCGAATTGCCATGAGTGTTTTATTTATTTATTTCTTTTTTTGTTCTCTTTTTGCCATTTCTCGATTCCACAAACTGATAACTTATCAAACATTTTTACAGCCTTCGGTTCATTTCGAAGATGTCGGACGTTCACGTCAAATTCAATCTTGCCAATGATGGCGACTACCAGGATGAGGATGTAAGTTTAATGGCACGCGCCATTTCAATATTTTTCACTTATTAAATGGTTATTATTATTTTCATATTAAACTATTTTTTATTGCCGTGATATATCTGTTTCAGATCTTCTTGCCACCCGCTCCTCTCCTTGCCGGTGCCCACGTTTCCGGCCTTCAATCCTATCATGATCTTTATCGCGATTCTGTCAATAACTCTGATGAATTCTGGAGAACTGTTGCCTCCGAGCTCCATTTTGAGCAAAGCTCATCGAAGGGTCTCGAATGGAACTTCGATGCCAAGAAGGGACCGATTTTCTGCAAGTTTATGGATGGAGCCAAGACGAATCTCTCATACAACTGTCTGGAAAGAAACATTAAGAAAGGGCTTGGAAATAAAGTAAAAATTAAATTGAAACATTGAAAAAAATTAATATTGCTTGCAGGTTGCCTACATTTTCGAAGGAAATGAGCCCTCTGATAACTCGAGAATCACCTATCAAGAGCTTCTCGACAAGGTGATCTGCTTCTCCGCTGTCCTTCGATCCCACGGCGTCAAACGCGGCGATGTCGTCGCCCTCTACCTACCAATGGTGCCCGAACTCGCCGTTGCAATGCTCGCGTGTGCCCGAATCGGTGCCCAACACTCTGTCGTGTTCGCCGGATTCTCGGCGGAATCACTTAGCGCCCGAATTGTCGATGCCCGGTGCCGAGTGATCGTGACCGCCGACGGAGTATTCCGCGGATCCAAACCAATCAACCTTAAATCGATCGCCGATTCCGCTGTCAAGCTTGCCGCTGCTGATGGTGTCGAAGTTTCCACTGTCATCATGGTTGAGCACCTGAAACGGGTGACAATCCCTGAAGGAGCTGAAGTGCCCAAGGTGAGCTCAATGGTCCCAATGATTAATGCGTGTTTCCCAATTCTGCGAATCCATTTCGGATTGGAATTGGGTAGATTAGTGAAAGATTGATATGTATTCCCTTGAGAGCTCGAAAAAAATGAGGACCTTATTTCAATTTTGAATAGAATTTTTGAGCTTTTTTTTATAGCATTTTCCCACACAAAACAAATATGTTCGAAATATTTATGTGCTAATTTTTGATCTCTCCATGTTTTTGTCTTTTTAGATTTCCATCAACGAGATTGATGTGATCTATGAGAAGGAAATGACGCGCTGCCATGGAATCGAATCGCCGGTTGAATGGATGGACGCAGAATCGCCGCTTTTCCTTCTATATACATCGTATGTGCTTCTTCTCATTGTTTTTCTTGAAAAATATCGAATGTCGACTGGCGCATTTTTCTCGAATAATTGATTTCCGTGCGCATTGGTTCTCGTTTATTCCTTCTTCTTCTTCTGGAGGCTTCCGTGAGAGAACGGCACCCGAATCAATGCGCGCGGAAGTTGGCGGAGCCAAAAGCAGAAAAAAAAGAGTGAGAGAGAAAATATAAAAGCGGCGAGGAGACAATTGAATTCGCTTCGACGCTAAACGCTCTAATTGAATTTTTGCAGCGGTTCGACTGGAAAACCGAAAGGAATTCAACACACCACTGCCGGTTATATGGTATACGCGTTCGCGACGACGAAATACACATTCGACGCGCAGCCTGATGATGTGTATTGGTGCACAGCTGATTGTGGGTGGATCACTGGACATACGTAAGCGAGATTTTATGCATGTTTTTTTCCCGTGAATATTCAATTTCGACGGCCAAAACTTATAAAAATGGGCAAAAAACGTCATTTATGTCGAAGAAGATAACATTTTGAGCATTCCTGCCCTTTAGGGATTTGAAAAAAAAGAAAAATGATGTGAGAAGAAAAATCAAACACGACTTATTCTTCCGAATTTTCAGCTATTTGCTCTATGGACCACTCCTCAATGGTCTCCAGGGAATCTGGTTCGAAGGTGTGCCGACGTATCCAACGGCAGCACGCATGTGGGAAGTCACCGACAAGTACCACGTTACAAAGCTTTACACTTCGCCGACAGCGGCGCGCGCTTTGATGGCTTTAGGTGATGATTGGCTCAAGAGGTAAATTTTCTAATAATGAGAGTCATCATTTTTGAAAATGGATTTATTCAGCACATCGCGCGAATCTCTCAAGGTTATTGGAACCGTTGGAGAGCCGATCAACCCGGCTGCTTGGCTTTGGCTTTACAAGAAGGTTGGACATTCGAACGTCGCCATTGTTGATACTTACTGGCAAACGGAGACTGGTGGACATATGATTACCTGCCTGCCAGGAGCCACCCCGATGAAGCCTGGAGCTGCTTCGTTCCCATTCTTTGGAGTGTCGCCAGTTCTTCTTGATTCTGAAGGTCGCATAATTGAAGGACCTGGAGAGGGCAACTTGTGCTTCGACCGCGCATGGCCAGGAATGATGAGAGGCATTTTCGGCGATGAGCAGCGATTTGTCAAAACCTATTTTGCGCCGTTCAATGGCTATTATTTCACTGGAGATGGCGCCAGACGCGACGAGGACGGTTATTTGTGGATTACTGGACGTGTTGATGATCTCATGAATGTCAGCGGACATCTTCTCTCGACGGCCGAGATTGAGAGTGCCCTTGTGGCGCATCCAAAGGTAGATTTTAGTGAAACGAAACAAAACTGGCAATATTTCGATCTAATCTAAATTAATGACGAATCAACATGTTTTTTGTACTTTTCGCCTCGATGGATTGTCTAGATTGTAGTGCGAGGTGAACATTATTTTTTTTGTCTGCAGGTGGCCGAAGCTGCTGTTGTTGCCGCGCCGCATGACATCAAGGGATCATTCCCGTATGCATTCGTCACCTTGAATGTTGGCGAGAAACTCGACGCCACCCTTGTCGCCGAACTCAAGAAGATGGTTCGTGAGAAGATTGGAGCGCTCGCTGTTCCAGACGCCATCCAAGAAGCCCCGGGATTGCCAAAAACGCGTTCCGGCAAAGTGACTCGCCGCATTTTGCGCAAAATTGCCGAAGGAACTGAGAACGGAATCGGCGACACGACGACGCTTGTCGATGAATCTGTCATCAAGCAACTAATCTCGGGAAGATCCGGAAGAGCTTAAAACAATTTTGATCTTTGTAAAGTGACCCATGCTTGACTTCTACCTGTAGTGATTAACATTCTAATCAGTGTACTTATTAAGACATCCATTCCTTTTTTGTGTTTGCAAAACATTATTCGAAAGAGAACAATTTTCACCCTGTTATTACCAAATCAAGAAGTCATCATTTTTTTTCTGCGCTTGTAATTAGAATACTGAGAGATTTAATTTATTCGAATGCTAAACCAATAAAGCATCCGTTGTTGTAATACATAAAAAGAAAAAAAACCAAAATATAATGAGGCAATACACAATAAAACCGGGGAATACACAAATATGTATGACAAGAAGGTTTTGTTACAGAAGAGTGATATTTTTCTGCACATCGAATAATGCTCCTTTGTATCGTTCAAGATTTTCGAGATTTGTGCGGATCTGAACGGTAATTCAGTGGAAATTTAAGATTATTTTAGTATTTTCTTTTTATCGAATTGACTCATCATTTCAATCGGACAATGGCGTGATTATAACTGATAAGAAACTTTAAATGAATCGAGTGCTTATAAAATTTGTTCTATGATACTTTGTACTTCGTTTTCCCGCAAGAACTTGGAATCGATATAAATTGCACTAAAAGAAAAATTTCAACGAAAAAAAAACTTGTGTAACTGTAACACAACCATGAAGCTTCTGACTTCTCCTCAAATTTGTTTTTCATTTAACTAAATTTTCGGCAGTTACGCGACGCCGACAAAATATTCTCTAAACATTTATCAAATCAAAAACCTCTACTTTTGCGCTTCCTGTCTAAAAGTGCTACAAATTTCGAAAAGCTGGACAAACAAACATTTCGATTCCACGACTAGGCTACGTTTTAAAATCAGCTGCAAACTCCGACCTATTAGCCAAAGTTACACGCAACAAAGAACAATGAGATCTTATTGTTTGCTATCACCGCACAGGCTACAAATTGACAGAAGGAAAAACACAAACTACGTAGCCAGTTTTATCGTTCATTGCTTGGAAAACTGCCAAAATTGATCCGATGGTCATTTGATTGTGATTAAAAATCAAACTGAAAGTTTCATACCTCAGAAAGTGATTTTTCTGCAATTTCAAGGGAGTTCCTTAATTTCTCTTCCTTTTCAGCTATTTTCCAGCATTCAATGAGCTAAAAATGTTTAATTTACTGAGCGGCAAATTTTCGTCGCTTACGTCTTCTTGCCGTGGCGGTTTCGGTGAACTCGTCAACAAAAGAAGCTTGGATTGTCGAAGGAGTGTCCATTGGTCTTTTAACTAATCAAAAAGAACATATTAATTTTGAGAAAACCAATATTTTCTTTCATACCAAAGTGTATTCACCGTCAATTTTCGCAAATAACGCTTTCTGCTCCTGCTCAGAAACCAATATCCGCCAAGCTTCCTGAAATGATAAAGTTGAGATGTGATGAGGAGCATGATGAAAAATGTATTCCTAATAAAATTCAAAACTAACATTTCTCCTGTTTTCATCCGGTAAATTTCTAGATTGCATTGGCAGAACGGAAGATTGGGTTGAAGCCGAAGCACTATTTGTAGGCGACTCTGATTCATAGGATTTATCAATCACTTCTTCTTTTACAATCTGAAAACAGAAAGAAATAAGAAAATTATTTTCGCTTTCAAGCAATAACCATCTCTGAATTCTTTTCCGTTTCAGAAATTGGAGTTGATGGAATCTGTTCTTCATCAACTGGGGTTTTAATCGATTCTCGTTCTTCGCCTTCTTCTTTTTCTTCTTCTTCTTCTTCGTCTTCTTGTTCTTCTTCAATTGGCGGTGATTCCTCTGCTGAAAACTCTTCTATCTCCCCTTGTCTTGTTTGTTCTGAAAATAAACACGAACAATTGATTTCATAAATCCACCTGATTACCTTTCGCCAAGCTCGCATACTCATCCAATCCAATCGTCGAATAATACATTGTCGTTTCTGCAATTTCCTGATGATGAGGCCGAGTTTCTTCTCCGACCACGCAGAACGATATGCTTGAATTTGAAAATGACGACGAATTTGGATTATCTGCGAACAATTCTTCAGTAATAATACACTAAGAAATGAATCTACCCCTCTTCTTCTTCAAAGTTGTTTCGTATGAATTCTCGTCCTTATTTTTCTGTATTTGCGACTTCTTGTAGGATGCAAAGTTGGAACTCTGAAAAAATCGAAAATAAATTGAAAACTTCGGAGACACAATACAGATGCCGGTTTTCCAGTTTGTTTATTTGTGAATTGCACTTCAACATCGTCGTCGTCAAAAGTCAATTGATCGTTTTGATTTGGCTTTATGGGTGATGAGAGTACAAGCATGCTATCAATTCTGGAATCATCTATCACTAATTGTATTTTTTATGAAAAATGAAAATTCAATTTATCTCAATATTCTCAATAATGAATGGATCGTTGTGTGTGCTCGATCGATATTTTGAACGTTTTTTATGAAGATCGATCGAGTTTTTTCAAAGTTCTTGGAATCGACAGATCTTTAGAATTTTGAAATCAATGTTCTGCTAATCTTAAGATCGAACACTGGTAAGGATTGAGGAATAAAAATAAATAAAAAAGATGAACCAACAGAAAAAATACCTTACCTTGCGTACGCCGTCTTTTCCTCTTCCTGATCGGCTTCCAGCCTCTTTTGTCCAATTTCATTATTCGATGTTGATGGCATTGCTAGAAAATCCTTTTGTCTATCTTTTTGCATCCGCTGTATCGCGTTCGTTTTTCCAGATTTTGCGTATTTCAAATACCTTAAACTCATCAATTATTTCGTTTAATCGAAACAAATCAAATTGTACATCCGCTTTCGATCTTCTTCCTGAATAATTTTCGGAGCAGATGGATTCATTTTTTTCGTGATGGGACCATCTAAACACTCCGCCTCCGCAGTATGCTTCTGCGGTTTTTTGAATGGTTTTGTTATTTTCTTAGTGAGTTCTGTGAAGTTGATAATGGGGCGCCCCTTTTGCTTCTGAAATTATGTAAAACATTTGTTGGGTAAGTATACAAAATATTGGCTGTGTGCCAAGGTGTCTCACTCGAGAAAAATAGATTGTGTACTTTGCATTTTAGCGTACACGCAGTTAATATTCAGTCAATGATGTATTTACAGTATTTATATTTACGCATGTGTAAATTTACAGTGATTTTGCAAAATTGAAGTCCGCATAAAAATTTGTAGAATTTTTCCAACCTTTTGGTTATCATCAGACATCACTGAAGAATTTGCATCGTTACCAACCGAAGATACAGACCGCTGAATCGGCCGTCGATCTAAAAATGCTAACATTCAAGAATTTGCTAAATTAGCTGATACCAGGCCGAGGGCATGTGGAATTCCATGGTCTGGAATAAGTTGTCCCTCGAGATGCATTACTCTGAGATTCGAATTATATTGAAATTATCAAATTCGAAGTTACAGCTGTGGGCGATGGATACATTCCATTCTCTTTCGAAAATCTGGCAACTTGAGGATTCACCGGAGGAGTTTGAGGCATAAACATTCGCACTGGCATTGTTGCCCTGAATTTTTTTTTAATAGAAAGTTTAGTTTTTCTTTACCTTGCACGATTTCTATGGAAATGTGGAGGACTCTGCTCTTCATAGAAATCTGAATTTAAGCCATCTTTCACATCCATTATAGATATTTTTCAATACTTTGTACATAATTGCGACGCGGCCCTGGAGAAGCCCTCTGCCAATTTTTTTGTGTCGGGGGCCTTTTAGAAGGTAATGGTGGAGCATATTGATGTGGTGGCGACATATCCTTCAATGGTTGACTAAAATTATATATTTTTGCCAATTATGTTACCATTATAATTTAATTATAAGCGTCTAAAGAGAGGAGATAAATTCGAAGTGGAATTCTGTAAAATCTTCATTTGCTTAGAGTCATAATTGTATATTTTATTTCACTTCCAGAAGCAAATCAGAAAATAAAAAAAAAATTAATTTAATGAAAAATATTTGAAAAAGTAATGGAGCAATCGCGCTCTAGCGACAAAAATGTAAACGCGGCACTTTAAAACTGTTACACCAACGCCTTGCACCATTTGGTGGCAACTATTTTTTATGGTTTGGCGTCCTTTTATTCTACACATCGTGGTAAAATGAGATAATAAATTTAATAAATGTTTATTCTTTTCAAGACATTTTTTTATTTAAGCAACGATTCTTTGAAACATACGGTAATTACCGTACCATTAATTCACAAGACCATTTAAAAAATCAGCCACCTCTGTTCTTTCGAATATTATTGCTTCGAGGCTGCAAATTTGAATTAGTTTGTTCTCATTGATTTTATTTTCAGAATGAATATTCCAAATCCAACGCTTAAGAATAATAAGGAAAAAGATAGTTTCACTGTCTATGAAGAAGCTTCTGTCGAAGAAACGCAACAAAGATCTGATGTTGCATGTCAGACACAGGTTTTTTGAAATCATTCCTCAATTTGATTTGCATCGAAGTTTTTTTTAGATTCGGTTTGAAAGCTGTCAAGTTCAAACCAATGATTCAGCTATTCCAACAGAAATGAGTGAAGAAGAAGATGAACTGATTTCATATTGGAATAGAGTTTTATCACAAAATGGAAGTGAAATTGAAAGAATAAAGAAGTTAAATGACGAGGTTAGTGTTTTCCTATGTCATGATAGTAATTATTTGTTTTTTATTCAGCTTGAAAATGAAATCGCTCGCGCAAAACGTGAATTGAATGATAAAAAAGATATCTACAATAGAATTTTTGCGAAAGCGGCAAGACGACTCGACAATAGAAACCGTTCGTCATCAGCATCTTCTTCATTTTCTTCGAAATCTTCCGAAGACGATTCACCATACGCCAACGAGCCAGATGACCCGATTATTGTGAAGACATAATTATTCATTCTGCTTTTTTTATATTTGCACGAAACGGGATAAAATATTACTAACGTTTCTTTAGCTTGTGTTTGAATTAATAGTTGAAGAGACTATTTCATATTTGGAATATTTTTTGTTTTTTCTTTAAACTATTAAGTTGGTTTAGAATGAGTAGAATTGGTCTTTCGCACTTATCGTCTTCTGCGCGGAACAGTCCATTCGGCACTGAAAAGATATTGGAGGGAAAAAAGAAAATTAATATTAGTCCGATTAAGGTAGTTCTATCTTTGAATTTTTCATATAAAAGAATAAGTAATTCAGTCAGTAAAACAAGATTTGAAATACAAGCCTCTTGTTCCTTCGCCGCTCGTCACTTCACCATTTTGTTATGCTGCAAATAAAGAAAATGCAACAACTCAAACTCATTCTAACCAGGTATTCAGGAGAACTTATTTTTGAATTTAAAGTCTCAATTTTAGACAGAATCAATTTCTATTCAAACTAATGTAACAATTCCTAATAAGACACCAATTATTACTGATGAAGATTTGTGCTCAGAGAAGCCCACAGCTGCCTACTGTCAGGTACTTGCTGAACGAATGAGCAAGGATATCGAAGAGCTTTTGCGGAGAAATTTGGAGGTAGATGATTTGATTCATAAATTAATCAAATTTTTGCACATTTTTAGCTCACGCGCCAACTTGGCGATATTAAAACAGAAATCAAGAGCGTCGAAAATGACATAGAAATTCTTGAAGAAGTCGTCGTCGAAATTGATGACGATGAATAATTATGTATATTGTTTATATAAACTATTTATTGTCACCGTTTGATATGTTGCAATTAAGCCCGTCTTCTATCGTTTTGTTGTATATATTTCCGGTCTAAATATGCTTTGGGCCAGATTTGTGCAATAAACTCAAGAAGATAATTGACGAAACTGCTGATAATAAGAAAATGACATCGAACCAGCGATGATAGAAATTGAACTTCAAATCACCGAGAATCCTCGTAATTATTGTCCTATTATTTTTAAATAATTAAATTGGCAATTATAATAATTAATTACCGATATTGAAGAGGGACATTCATTCTCATTAAAAGTACACTCGAAACAAAGTACATTCCCTGAATATTGAAAATATTCTCAAATTTTGGATATAATTTACCATTATCTGGGCCATTCCGAGGACAATTATATTTGATGTTGTCGTGTTGCTGAAGAATACGAACAATTTTGTCATTGTAATCAGTAGTCCTGAGAAAATATAATGAATTTTGCGGGAGACTTCGATTTTAAGCAATTTTGAAATTTTAGTAAAAGATAAATTCCAATTTTTGTCTGAAAAAAATAGAAGAACATAAGCAAACATTAAAATTTAATTTTAAAAAATCAGAAAAAGCAAATATTTTATTCTGAATTGATTTTTTCTTTTGAGCTTTTTCAATTTTTCGGTTACCTCTCACTGAAGTTACTGCAATAACTCCAACCAAGAAGAATGAGATGTATTGCGACCAAAACGTGATATCCAGCTGAATTCCGACATAATGAACACCAATCTCAATTGTTTTCGTGACGGGATCCACTTTTCCAACTCGATCGAATACAATATTAATGAACGAGATGAAAATCTTCCAAATGCAATAAATCGAGAAGAAATGGCCCAGAACGTTGAAATACATGCCCATATAAGTTTTACTAAATAGATTTAATGTCATGACTATTAAATGAACCACTAGTCTACCTGAATTCGACTCTGCTTAGCATTTGTCGCATTTCGACAAGATCCAGGAAGAGATATCTGCTCAATGTCTCCAATGGAACGACCTCGTCTTTGATTTTTCTGAATTATAATCAATTTTTGATGAGTCTCGTATAGAATACTCGATTTGCGTGCCAAGTGTTGGCCCAACAGATCCGTCCGATATGTTGCCCCAAAGGCGTTCTAGAAACGAAGTCTCCTTTTTCTCTGAAATTTATACCATTTGTTACATAATTAATAAATTTTCCACGTTTTTCAGCGTTCATTCTGCTCAATTCGAGTTGATATCTCGCGATTTTTCGTTTTTTCAAAACAATCATTTCCATTGTATGCATTAGTTTCTTCTCCAATTGCATTACATGATATTCTTCAACCTTTCTCAAAATATTAAATTACTTCAAATTGATTTAATTCAATTACCGGTCTTGTGAAGAATGTCATATAACAATACGGAGCATTAACAGCTCCAAAGCCGGATAGAACTGCCATAATTGTTACACCAATGACACCAACTCGAGATATGACTTGCTCGATTGTGAAAATTCCATGTTTTTGACTTAAAATTGGGAATGGATCGCCAATTTTCCAGAAAAAGAAAATGAAAATGAGCCATGCACCGAGACATAGTGGGACCCGAAGATTTGAGCGGACGAATGGAATACCTCAAACTTAATTTTCGCCATCAAATCATTGAAATTTTTACCTTGTATCGCCAAATAAGCCATGTATATCGGAATAAAAACTACTAAAGTGAAGAGAATCATAGATAAGCAAAATGTCCAGCATCTGGTTCGAGATCTCAACGAATTTGTTTGGATTATCTTCCAATTTTTGGATTTACAATGGTTCCATAACATCGGCGATTTCTAAAATAATTAATTCAAACAGACTACAAGATAGAGCGAATGTCAGAGAAAACATAAATTGAACAACTCGATCATGGACCTGAAATAAATGAATATTTCATAATATTTTTTGGAACTTATTACAGACCTCGTAATTTTTAAATAACTGCTTTGTGTAAAATAGCCATCCAGCGGCATAAAATAAAAGTAAGGAGCCGATCATTAAGTGGGCATCTTTCGTTTCTTTATCTAAGAAATTTTCCAACATCTCCCTGAAATTTTAACTTTGGAATCTAATCGGAATTCCTTGTGAAATATTAAAAATTTTAAAATAAATAGATGTGGCCGTGGCCGTGAAAAATAGACACCACGGCCATTCCTACTTTTTATTTTTTTTGCGGCATTCGGAAAATTAAGTTTTCCTTGTTTTAGAATGCTCCATAGCTTTGATGTTCCACCATTATGCATAGCATCAAACTCGGATGGCTCTAGAATAGCTGTAGGATGTGTAGACGGCTCTGTCAAATTTCTAAACACTGAAAACGATAGCTTTGAAGTAATTTGCCATTCGTAAATGTAAAATAAAATTTAAGTAGATAATTAACATTTTATTCGAATTTTAGTTTCGCATAAGTAAGTTTTCAGACTATTTGGGAATTCAAGACCAAATCTTGCGTACGTTCAATCGACATTGATGAGACGAATGAAAAAGTGTATGCCGTTATTAAAAATAGGGCATTGTGTGCTTTTGACATCAACACTGGCCGAAGGCAGGTTTAATTAATATTTAACATTTATTTAAAATTTTCATTTGTAGAACTAGGTGCATATTAAAAGCTCATTCCGCTGCTCCAATGGTTGTTTGTTCTCTTCCTCCTTCGTCCCTGAAAAATCAGCAAGTGGCAACGGCTGATGAGAAAGGAGAAGTGAAAACTTGGGATTTACGAGCAGAATGTCCTGTAGTGCGAAAATGGAAGGAGCAAGAGGAAGAAATTAATGAATTAAAAATCGATAGTAAGCATAATTTGCTATCGGCTTCATCTGATGGAACTCTGGCAGCTTTTGATGTACGTTTGATTTTGTATATCTGGATGAAAGCATTTTTTTAGCTGCGAAAAGGAAAATTGAAGGTTCGAAGTGAATTGATGCATTCCGAATTACTTTCAATTTGCCCTACTGATAAGTACAGAAACACATTTTATTCGTAAAATTAAAAAAAAAAACAATCATTTCAGATTCACTTATGTTGGCGGCGGTGATGGATTTATTGAAGTTTTTAATCATAACGAGTATGGAAATTTATTAGAAAGAATTGAAAGCGGGTTTGAACTTGGAACTAATGGAATCGTTGAACTTCGAAGAGGCTTGCTCTTAACTAGCAGCTCGGGAAGCAATAAACTTAGGTAAATGAGCAGAAGTTTTTGTTTTTTAAATATTTATTTCTTAGATTATTGAATGTGATGCCAAACAAGAGATTAGGAATTATGGGAACTCATGGCGATGAGCATGAGAACGACGGAATCGATATAATGACGGTATATTTATTTTGCTTACAATTAATAATTCAATTCGAATTTTTCAGTTAAGTGGTGATAAGACCACTTTATTCACTGCAATTTCCTTCAATTGCACCATTAAGAAATGGGAATTGACGCCAATTGTCGAGAAGATTCCAATATTACGGTCGACTGATGCCAAGAAAAAGAAGAATGTTGGAGTTGGGTAAGTGTTAGAAAACAATAAAAAAAGAATAGAATTGAAATATTTTATTTAAAAGTTTCAATTAACGTTTTTTTTCCAGATTTTTCGACGATCTCATTCCGGAGGGTCAAAAGAACGACGAACCGAAGAAAAAGAGAAGAAAGGAAGATGATAGCGACGAGGAAAGCGATGATGAAGGTGAGGATGAGCAGGAGGATGAAGATGAGTTAGAGGATGAGGATGAGGAAGAAGAAGCTGATGATGAGGATGAAGAATAGATCACAAGTTTTACCATTTTAGACTCAATTCGTTGTTGACTTGTTTGTTGTTGTTGTTATTATTATTATTGATTAATATATATATAAATATATTTTTTCCAAAAATATGCGTTTTAGTTGATATTTGTTAGGGTTTTCAATTCCTTGCTCTTCCTATTTTTTACATCTCATAACTATTTTCTATAATTTTTTTTTCAGTTGAAAATGTCATTTGTGGCTTGTGCGATTTGTGCGATTGAGAAGAAAGAGCTGTATACATGCCCAAGATGTTCCATTCAATACTGTTCCATCAAGTGCTATCGGAACGAGAAGCATTCGCAGTGTTCCGAAATGTTTTATCAGGCAATATTGCTATTGAATTCCAGCAAACAACCTTGGCAATATTTTCAGGAGCACGTTAAACGAGAATTGTCTGGAATGAAGTATGATGCGTCTGGAAAAGGAGAAGAATACAAGGAAAAAATGCAAAAGTTTCTTGATGGAGATTGGAGTGGAATTGAGGGTAATGATTTTTTGTAAAGTTTGAAAATTTATTACAAAAAAGATGTGTCGTCATGAGTAATTTATGGATCATCGAATATTTATTGAGGGCGGGAATTCAGGTACCGTAATGCGGATAACTTGCGAATCAAACTTACCAGGATTAAAAAAAACCGGTGAGAACCCATTAAAAACCCTGAGAACTATTGACCGATTTTTTGAGTTTTTCTCCAAAATCCGCTAAATGTAATTTTCATATAATTTGCAGAAGGAGAACAGCTCGATTCAGATGATGAGCATGATCCAGAAATGGAAATGAAATGGGAGAAGGAGGAGCAAGAAGCGATGAAGAAGACAGTAGAGGCCACTATCGATGATTATGAAATGGAAGATGATGAGATCGAGAGGCGAATGATTGTGAGTCGTTTCCAGGCGAATTCTTCGCGTTTATCATTCATCTTTAGGCCATGGGACTCTCGGATAACGTTGACGAGCTTCTGAACACGTTAACTCCGGAAGAGCGTGAAGTATTCAAGCAGCTCGCTGAAGAAATGCAGCAAGAAGAGCTCGGACTCTCCAATTCGTGCTTCAAATCTCAATAAATTTCAACAATTTTTAATCGTTTACGGGTTTATAAACATAATCATTCAAATTTTAATGAATTTTTTGTCCATAGCGGTTGATAAACCGAGCTAAGTATTTTATTCATAATCACTAATTGATTAATTTATAAAATTCTCTATTCAAGATGCTCGCTCGTCGATTAATATCTAGCTTGACGCGAAAACCAATTATGGCGCAATTTTCAACGTCGACCAACGCATTGAATACGGCAGAAACATCTGCAAATGCTGAAGTTATTGACACGGAAAAGGTTGGTTTTGAAATTAATGAAAGAGATTTTTTCGAAACATAATCACAAACGTATTTTTCCTCATTAAAGGACGTTGATTCGATTTTTTTCAGGTTCAGCAAGAAGTTTACAAATCGATTGGTAATGAATTGGCTGACGAAAGAAATAAATTGTTTGCTGTTGTTTACATAAATGGTAGACAATGGAAGGTGATTCCCCCATATTTTGTTTCTAATTTTTTTTAACTAAAAATAATGATACTATGTATGTAGAGTTTGCCAAAAAAAGAACAGTGAAAAACTGAAAGAAACTATGCTGATTGGGCAAAAAACGAGTTTTTTAGTTTTTTTCCGGAATCTGCATAGCATCTTCAATATTCGTTGAAAATTTCGATCCAGTTGTGGAATAAAAATCCAATCTAAAAGAAAGGTTGTCCTTCTAGAAAATCTTTTTTTTCGAAATTTTCTTTTGTTTTTTTTAGCAGTTTCTACCAAGATCTCATAACCCCTTTGTAATTGGGACCAGACGTGTTGTAAAATAACGAGGTCCTTTATGAAATTACTATCGACGCGATTGCATCCCAGAAAATGTCCAGAGATGATTTGAAAAATGGGAATTTTTTCCGGTAAATTACATCAATTTCTTAGCCAAGATCTGGCAATTTCTTATTGACTTCTACTAAAAATTCCTAAAAGTTTCGCTATCAAATTTTCAAAAATTTTGAGAGAAATTGTCATAAGTTTCTGAAAAAAATTGACATTATTTAAAGACAATTGTTTTAGAAGATGTCGATTAGCAATTATAAAAGGTTGGTGTGTCAAGCAATTTGCTGAATAATTTTCCCCGGAAATTTTCCAGAAACTTTCTAGTATGGAAATTTAAATTGCTTCACCCCCCCCCCTCTTCCCGTCCGTCGTGAAAATCGAAAATTTAATGATGTCCATTCGCTAGTTCAACTACTACGTCACTTATCTAAAACATCAATCTCCTCTGCTAAAATATACAGCGATCAAAGTCATTTTCTCCGTTTTCGGAAAGTTCAACAGATTGACGCAGCAAGAAAATTTAGAATTGTTTGCCAAAACGAACGGAATTAATTTTCTTTTGGATCTGAAAATGTACACAAAATAAATCAAGGGTGGCATTGTTGCGCGCACCTCTGTTGGTCCCAATTGTGATTCGAATGCATTCGAATAATAGAAATTGATTTATTGTGATTATATGTATATAAAAAGTCGATTTTTCAAGTTTTCGAGACCAAAATCAAAAGTTTAAGATGGATCCGAAACCAGAAATTTTAGAACTTTTATGTATGCCATGGTAGAATTGAGAGTCTCGTGACGTCATACACTTCTTTCGATAACTAATTTTGTATTTCAGATAAGCAATGGCGATCTCATTAGTTTGGAGGGGAACCTTCCATTGTGCGTCGGCGACGAGATTAAACTTGAAAAGGTGAGTAGTGGTCGACGATTTTTTGAACAATTTCCGACATTTGTGTATGACAAATGGTGTATGTCAGATTCTCATGATTGGTGGACGCAACTTTTCGATCTTCGGACGCCCACTTCTTCACAATCATCAGGCGCAGGTCGACGCGGTTGTGGTTGAGAAGAAGCTGAAATCGCCGGAATTGAAATACACCCATATCAATCATCGGCAAACCAAAATTGTGAAATGTAAGAATGTGTGTTTTGTGTTTAAAAATAATTCCAAAACTTCAATTCGCCGATAGATTGATCAAATTTATTAAGCCGAAAATTTATAGATTGATGAAAGTAGATATCGACGCGGAAATATTAAATCTCATTCATTAAGTCGGCAACTGACGGATAGATTTACGTGAATGCGCCTGTGTTGAACCATTGGTGCGATGAATCAGATATCTTGCGCGCTTTTAACTTACAGTACATTGTTTCCTGGTTTAGCGACCTAGATTGGTTCCGGTAGAATGAACACATTAAATTCAGTTATCTTTGTAGATTGTTGAAAGATATGCCAAATATGATAAAAATTAACAGGTGACCGCACGTGGACCTGATGGCATAGAGAGTCGCTTCGAGAGTCTGCACAAAAATCGCGTGTTTCTTTAATTACCGTATTCAAAGAATATTGTCGAAACTAGAAAACTCTTGAATTTGTCTCATGGACCCATTCGGTGATTGCAAATTAACCAATATTCGTAAAATAGCATTAAGCATTTCTGTAGTTTTTGTCGCAATAAACGCTTTGCGTAGTGGTACTGTAGGTCGCGATGGGATATTTTTTAAAACCTTATTGTTAGGTATTGTCGACGTCAAACAACTGAATGGAGATGGGGCCTTCAAATTCGCGAAATCAGTGTAGATTTAAATATATCGTTCTCTGAGTATTAAATGCGCGTACACTATAATGCAATGTACGCAATCTGGCGTACTTCTCGCTGCCTCGAGACGTATGACCAATAATTTTTTTTTAAATTTAAGTTTTTAAATTTCGTCCAGTCGTTTGACTCTGACAATAAATGAAATTAACCTGATTTGATGGAAAAATCTTCAAAATCCAATGATTTATTTCTAATTTTTATTTTTGAAATCGTATTTGATTGAAATTCGCCAAAAAAAAATTTTTTAATCGCAGTCAGGTTTTTCGATGATAAGAAACAACAAACAAACCGTAATAGAAAAACTTGGATTAAAAAATTTTCCCATCGAAAAAAAACGAACGTCTTCAATAATTGTGCACCATCGCACTTTTTTGAGGCGGTAATTCAAATTCCGATACCGTAGTCTGGATAACCGGCGAATCAAAATAACCGTAACTCGGTACTGGGTGTTCGCAAGTTTTTACGGTCGAAGACACATACAATAACATTTTTATGACTCTTGCAGTGATTAATAAAAAACTGTGGTGTTGTAGACTCTGAAAAACCTGGCCGCGGCCGAGGTTAATTGGTTTCTGTTCCTGCTTTTGAGGTTTTTGTGATATCTGCATAGTACGATAATGAGGCAATGCAGAAAATAAAAAAAAAAGGTTAACAATATTGTTGTGAGCACACTCACGTAAACTATTGTAATCTCGTAGGTTATGGAATGTTCTAGAACCCAGTCCCGCACGTAAACATCCCCACACGCGCATTGTAGAACATTCGCATCGAGACCCATCGCATGAATAAACGGCATGCGTAAACAATAAACGGCATGTATAAACGGCATATCGAACCGACCCATAAAACGCGAAATAACCTGTTAGTCCGTGCGAGACCATTACGAAAGACGCATTTCCGTAAATCTACCCGAGTACAGAAGTTGACGGAGGCTGACTATATCACTCTTTTTTTTAAAAACAATTTTTTTAAAGAAATAAATCAAAATGGATAATGTAGGAAAAAGAAAAAAATAATTGTTTTCTATCCGTTACCCCTTATTTCGCAGCTATATTACGCAAGCTTTCGAAAATTTTCTCAGCTGATTTCTATAAAAGGCAGTGGGAACTTGATCAGATCTTTTTATACATCATCAGTGACTACCGTATTCAACACAACCTCGCTGCGATTGCGGCAGAAAACGGCTAGTAGTTAATGTAATCGATTAAAAGCTCAGAATGCGGAAAATGATTTGGGTCTATTGGTTCTGGTAGCTTTTTTTTTCGGAAAATTGTCCGTATTTGCAATTATTATTAGAAAAAAAAGACGCTCGTTGCTCTTAATCAACAATAGTTACGAAAATTAGCACAAGACTACTACTATAAAGATATTCTCAAGAAAATTAAGAATGTTTTTGAGAATTGAATTCTGAAATAAATATCGAGCGTTTCCAACAAAATCAAAGCATAACTATCAAAAGGTTCCCCCACAACGCATCGCCGATGCATCGTGTTTATTCATCTTCGTTTTACCTCTCTCTTCCCCCTCTCTGTCCCCTCTCTTCGTCCTCTTCTTCTCCCTCTTTGCATTCCACCAAACATGGATTGTGTGTTGATCCGATCGCCGTGTTCTGATCATCACACTGTCCTATTAGATCCTGGAAATCCTCAACAGCTGCTGTTCGTAATGGGATGGCCGCGCAATTGTCCTTAATTGTTGTGATGCAGACCATACTTGTACATGAACTTATTACACCCAAAGAATTATCAAAATGTATAATGAAATTATAATGGGAGGGTTCAATGAAACATTTGAATTAATAGAGAAACTCTTCAAATGTCCCAATGAAATATTTGGATAATGCACATTGTGTGTGATGCGACATTTATTACACTCATATTCATTCGAAGGTGGTGTTGCGTCGAAAATTCACTTTGTCGTGTGTTTTCGCTGTCGTCGACCTATCGCTGATTTCTGTTCGTGTTGTGATCGTGTCGTGATCGCAAGAAACGCCGACAAAGGAATATGAATTGCGGCAGGCTGTGCCCGAGCCGCCGCCCGAAACGCCGCAAGAGTTTTTTTTTTCAAATTGCAAAAAAGACCGGTCGTTATGTTGTTTTCGTCTGAAATTATCGAAATCGACAAGCCTTGATTACGATAGTTGGTTGAATGCAAATATTTAGGACACGTGCACTCGTAAACTTTCTGAAATATTATCTTCTAATTAGAAATCCGTGTTTAGCTTTGAAAATTTTGAGAGCACACTTTGTGAATCATGAAGAGTTCAAAGACTTGCATTTTCAGGGATTAGCGATGAAACAACTATTCTGCGAATCAAAAATGTGTCAGCAAGCGGAATATAATTCGATGGCCAACAATATCTCAATTTTATAAATAGAAAACTCCGATAATAGTTTAGTTTTTGTTGTTTTTGTTATTCGATCCTATAAATATTTTTGTTTCGATCTTTTTTTCTCATATTTGAACGAATTTGTGGATTTTGTATTATCATCGGCACACGACATCAAACATGTTTTGCAATCTTTCGGATTCAATTGTGACGTCCGCAGAAGACCACCCCCCTTCAAAAAATCGCCGGAATAGAGTGTGGTTCTTCCTTCTGTTCGACCATCCAACCAGATCCCAATCATTCCGATATAAATGGCTGAATGGGGCGTTGACTTCATGACCCTATTCGATGAAAATTTCCTCCTATTATTTTGAACATATTACTTATCGACGAATTTTGGGAGGCGTTGCTTATGATTCAAAATTATTACTTTTAATCATTTTCGTTTCGATATTTTATTACTATCGCTAAAAGAAACGGCCACCCTGATTCAAATATCGTTAATGACGCTGGGAATTTCGCTACCGTACTCTGAATAACCTGCGAATCTAATATACCGTTTTTGCGATTAAATTAATATGGTAAACGACGGTTGGAATTCAACAATTTGTTCAATTCAACAATTTGTTCAAAAGAAGTTTTTTTTTAACGTTTTCTTTTATTATTACGAGCACCCAGTGCCGAATTAGCTTCTTCTTGGTATTAAAATAATGAGTATAGTTGAAGATCGTCGATTTTGACAAATTTCGATTTAATCTTTAATTTTTAATGCGAAATTAGCTCTAAGAAGGCTCCGCTTCCCTTTCAGTCGTTTGACGCCGACAGTTAAAGACAATGATGCGAACATTTTGATCATATCCAATGCTTCCCAAAATTCATCCGTTCTCTAAAATGCATATGAGAATAGATACTGCCTAAATATTAAAAACGGGGAATATTAAAAACGATATATTTCTCCGTGCATATATATATATATATATATATATATATATATATATATATATATATATATATATATATATATATATATATATATATATATATATATATATATATATATATATATATTTATTTATTTATTTATTTATTTATTTATTTATTTATATATTTAGATTTTTCATTTCATGTCATCTCTTTGATCTGATTTCATTTGTTCTCTGAATTATTTATAGTTTGCCTTCAAAATTCAAATTGCTCATTGAGAAAATTGCAAGCTCATCGAGATGACAAAAAAAATGATGACGCATTGGGGAATTCAAGATTCAATTCATTTCCTATTTTTAAATGTTTTAAAAATAGTTTTGAGGGTTCATTAATATTTCGAATTTGTTCTTCTCAAACTTCTTAAAAAGGAGTGAATCGAGAATTGTTCATCGTGGTTTCAACCACGTTCTGCTTTGAACCGATCAAAAGCGTCCCCCAATATTTTAGCTTTTATTTATCGATTTTCCGCGTTCATTTGATGTAGTGCAAGTCGATCTGGCGGGCCGCCAAATGCGATACAGTACCTTCATCCCATTTACGGAGATGCGAAGAAGAGAAGATTGCGCAAATGTTCAAACTAGATATAAAGGAAAGTTCAACCATCAAAATGTTAATTGCGACTCGTTGCACAATTTTTGCGAAAATTTCGGTTCGAATATTCAAACAAATCACCATGCCCTCTGAATGCAAAAAAATTGGGCAATTTTCATTCTTGAAAATTTTAATTCATTTTTTTAAATTAATTAACAAATTAAAATGACATCGAGATTTAAAAAATATTCATCTTCCTTCGGACCTCAACCAGATTTTTTCGAAATTCGTTCTTGATCTAATACTCTTGTTGCATTCCCATTCTTCGCTAGCCCCGCCTCCCACATGTAGATTGTTATTATGATTTCGATCGTCCGATTGGTACACTGATCCTTCAATGTCATTCTAGGATTTCCGCGTCGCTAATGCAATCGTTCAAATTCAGCCGTTGGAGGTCCGCGTTCATTATTTGGAACAAAAATGGGATTGTCGCCAACAAATTGGCAGGTGCGTTCAATATTTTAATGTTTATGCGAGCCAATCCGTTCGAGGATTTCTAGTTTGTGATTTGAACGATCCAGAGCAATTAAGTACGTCGTTACGAAAACGATAATTATCCGCATCTATTCGAAAGTTTGAGTCATCTGTACGCAATGCTTAACACACAATATCTTGCTAATTGAATTATTCAAATCATTACTACCCTAGCACAATGTTCTAACACTTTAACATTTCGACTGATCGCAATGGTGGATCAGAACACCATATGGTGCAATTAAGCTTTGACAATGAAAGAAAAATGTGTTCTGAATTAAAGGTGCACATTTGAATGTTTTAAATTTTTATGAATTCTGTTCGATAGCAATGACATCAAATTCGAGCATTATACCGCTTTTACTAGAATAGTAATTAATTAATGATTATGTAAAATGTATGCACTTCTTCTAACAAGTCAGCAACTAATTGACGAAATCCGTAGCAATTAAGTGGTAATCCAGCGGAAAAAAATTGACAAGATTTACGCCACTCTCAATATTCGATTTTGATCATAATTTGCATTATTCGAAACTGTTTTTCGCCGACAAATATTTAAATGATGTCTGAAAATTTGTTTCAAATTATTTAAAAAAAAATATTTTGATAAGCCCCCTTCTCTTTACATAGTTTGCAGAGCAAGAACTTAGCTCTTACACATTTTCCAGCATCTTTTATTGAAATTGTGTCTAGAACACCATTCATATCAGATGAATGCAACAGATATGGGATCTGTAACGTAACGCATTTTGGACTAGAAAGTAAAATAGGGAGCACACCAATATCATTTTCGGTGATCCCACCAATGCCTTTAGTTCACTTTTCAAAAACTTCTTTTGTGGTCTTCGAAACATTCGCAATTTCGTCATTTATTGCCGGGCCGGCTTTCGGCCTGCCGGCTTCAATTTAACAACCCTGAAAATAGGAATTTCCATAAATGAACATGCCTGCGTGTTTACACCGAATGCATATTATTCGACGACTATATTTAAACGTGAAAAAAAAATTTCCACATGATTTTTGAATGCTCAATTTTTGATTTTTCGAGGTCCCCAGAGATACGAACGATGAGTATATCGAAATGAAGCAGAAAATGACAAAATGTGGACTTGTTCATTTCATTTGCCTAAAATACATCATTTTCTAAACATCATGATCGTTTTTCTCCACAACCAAATTATCTTGAATTTTCGTTTTTTTTTCTTCTTGAGTTTCCTCGATGTTTTTATGATTTTTGAGATTATCCTTTTTAAAAGTCCGAATAAAAAGGTGTCATTTTGCGAAATGAGGCAATAAGTTTCTCGAATTTGATCCCATTTTTCCAATCGATTTTAAAAACCGAATTGTTCGTCGGCAGTCAAAAAACTCTACCATCGAATTTCCACACACTACTGTTGGGACCAATATATCTAAAAAGTTGTGCTGTAAATTTTTTTTTCGGAAAAATTTAATGGTTCGTTCAGATAATATCAATCATTTTTTTGTCACATCGTTTATTATTTGAGCAATTATCGATTTTTCGTTTTCATGTTGCTCATAGGAAGTTTTTAAATCATTGGTCCCTCAGCAATAATTATACCCAAATTATCCACAATTTTTTCATTTTCCCATTTTCAACTCAAAAGCTATCGCTTCCTGTTTGACGTACACACCTACAGTATATCTACAGTAAACCGATGAGAAGATTTTCGCGTGTTTTGTGTTTTCGCGATAGTATCTCCGAAACAACCGTAGTCGGAAAAAAAGATTTGTGCAAATTCGGGTTGCGCTGGAAGATTTGTGACCTGATAAAGTATTGATTAGTTGGAGAGAAGAGATTGGTTCCAAAATCAACATGAGCAGCTGGAAATTGGTGATAAAATTTCTGCATTTTGCATACTCTGTTTCAATTTCTTCAATTATTTTAAAACTATAAAGCTATGAAAAAACCGATTTTAAAAGTATATACAAAATTTGAAGATAGAGAAAAATGGTGATTTTCCTTATTTTCCTCGATCTTTTTTCTCTCTGCATAGCCTTCTTCGCGAAACGCGCAAATGTCCAAATCGGGCCTTATTGAGAAATGCGAGTATCGATAATGCGATTAGTTGAGCTTCATGAATAGCTCTCACCCCCAAATATGGGAAACTCTCAATTGCTAGCAAATTGGGGGCACGAATAGAAATTCCCGAGGAACTCAACCTTGGCAAGCAATTTATGCAATCCTCGCCTTCCTTCCTCGGATTCCTCACCATGGCAACATTCTCCCGCGTACATTTCTTCCATTTTCCCACACAAACTATTCATATTCACTTACACAATTCTCCTTGTTTCGCCCTTAAAAAAATAAATAGCGACATTTTTTTTCTTAAAGAATCAACCACTTTATTGCTAAATTAATTTGGCTTATAGCTTCAACTCATAATGGTCATTGATCGAGTTTCAATTTTATTTGAATGATCATGCTTAGTTCTATAGGGCTTCTTCCATCTGAATAAATATCAATATCGCCTACGCGAAAAGAAGCCCAATGTTTAATATATTATATATTTATATAGAGACATATGACAACAGACTCTATTCAAATTTTGTGCCCAGCTAATTTTGGCTTTAATTCATTTGGAAAACTTCATTGCGAAAATTAGATTAATTGAACTTGAATGTGATTAACCGTCCAGTTGTTTCAAATCATCCTAATGTTATTTTTTCTTTGCGTTTCCATTTTTGCACGTTTCCGAATGCGATTGTAGAACGATTGTAGGTCCAAATCGGATCCGAAAATCGAATTTATTCACGTTTTCACGTTGAAAAATCACGTCTAGCAATTGAAACAAATTTTAAATTTCCAAGTGGATTAAGACCACTTAAATTTGCGTAATTGTTTCCCTCGCAGCGATCGTTTTGTGTTTTGGAAGCGGCGATGAAAACACACGTTTGCAGAAGGCGATTGGTTGTCGAGATAGGGACTATTCAACAAGCAAATTCAATAGTACACAAATCCCGATTGTTTAAATTCAATTTTGAATTATCGACTCGAAAAATGTGATGGCTCATAATTATTCAAGGCTTAAAAAAACCGAGAAAGATATGAATTTTTTTTTGCGCCTGCGACTCGGCCACGGCTACGCCTAACTCGGCCACGTCCGCGCCTAACTCGGTGAGCCGCTGTTGCCTATCGCAACACATTTATGACATTTAGCCGTACAACATACATTCAATAATATTAGATATATAAAGATATATAACCTTTCAAAGCAATTTTACACAAATACCCAAATTTCTTTTAACTCAAATGCTCAATCTATTTTATGTTTGTCCTATTTTAGTTGAACTCGTTGATCTGAGAAAATTGCATTGCAAATTACAAATCGCCCTCCTGTGAAAAATTGGCGAAATGCCAAAAAAAAACAGTGGCAGTGGTCTTGGAGCAAAAATAGAATTGTCGATTTACGGGCCTTAGTAGAAGGACGACAACAAAAAACGACAATAACGACCTTGTTCAAATGCTTTCCGCATTTAAAGAACATCCAACAGTCGGATTCGCACAGATAAAATCTTATGAATCACAGATGAACCTTTGTTCATAGTAGTCCGGAATTGTCAACTAACCTTTATTAATAAGGGTGTGATATTAATAAGGGTGTGACCTTTCAAAGTTGAAGTGCGTTGTATACTTCAACATACAATGAACGATCTCGCAAATGAATAGAAGATGAACAGGCATTGCAATTAAATAACAATTTCTACCATATAAAGGTCCCGAAACGAATGATTCAAGCTAGGTCATTTTCTACATTTCTTGAAAAAAACGGCGTCGAAACAATTTCTCTCAATTAAATTGATATGCGCATGTTGATTACGAATAATAGAAGTGCACGTGAGCGCAATTTGCATTTTGAATTGCGCCTGATCCTATAATGTAGTATTTTAGTTTGTTTAACTTTTAATGGTATCATATTCGATAAATATTTCTTTATTTATCTATGCTTTATGACTTTAACGCGCTGACACTTTGATATTTGACCATTCACATTTTTTGTCCCCAAAATTTTGAAATTGTTTCTTTCTGTGGGATTAATTCAGATGTGTGCGAGAGCAAAATGTCATTTTTTCAATTTTTCTTTGAGCATACACTTTATTATTGTTGTTGAGCATCTTGAAATGAAAATTACACCTTCGAAGTGGAAATTGTATGTATATTTTTGACAAAGATTTGAAGAGGTAGATTAGTGGAAAGGGTCAAAGTCCGAACACTCAATTTGCGTTAGAATACGCCATTTGATTTTCGAAATTTCTCAATTCAGCACTTTCTACCAAAATGAGTAATTGAAAGTTGCTTGACGAGCGATGATTGAACGGAAGCCTCAATGTATTCAAAAAAAAAACTTGAACCAAATGATTTCAATGATTAATATTTGGTGGTTTCCATATTCTTAAAAATTCTTCGAATGTATTATATCAGTAATACATATTTTCTCTATACTTATTGGTCTCAATTGAATTATATGTAAGCATTTCTAAAAATGGCATATTTTACTCCTGGAGACTTTATTCCAAATAAACACGTTGCATAGAGCTCAATCAAACATAATTTCATGATTCATATGCTAGACGCATATGTATTACAAATCATTTAGATTCAAAAAGTTTGAAAATTAAAATTTCTATTTGTACTTCTGTTGATTGTTATTCCAAGATTTACTTTAACGTTTTCATTCGTTGATTTTTTTTAAATATACCTCAGAAATTAAAAACATTGGATTAATTATTAATAATTTTTTTCTTGTCTTCCATTCAAACACATATCGCATCACAAATCAGAGATCATGTCTTTCGGGCTCAAACCGTTTATAGCTTTAGTTTGATGAGACGATCTTACGTTAACGAAATCTGTTCATACATGGGAACAGGAATCATGATCATAGATAATAATCTGGATGTCATTGAATTTGGTGGACGTATCCACACTTTCTCTCGCACTGTATTTTAGAATCTGTGCAATTGGTCGTTGAATCAAAAGCATGTGGTGCAAACACTTATTGCAATTTTTATTATTTTTCTAATTTGGAAATGTTATTTTATACGAACATGTAGTAGAACAACTTGGGGTTTTTAATCATTGATATATCAATATAATAATGCGTTATTCGCTACACACGTATTATAATTGATGAAAGTCATCGTCATAATCGATCAAATGCTCTTTCAAGGTATAAAATAAATAATACATGACAGCGATTGTCAGCAGGTACTCATTTCACATATCGTCCGAATGCTCCACCAAATCACTTATTTCTCGTTTTCTCTCGTCATCATCACCCTCTAAATGTCCTGTTGCACTCTTTTTTTTCTCGTCTGCCAGCCTCTGAAAAGTTTCTTGTTTGACCGCGAATCGCTCGAATACTTCATTTTGCTTCCCCTGGTCTTTCCGTTTGTTTCGATAATCATTAATATATTTATGTTTTTTTTTTTAGAGGAGACTGAAGGGCCCACGCGTGTTTCGAAGGCAGGAAAAGGTAATTTTATCATTGTTTATTATTTTTTCTTATCATTTCGGGATAATTTATCATTTTCTTTAAATTTTTGTGATAAAATTTTGATGAACAAGACAAATCCATGGAATTTTTAAATTTCGGTCTTCATATGAAGAAGAGTTAAACTAAAATGAGCTTAGTATCGCATGAGTAATGCATAAATGCGTTCTCTGAAATAAATCTTCAAGAATGGCTGTCTCATAGTTTTTACTCCGTGAAATTTAGATGAGTCTCTGCTTCCAGATTCTGCTCCAAACTCCATGTCAACCAAGTGTCTCGTTTGCGAGCATCCCGATGGAGGAAGTGCACATTTTGGGTCCACGTCATGCCTTGCATGTGCCGCGTTTTTCCGACGAACCGTCTCGCTGAATATTAATTTTGTGTGCAAAAAGGACAACAATTGCACTATTTATCATGGTTTTCCACAATTTTTTCCCACAAATCCAATTATTTCATATTTTCTAGAATTACGCATGATTTGTCGAGCTTGCCGATTCGAGAAATGTTTAGCTGCCGGGATGCGAAGAGAATGTAACATTGTTTTTTGGATTCTCTTTTTTAAAATTCATTTTTAGGTGTTCAAAAACGGAGATCTAATAAAAAGACGCCGAAGAAATATGCCGATACATCAGTGAAAAATGAGATTGAAGATGATTATGCAGAAGGTTTTTCATTTATGCAACACGGTGAAAAAAATTTAAAAAAGACGCTTTTACCTTGCTGCAATTATTTCGAATAATTTCCAATTAATTATTATTCAGATAACACCGATAATAATTCACCAATGTCTGTCGGCATGAAATCACCTGCGACCTCGAATGGTCAACTAGATAGTCCGATAACATCCGAGGTAGGAATTTTTGAAATCAAAAGATTGAAAAATGTTCTATCGTAAGCATGTTCGAAACTAAGCGTGAGGAAATCAAATTCAAACGCGAATCTCCTGATCGCTCAATTAATAGCAAAGAACTGCTATTAATTTAAATTTTTCGCTTCAAAACTTTTAAAGAACAACTTGTTAGCTTAATGTTTAGATATTCTTTTTCTTGAAATGTACATAAACGTTGTATGTTGACAAAAATGGGAGTTTCTTGGTGAGAAATCGGGTTTCATTTCCGCATTTGTTCTGAGGTTTCTATGTAAATTTGCACTTAAAATCACGTTGATTATCAAAAATTTCAAGAAAATCACCAAAATAAATTTTATATAATCCTATTTTGATTTGAAATACACATTCACGATATTTCTGGCTTATCGCGAATGTCTAAAATTGGCTAAATTTTGAAAAATTTAGAAGGAGAACGCCTCTTTAACGTATTCTTATGTCTATATACGTATGCATATTTTTTCAGAAATGTTTCAATAATGGTCCTTCGACAAGTTTTGAAAACGTTGGCAAATCTCAAAAGATTACACGAGGTTTGTCGGTCTTCATCCGCTAAATCCCATTATTAAAATGATTTGCAGCTCAAACACCTTGCTCCGTAATCTTTCCGAATATCGGCGTGGGATCGCTCGACGTACTCCGGTTTTACGTTGATCAGGTTATAAAATGCGGACACATTTTGATTTATAAACTCATTTTCATTGTTTGTAGCTTCGCCATTCGATGAATAGAAGGAGAATAATGTTCACTGAAAATCCGTTGGCCGCTCTAGTCGAAGATGGTTGCGGAATGGTAATGTCTAAATTAAAAAAAATGGAATAATTACGATTGTTTGCAGCCGTTTTCATCAAAAAATCCACCTCCGCATTCACTTCAAAGGCAGTTCGAATCCCAGAGATTCGATAACCTTTTAGCATTCGATTTTTGTAAGCTATGTCCGGGATTTGATCTACTAGAACCGATGGAGAAGGTTATTTTTATGATTAATTTAAAACATGGAAAAAAATTATGAAAATTAGTTCAACGAGCTAAAATAATAACTTGAAACCGTCATTTTTATGACAGAAATTTTTCTAGGCGATTTTCTATCGCTCATGCTCGCTTTCGTACTGCCTTCTCGATATCGCCTGGCTGACTGTTCAAGCATATCCTGTCGAGCACGAAAATCCGGTATGCGTTGAATTTCCTAACCGATTTTTAAAATCCAAATTCCATATTTAGCTGATGATGTTCTCCGATGGGAGTATTTGCACATTAGGCGATATGTCGTATGGATGGGAAGATGAAGAAGAAATTTGTGCACTTGAGAAGAAAAAGTTGTCATTTGCATATATTTCGATTATTATTTTTTGTGACTTTTAGATTATTTTTTTCGTTTCTCAAACGATTCCAAGAAGCCGTCTGCCGTCCGCTTAGATGGCATAATATAACGGAAGTCGAATTCGCCGCATTGAAAGGCTTAGGCATTTGGAAATTAGGTATCGCTATCCTCAATATGTCTTCCTTAACTGAATTTTAGGTTATTGTGAGTATACACAACATATAAAAACGATTGCGAAAGAACACGAGATTGCGATTTTGTCAGGTCTAAAGTCATATTATGAGGTAATTAGCTGAAAATTATATATTATTTCACTTCTTGATGCATACGCATTTTAGGAGACAATTAGCGATCCCTTGGAGGTTGGAAATCGCCTAGGAAATATCATTCTAATGCTAGGAACTATTTTTGTAAGTTTCTAGAAAAAAAAATAGCTGTGCAATTAGATGACCACCTAAAAATATAAATATTCAACAAAAACAAAGGCAATTATGAAATGAATCACCGAAATTTCAATTAATTTCCTTTGTGAGGCACTTGTTGAAATCAAAATTTCCAGGAAATGAACCATCTCATTTTGGAAACGTTCACTAGTGCGGAACTCTTCGGTCTTTTCAAAATCGACACTCTCACTGAAATGTTGCTAGCGTTATAGATGTATTTGTATATAATGATCCAATTAACACCTCCCATTTCTCATAGATTGTATTTTATTCGACGGGTTGAACAATTGATATGAATCAGATGTTTGTTATCTACTCTGTGATTTATATATAGATATGTGTGGTTTTTTCTTGATTGATTCTTTACGCACTGGTCTCATCGAAATTCTTTCGATTTGTTTTTTTTTTCTTTTTTTTTGAATAGCTATGATTTTCTCGAGAATAGACGACCAATTTTTGAGCCTAAAATTTCTATATTTATAAATTTTTCGAAATCAAATCTCGCCTTTGTTATATGCATAGTTAACGTAGGGACCATCTGGACACCGTTCGACATAATGCGATGAAATTTGACGGGGTTCGTGATTTCTTCGAGTTTCAGTTTTAATCAGCTTCTTGACTTCCTCGTATTGAAGAAGATACGCGAGCTGCTGATCTTCATACGATCTAGAAAATACGGAGAAAATTGTCTGATATGGAAGAAGCCTATCACAAAATTTTTATAGTCAATAAAAACCGACGGCGAAAATTGCATTATCATAAAATATTTACCTAGCCATTTCTACGTTCGTCACTGTGTCGAGCAGCTTTTGGACATTTTCCAATTTTTTTCGGATCTCCTGCTTCCTTTTGCGGAGATCCTGTGGGGTTTCGACGGCGATTTGCGTCGGTGACGCATCATTTTTCTGAAAATCCCTCGATATTTTTGCCGCAAATCACAGTGTGCCGCTCACATTTTCGAAAAGCAACTCATTTATCGTCGCCGACACATCACCGTTGTGCTTTCGAAGTGCGCCTTCGATGACGTTTTCATCAATGTTTGGGAACATATGGCGGAAATCGCACATTGCCTTCAATTGAACGCAAAAAGATGCGAAAAGAATCGCATTTGAATGACTCACCGTGTCAAAGTTGAGTAGTATTTCGTTGGCGCCGCTCATATCTAAAAGACTGTTGAAGGACACTTTACATTATGAGCTGGTTTTTGTTTATTTGCTCAGAATGATGAGAAAACAGGCCTGGTTTTAAAGTTTGCGGGGTACTGTAGTAGCAAACTGTGCAGAGTTTTGAATGGCGTGTATGCAGATAAGATTTAGGATGATTGATTTCAATTTTTTTCTTCTATCTGGGCAGTCATTTTTGAAAATTTGTTAAATTTATGGTGAGTACCTGCATTAAAACATTGTAACACACCATTATCATAAAAGTTAATTGATTTTGCTAGAAAAATCGAAAAGTGGGAAATTTGTCTTTGTTTTATTTTTTTTGCTCATGCACCCATTTACGGTGAATTATCTGGTTATCTAGGTATTATAGTATCCAAATTTCTACTATTTAAATTCGACTTTGAATTTCCGCTTCAAAAGTTGCAATGGTTCACAATTATACAAGGCACTCGTTTTTGTTTTGCAATGGTAGTGTTAATATGAACTTTCAAAAATATTTCTACGTTTGTTCGAGTTTCCTCGATTTTTTCGATACTTCATACAAACATGCAAGCCGTTGGTAACCATTTGTAAACAATAAAACGAGCAAAATGGCTGTATCTTTGTCAATATAATAAAGAGTGTCTATTCCTGCATAAAACAGGGCCCCAACGTGAATGGTAAACAATATGATGAAAAACATCCGTGAAATTGATAAACAAGAACTTATTGTTTATCAAAACACCCTTTTTAGGCGGCTCTTTAAACTGTACACCAAACTTATTCCCCAATTAATATTGGAACATTTTCAGAAAGCGTATAATGCAGAAAAGTGCGAATCCAAATAATACCTACGGGTACGTTCAACAATATGTAAGCAAAAGATATTATTGAATTAAATTAAATTCACACTTTTTTCAGCATTCAAATATTGCAAACGTTTTAGCCTATCGTCACGTGAACAGATCCAATGATGCGCAGAAACTGTCGAAAGGAAAAAAGGTAAATTGTCGAGTTATACATATGTCAAAAGTGCCGGTGGCATTTAAAACTGCAAACTAGTGCAAATATGAACGTTTTTATCGTACTAGTGCCTTCGTTTTGATTTGGAACGAAAATATATGAAGACACGTTATTGTTTGCATAGGAGTGTGTAGAAATGTTAACATCAATTTAATAAAATAAAATAAAGCTGATTATTCATGCTACCCTATCTACTGCTACCGTATACTTCGACGAGCAATTTCAAAACAACAAACTCATCAGTTTCGGGAAAGATCAAACTACAAACGTTTTATTTGTTTTGAAATACACTCGTGATATATAAAATGAGTTTGGTTATGTACAATTAAATACGTCAAATGGTTTTCGTATAGTTTTATTGGAGAAAAAGAAAGACACCAAGGAAGTTTGTTTCGGTTCTCTCGAAGCACCTCATGCATAATTCGAAAGATTATAAAAAAAAAACATCTTTAACGTTTCAACGGAACAACTTTTAGAAACTAACCCAAAAGTCGTTTTCTACTAAAAAAAAATTTAAAGGCATTCGTCACAGCTATTTCGTCCTTTTTTTGCAAAAACTGATCTTTCAACACTTCATGCTTTGGTGTAACTTGAGAACTCATTTGAACTCGGTTATTATTAGACATGTCTGGGAAACGTTTTAAAAATACCTACAACAATTTCGTACATCGATTTTTAAATCTATTAAATTATACATATTATCTGTGAAATGGTAACTAACTTGTAAGTCTATATATATATATATATATATATATATATATATATATATATATATATATATATATATATATATATATATATATATATATATATATATAGTTAGTTAATACAAATAATTTTTTAAAATTTATCATTGATGTTGTTAAATTGAGAAGATTAACCATCTAAATTAAATCGAACCTGTTTTTTTAATGATATTTTCTTCCGTGAGTCACCAACATACTTCTTAAAACATTATTCATATATTTTTCTCTCATGATTTTTTTTTTCAATTTGCCCACTCGATTACCCAGAAACTTGGCGTCTCAAGCACTGTTTTCACGATGCGGGTCTGGTTTTTCGAAACATTTGTTTTCGTTTAGTACGGGATTACATATTGAAACGATTGAGTGCAACAGCGGGGCCATCATGTTTTTTGTTTCATTGTGTGTGTAATACGACAAGCCAGGTGGCAGCAGTGGCGATTTTTGATTATTAGAGCAAGTCTCTCGAAATAGTACTTGCTGTTTGGACTTCTTGATCTCGGCGAGATGTGACGGCGAATCTCGGGGGAATTGTTTCACTTGTTCCCCTGTGGATGAGAAGTTTCGAGATTGATTCTGAGACCTTTAGCGCGATAATGATGAATATTAGAATTTTGCGCATGATGGACTGTGATTCGTCGCTGCGCACGCGAAATCCGATATTTTCATGGTTTTCAGTGTATTAGATTACTGGAAGACGACCTGCTTGCAATTCTCTCATCTGATCCTTCATGTGTCACGAATTAATCCATTTTTTTCGTGCATTCCATCACGCAACATCATCTAGTTTTGAGGTGATGTGTTTGCGTTGTCCAGTTATTTTTTTGGATCAGCTATCGGATTGATTTCGGACCGTTTTTCGAGTACAAATTAAATATATATTGTTGCGTTGGCGTCTATTTGTTGGAGTAATAATAAATTTGTGCGAAAATCGACTTTTTTCACTCTTCCTTTTCGATTTGTTTCGGCTCGCTGAGCTCAATAAATGCCCTTTTTTTCATTGCCCACCCCCATGTGTATTCCTTTCTTCTTTTTCTCATATCTTTCCTTTTATATTCCATTTTTGGCAAAATTCAAAAGTGTTGAAATTCGATTTCAAAACCGGTCTCTTCAACCATTTTACTGTGGTGTTTTACTTGAAATTATATAAACTTTTCTGTTCTTTGTTCGATGCACTCCTGCCAATTTATTTCCATTATTTTTTTCACCACAACTTTGATAATAATGAAGTTTCCTTATTGAATAGAGCCGAGCGAACAATAGAGAAATGAGTCACTGGTAAATAGACAAACGTGTAAACGAGGCGCCGTTTTTTTATAATACTAGCTAGTTTTTTTTTTCTAAGAAAACGTGGGCACGAGTTTCTACTTGTTCAAATGGTAAAATTTCGCTTTTAAAACAAGAAATTTCCAAATGACCTACGATTTTTGTTTATTTGTTTACGGTTTTGCTTTCGCTTTGCAAACTGCACGGACTCGTTCGAAACTCTCGAAATAGCGTTTTTTTTTTCAAATTATATCTTTTATTAATTTATGAAGCTCATTTTGGTAAATTTTTATAAGATTTTGCCAATGTGTCAGTTTTGCACGAGCGATCGTTTTGATTGACTAAAACCACTTTGATTGAGAGTCAAGTCTTACAATGGCAAACATTTAAAATTGATTTTTGTTTTGTGTTTTTTGATAGACAGAAAAATGTTTAAACAGCGTTTGTGGATATTGAACCTTGTTTAAACAGTCACTCATTTCCTATCCCATTGGCTCTTTTTACAACTATACTTTATCAAATTTATTAGTTATGAAGTGAGGCAAAAAATAAAAGAAGAAAGCCGGTTTCTTTATGAGATATTAGCATTCTTTTAACCCGATTGCGATTTTCCTGAGAAAAAATTACTCTGTGCACCAAATCGCTGATATTTTAGTTTCTTATTGGAAATATTAAATGATCTTTCTCAAAAATCCTTTGTCAGGAAATCGCAACTCTTTGTAATCTTCAACGTCGTTCTTCGGCTGCATTCAATAAAGTTTTTGTTTCCAACGAATCCATAAATTTTTTAAGAGCGCTCATAAAAAGCAACACATCGAATACGCTCATTTTGTTTTTTTTTTTTGGAAACTTTGCGCTCTTCCATTATTTGCCATAGAAACAGGGCTCATCGGCTCGTCAAAGTGGGCGGAGTCTAGTATTTGGCTATATTGCAACTTGATGCACTCCTATAAATCTTAATCCCTTCCAATCTTTTCACTATTTTTTTCTCATTCATTAATATTGTGTGTCGCGCGCTTTGATTTTTATGATGGCAGTCCATAACGTTATGCAAATTTTTTTTTTCATCAGAGGAGCCCATCTGGCAAACCCCAGGTGATATAGATTTTGTGCCAGATGAAATCTAAATATAGTCTCAAATGATTGAATTAATACGGATGTTGTGCCTCTCTGCAAATATAAATGTCAAGCCGATTTCGCTTGTTTCAACATTCTGTCTTCAATCTTATCTAGAGCTCGTTTTCGTCGATGCTCTAAAAGAAATTTATAGGAGGCGCGTAGGGGGTATATTTTTTTTCAAAATTGATAATCACTTCAGCTATTTCACTCTTCATTGGCAACCTCGATAGCGAAAAAAAAGAGGAGAGAATGAGAGGCGAAAATTGCGGAGGTCTGGGCACAACACACGGCGAAATCGAGAGGAATGCGGCCAGCTATGCGAAAAAAAGTGTACGCGGCTGTCGACAAATTTTTGCATTGCGCGCATGCGTCTGTCGGTCGGTCGGTCGTGTCCCGTTGCCCTCCCCCCACATCGTCGTCGTCCCACAATGTGGTGTGTCTAACCGTCTCGACCATCTCGAGTCACTTTTCATACTTTTGAGCTTTTTTTTCTCATCCATGAGCGATGTTTAGTTTTTTTCGGAGGGCGCGATTTTTGTCTCAATTTGATTGTCTCTCAAGAAACTTGCCCAATTTAATAGGCATCAATCCAAGTTTTTCCCACAATCGGACGTGAAAATTATTTTAATTCCCTTTTTTTGAAGATGGGCTGCAAATTGGTTTGTTGGTTATCAATCACATATCAATCAGTTCTCCCGCTAATTTTATTTTTTCATGTAAATCGCTGATTAAACCAACTCTTCCGTCGAGAAACCCCATATTTAGAGCGCCTTTCTTTTCTTCCAGCACAAACAATTAAGTTTGTTTGAAAACAAATCGTTGACGAATCAAATACTCGTCCAACGTTTTCCTAGGAGACAATTCAATTTTGTGAGAATCGGAGGCAAGTTTCTCATACACCATTGTATTGTGATGAACTTCCTTCCTTCCTTCCTTCTGCATACGGTCGGTGGGTTGCCACGCCCATCTTCATACGTTGTCACCATTCTCGCGGGTGTTGACGAATACGAAAAGAAGTTCATGTTTAGCATGTTATTATAGAAAAATTAGCACTTTTCTGAAAACAACCTATTTGTTGTGTATTCATTATGCGTAGGCAACGTTTCAATAAGTAGCTTCTCGGAATTCCAGGACCAACGAAATAGATTTGCTCGCGATTAATTAAACTTCCACACATCTTTCAGGATTTGCTGGTGAAGAAGCAAATTGGGTATTTTCTTGAGGTTCTTATTTATTGTTAGATATTCAACACTTACGTATTATTCACAATTGCGATCTCTGAAACTTCCAATGAACTCATTTGATGAATAATTAATGCTTTCGGAATTTTGTTTTCGCGAAATTTTTATGCATGCTTATGAAATTAATAGAATTGGAAAAAACTTACATATTTTCCGTTGGCGGATTCCGCATTTTCCGCAATCAGAGTTTGTTAGGTCACATTTCTTGATATACTCTTATGCAAATGAGTATCATGAGCCTACTCAAGAAGCGAATGTACTCGTTTTACATTCATTTAAATAACTTCTCATGCTCTTATTTGGAAATAAAACGATTTCCATTTTTTTTTTTCGTCCTGTCTGTACGGCATTCGGTGGGAAAATGTGTATTTTCTCATTCCCAAAAAGCCCACATTATCATATCAATAGTGAATATTTGTTTTGTTTTGCCTAGAATATGTATAGTTCGTATTACTGACCTTCGTTTTGACTAATCTGGTGGCGGACCATTAAAGTTCGAGTTTTCGAGGTCATCTAGAGTTCTCGATTATTCATGTCCGGCAAGTCCTTTCTCAACTTGTCCAAAACAACCTGTCCGCTCGAATCACAACAAATTAATTAAATAATGGAAATAAGAATTGATTTTAAGATTTTCTCAACTTGACATTCGTTAGTCATTGATGTGTTTAGGTCGCCGTCTCTTAGTCAGCATTCTCTCGGTATTTTTGCTTCAATTAAACAACACACTCAGAAGAAAAAAAAAACAATTTTTCTTCGTCCCTTCGTTCCCATCATGTTCATTTTATGGGCATCGATTAAAATTCGACGCAAAATGTGATTATTCAAAATGTTTGGCGGCGAGTGAAACGATTTTGTGATTTGTGTGTGCGCTTCGTTACGGATTTTGTGTGCCCGTATAATTTTTCTATTTTTCTTTACTTCGTCTAGTCAAACATGTTTTTTTTTTCAACTAAATTGGTAATAAAGCGGAAATTGCATATGTGCTCCACGCTTTTGAGTGAATTGCGTTGCGCTGCAGTAGCTTCTGCAATAGCAGCGCTGAGAGCTCCGCAGCTTATTCTTTTCTCCTTCATTCTCTTTTTAGGCGGGATATCCTCCAAATGAGTGCACTTGAGTGTGAGGAGGCAACATTCCAAAAAGAGGTCATCCCTTCTCCTTCTCATCCTCATCGCTCAACGTGCCTGGTTTTGGGAGAATAAAAAATGGGCAATCTATCGGCGGAGCTCCATTTATTATTTTTTTTTTTGCGCTGTTGCTGAATGAACTCATTTTTGATCTGAGCTCCGATTTTCTTATACTCGCCGTCTCTTTTATGCGCTATCCGGATAATTGAATCGTAAAATTTATTGCGGAGCCGAGAAAAATGTGTGAGAATTTTGCTCGGTCAATTTTTTGCTATCTTTGAGCGATTTCTCACAAGAGAAATTCGACCATTAATAATGAAAGTTAGTAATTTAAGCGGGTCAAAATCTTAACACTTATTGATGTATGTTGATTTGTTAGGTTTTCATATTTCTGAGGGTCTACAGTCCAAGGCTGATCTCGTGATGACTAATGACGTAGAAGGTCAAAATTTTCTGGAGACGTATCATCTAATGATCAGAAATCAATCAATATGCAATACATTTTCACGTGAAATATGCTGCATATCATATGCGCAAATTGCATCCGCAAACGAATTTTAGTGACAAAATCTGCTATAAATTATCTGAGGCAAGTGAATGCTGAAAATTAAATTATTCGTAGAGCAACTAAATTATTCGAGTGGCATCTCTTTGTGAAGAAATAAAACATTTCTAAACAGTAATTAGATACCCTATCGTTTTTACTCATCCAGCTAGTCTCTTCATAGAAGAATGAATGTGTGTGCGATAATCCAAACTAGTATTCTCATTCATCTTGTGTGCGTTGTTCAAAAAACAAACACAAATTTTTCCTTTTAAGGTGTCATCATACAGGGTGTCATTTAAGTTCCCGCACAAAAGTTTGACGCCATGTAGAGCTTCGCTAACGCACTTTTCGTACACCAATACAATTTATTTTTATTGAACAAGGTATATTTTACTTACTTTCCAAGTTTCACCTCATTCGGATGTGCTTCCGAGAAACGGCGAAGGCTAACATCCATCGCGCTTCCATTATCGAACTTCATAAGCAAAATGTGAGCCCGAGAGACATCATTCAACGGGTCGGTGTGCCTTGTAGAACGGTTTATGACACCATCAAACGATTCAAGGAGCTAAATACGACCAGTGACCGTCCCAGATAAGGAAGACTCGTCTCGGTAACCACTCCTCAGAAGATCAACGCCGTCAAATCGAGGATCAGCCGAAACCCCCACAGGAGCATGAGAAAGATAGCGTCAGACATGGGAATGAGCATCTTCGCTTTGGAACAAATCGTCAAAACAAAGCTTGTACTGACCCCATATCGTGTCCAAAAAGCGGCAATTCTATCGGCCGTCAACAAGCAGAGACGCTTCGAAAAAGCAAAACGACTTCTTGCTCGCACGCGGTCTGGACAAGATCTCGTCACTGTCTTCTCCGACGAGAAGCTATTCACTGTGGAGACGGCATTCTACTCACAAAACCATTGAGTACTTGCCCAGACATCCCAGCAAGCTTCTGAGAAAGGAAAAACAATTAATCGAGCCTCACATCCTGCCAGTGTGATGGTTTTCGGTGCCATCTGCTCAACCGGGATGTGCCCCCAGGATTTCGTGGATCAGGGAGTGAAAATGAACAAAGAAGTCTACGTTCGGGACATTTTGGAGAAGCATGTGATGCCCTGGACCCAAACGCATTTCGGTGGGCAGATATGGGTCTTTCAGCGGGACGGAGCACCCGCCCACACTGCCAAAACTACTCAGGAGTGGTGCCAGACCCATTTTCCCGACTTCATCAAGTCATCCGAATGGCCTGATTGCTCCACAGATCTGAAACCGCTTGACTTTTCCGTGATAGGGTCTTGCAGGAGAAGGTCAACGCAAAACCCCACTCAAGTGTAGAGGCTCTGAAGAGGACATTACTGGCGGAGTGGGACAATCTTTCCATCGAATACCTGCGTACCACAGTCACATCCTACCCGAAGCGTCTCCGTGAAGTCATAGCTGCGAAAGGAGGCCGAATCGAAAAGAGTTAATAGATAATTATTTGTTGTACTATAGATAAATAATATTTTGAGTCTCGTTTGATTTGGACTTTTAGTTTCAGAAATATACGTCTTCAAAGTTGTGCGGGAACTTAAATGACACCCTGTAATCTTTTTCATCTTTGAAATGCTGAAAACAAAACGAGATCATATGGCTTCTTCGTGTTTTATCCGGAGAGTTATTCTGTCAGTTTTTCTTTTTTTCTCTTTTATCTCTCTCTCTCTCTCTCTCTGTCCGTCTGTTTTTTTTTTTCGTCGTTTCCATTCATTTATTTGCAACTCAACTCATAATGTATTGCAAGCCCGAATGAAATGTCACCCGATGCTCATTAATATGTAAAGAGTAATTTGGTGTGGTCGGCGAATTGAAAAAGCGCCGTCGATCGTGCGGGCTTCAAGAGCATGGACGTGCTCCAGCTCGCGTCTCGAAATAAGCCGCGCCAAGCGCATTATTGACATTCAACGGCGTCTTCATTTTCCGCGTTATCCGCGCCGTTGTCGGCATGGCAACTATTCAATATGTCATTTTTAGCGCCGCATTTCCTACATCTCCATTTTGTCTGCGCCGCCGCAACCGCGACCGCTGTCATGCTATTACTGCTTCATCTTCTCGTTCCTTCATTTTTTTTTGTCTGCCTTATTTGTCGTCCCCGTCGCGTTTTACGACTTGAATGAGGCCCGAAATTGAAACGCGCACGCATCGATATGTATTTTTTGTGTATTTATGTATTTGCAGATGACCGACGGCGAGGCGGTTGTTTCGACAATGAACAATGTCGAGGAGGTGCACGGGCAGCTCTTTGAGGTAATTTCCATTTCCTTCAATTTATGCACTTTTTGAAATGTGGTCGTTTTTTTAAAGCGCCTTCGCCGAAATACTGAACTCTGAATTAGTCGTTTTCTTTTTGACAAACGATTCCCTTGGGAAATTTGATTCCGAGACGTTGTTCATTAATTCGCTAATTGTTTCAGGTTCGACCGCGATATATCAATCTCTCCTACATTGGAGAAGGAGCTTATGGAATGGTCGCGTGAGTGATCCTTGAACCTTCTCACATTCCTCAGCATAATTCATTTTTCTTTTGCAGTTCCGCACTCGACACAATCACCCACGAGAGGGTGGCGATTAAGAAAATCTCACCGTTTGAGCATCAGACTTTCTGTCAGCGCACACTTCGCGAAATCAAAATTCTGACACGCTTCAAACATGAGAATGTACGAAGAATTTTATTGAAGAATTGCTTATAATAATTTTGATTCAGATTATCAATATCCAAGAAATTATTCGTTCCGAGAGTGTAGATACAATGAAGGATATGTAAGAGGAGATGTTGAATGGCTTCCCATTCAGAAATCAACTAATTTTCAGTTATATCGTACAATGCCTTATGGAAACTGATTTGTACAAATTGTTGAAAACTCAGAAATTGTCCAATGATCATGTGTGCTATTTTCTTTATCAGGTGAGTCGTTTGATTGTTTTCCACAACAAATTTGTATTCATACAAAACTCACATGAATTGAATTTTGAAGGCACACATAATTTTTCCAGATTCTCCGCGGTCTTAAATATATTCATTCTGCGAACGTTCTTCATCGCGATTTGAAACCATCGAATCTCTTATTAAATACTACTTGTGATCTCAAAGTTTGTTCGGTCATTCCATAATTATTTCATGTTCTTCGAAATTTCAGATATGTGACTTTGGACTTGCTCGCGTAACTGATCCACAGACGGATCACACTGGATTCCTTACTGAATACGTCGCGACTCGATGGTACCGCGCCCCGGAAATTATGCTCAATTCGAAAGGGTACACGAAATCGATTGACGTTTGGTCAGTCGGATGCATTCTCGCTGAGATGCTCAGCAATCGGCCGTTGTTCCCCGGAAAACATTATCTCGATCAGCTTAATCTAATTTTGGCGGTCGTCGGCTCGCCGAGCAATGAGGATTTGCAGTGCATCATTAATGATAAGGTTTCAAATTTTAATATCTCGAATTTTTGTTGATTTATCCTATTCAGGCCAAATCGTATTTGATCTCGTTGCCGCATAAGCCGAAGCAGCCATGGTCGCGACTTTATCCGGGAGCTGATCCACGTGCTCTTGATCTTCTGGACAAAATGTTGACATTCAATCCGCATAATCGGTAGATAATTCTAGATTGAATCCATGTGGATTTTGTGCCTATTTCAGCATTGATATCGAGCAAGCGCTTGCCCATCCGTATCTCGAGCAATATTATGATCCAGGAGATGAGGTAATCATTGGGAAATCTAATAATTGAATGTTGACACTGACTAATTTGAAAGAAACGAAATGTGTTTATATATAATTTGAAGCGATTGAATAAAACACGAATAGGCTATGATTATGGCTTCGAAAATGCTGAAGATTGTTTTGGGGGGAAAATTATCCCTGAAATTTTCAGCAGATCACATGAAAATAACAAATTTGAATGTTTTCAGCCGGTCTGTGAGGAGCCATTCACGTATGAAATGGAGCTTGACGATTTGCCAAAAGAGAAACTGAAAGAATTGATTTGGCAAGAAGCCGAAGAGCATCATAAGCGAATGATGGAGGAGGCGGCGAAGAATGGAAATGGGCCGCCGGCGGTCGAACAATAATTATCATCATGATCCCCGTGTATTTATGCAATATATTATATTTCGCGGAATCGTTTCCGAAAATGAGTGTAGATCACCGAATATGCATAATATTCTTTCGTTCGTTCGTTTTTGTTCTAATGTGTTTATGTCTTTTTTTTTCATTTTCAATTTGCATTCGATTCTGTTCCCTCCTTCAGGTTCGTCTTTTCTCCCTCCGATTTTTCTTCCCTTTCTGATGTTTTCGAATAATTGTGAAATTTGATGTATATTTTGATGTTCAATCTCATTCCCATGTCATTATATCATTAGATTTCTGGTCGGAAAATACCAAAAAAGCAAGAAACCGTGTGTGTTTCCATCCTCCCGTTGTTTCTCTCAAAAAAAAAAGAGACATTTTTGAATTATCGTTACTGTGATGTAATTATGTTTATTTTGACTTTTCGAGGAATGTTTCTTCTAACTGTTTGAACAAATAATCTAGAATTTTTGTCGAAAATGAATATAGAAAATGGATTGAATTTTGGTTGTTGGGTACGGTACGCAATGGGGGGTACGCAATTGCGCGTTATCGCGCGCCAACATTTTGAATTCAAATTTGCGGCCAAATTTTCCCGCATTTTTTACTGGCGCTGCTGATAATATCGACGCTTTTTGAACTTTGCTTTGAATTTCCACAAGACTAATCCAAAAGTTTCAGACTATTTTGTACTAACTCTTCGTAACAATGTCGAATCTTGACGATCCAGGACTTTTTTATCAGGTTTGTCCATAGAATTCATTTTTTTGCTTGAAAGACATAATTAGGAACGATTTTTCGCGAATGACGGCATTCCTGATACTGGAAGAGAGCTTATTGCTGAATATAAGCAACTAATCACACAATTCCGCAATTTTATTCGAGATTTCACAACAGGAGGATTCGGAATGATTTACAGGTTAAAAAAATATCACAACATATTTAATTAATGCAAATGATTCAGAGATCAACTGAAACGGAACTATATTTCCGGCAAATACCTGCTTGAAATTAATTTAAGCCATCTGAAAAATTTCGACGAAGAAATCGAATCAAAACTTCGCAAATTCCCGGGAAAAGTGTTGCCAGCGGTAATTATAATTAAATTAATTTCAAAAAATAACTATGGTAAATTGCATATTTTAGCTTGAAGAAGCTGCCAAAGTGGTAGCTGACGAAATAACGCAGCCAAGACCAGAAAGCGAGAAAGAAGTGAAAGATATTCAAGTGACATTTACATTAGATGAATATCCATCATGCATTCGAAAAGTCAAGAGTGCTCAAGTCTCACAAATTGTCAAGATTTCCGGAATCATTGTGGCAGCTGCGCAGGTATAACTGCAAAACGGCATGCCCAGAACCTTGCAGAAATCCCATTTTAGGTTCGCTCAAAAGCCACTAAAGTCACACTGCAATGTCGACAATGCAAGCACACTCTTCCAGATGTTTCCATTAAACCGGGTTTGGAAGGATTCCAGCTTCCACGAACATGCGCTGGACCGCAACAGGGACAAATGCAGCGATGCCCGATTGATCCATATATCATGCTTCCCGATAAATGCCAATGTGTTGATTATCAAACGCTGAAACTTCAAGAGAATCCAGAAGATGTACCACACGGCGAAATGCCGAGACATTTGCAATTGTTCACTGAAAGATATCTGACGGATAAGGTTGTTCCTGGAAATCGTGTTACAATTGTTGGAGTTTATTCGATCAAAAAGCTTTTCCAAAAGGTAAGATTTTAGTCTTATTTTAAATTGACATGAAATAACGGTATTTTCGTCGACTAGCGAAACTAGGGCTTCGTGGACCTATGCATGGAACTATTCAGATTTTGCAAATTTTTGCCTATTTCTGCAAATTTGTATTGCACCAGTTAATGTCAATGGTCTCGCATGGAAAAAACAAATTCCTGATTAAAGACAACGCGAAACGATTTAAATATCGACTTAATGAGGAAAATCCTTATTCCAAAACAATCATTTTCAATTTTAATGAAATATTTAAATTGTTAAGACGACGTCAGAAAATCATTAATTTTTTATGGATTTCAGAAAGGAGGAGACAAAACTTTAACCGGAATTCGTACACCATACCTTCGTGTTCTTGGTATTCAACTCGATTCATCTGGTCCAGGCCGTAGCACTTTCAGTAACTTCACACCCGAAGAAGAACGCCAATTCAAGTAGTCACTTTTTTAGTCGTTACGCCTACGTGACATGAATATTTCAGAACACTTGCTCAACGACCTGACGTTTATGACATCATTGCGAAATCGATTGCTCCTTCGATTTATGGATCAGTTGATATCAAGAAGTCAATTGCATGCTTGTTATTTGGAGGAGCTCGAAAGAAGCTTCCCGATGGAATCATTCGCCGTGGAGACATCAATGTGCTGCTTCTCGGAGATCCTGGAACTGCGAAATCGCAGCTGTTGAAGTTCGTCGAGCAAGTCTCACCAATTGGAGTTTACACTTCTGGAAAGGGATCGTCCGCTGCCGGTTTGACCGCTTCTGTTATCCGTGATCCAACATCTGTATGAGCAATTCGATAAATCTTTATACTGATCTTATCCGCTTCAGAGAAGCTTCATCATGGAAGGAGGTGCAATGGTTCTCGCCGATGGTGGTGTTGTATGCATTGACGAATTCGACAAAATGCGCGAAGACGATCGTGTGGCGATTCACGAGGCCATGGAACAGCAAACGATTTCAATCGCAAAAGCTGGAATTACCACGACACTCAATTCGAGATGCTCGGTTCTTGCCGCTGCAAACTCAGTCTATGGTAGATGGGATGAGTCTCGTGGAGATGACAATATCGATTTCATGCCAACGATTTTGTCGCGTTTCGATATGATCTATATTGTCAAAGATAGTCACGACGTCAACAAAGATTCGGTTAGTCATTTATTTGAATCCAATGGTATCACATGCCCAATTTGTGGAAATTGAGGTATTTTGAAACGTGCAAACAGACGAAAATGATCGATTCTCTTTTTCGAAATCACCTGCTCCGAGTGTTTTAGCGACTAAATATGAATATCCCTTACAATATCGTTTTCTTATTTAATTGTTTTAGACTCTCGCGAAGCACGTTATTGAAGTTCACGTGAATGCATCGAATGCGCGAGATCGCGAAGCTGCTGGGGTTCCGAAAGCAGCTACTGCCGATGCCGAGGGTGCTCCTCTTGTGTATGATACTGATGGATTCTTGACTATTGGTATCTTATATTATTCCCCCACAGAAGCAAATTAGTTTAATGATTCTTACAGAGTTCCTTAAGAAGTTTGTATCATACGCGAGAACCACATGCGCTCCGAGACTCACTAAGGCGGCTTCTGAGAAGTTGGTTAATCATTACGTGAAAATGAGGAATCCGCCAGTCTCGACAGAGCAATTCAAAATGGGCAAAAAGGCGCACAACTCGGCGATTCCGATCACCGTTCGTCAATTGGAAGCGATTGTGAGAATTAGCGAATGTTTGGCAAAGGTGTGACCCTAAGCGAATCAAAGCTTTGAGCTATTCGGAATTTTTAGATGGAGCTTCAACCATTTGCCACGGATAAGCATGTTGACGAAGCTCTTCGCTTGTTTAGAGTTTCGACAATCGAGGCCGCTTCCACAGGAAACCTCGCTGGTGTTGAAGGATTCACTTCTGGTGAAGATCAGGAAGCACTTTCGAGAATTGAGAATCAGTTGAAAAAGCGATTCGCCATCGGCACGCATGTTTCAGAACATCTTATTGTTCAAGACTTTGTATCTCGACAACATTATAAGGAATCGCTTGTGAAGAAGGTTGGTGATTGCTTTTCTTTTTTTCCTTTCTATTCAAGATTTAATATTTTTCAGGTGATTTCCAATCTAGTACGTAAAGGAGATATCCAGCAGAAAATGCAGAGGAAAATGTTGTATCGCGTTCGCTAAACTTTGTATTATTTTGTGTAATCCGAATGACCATTTACTACCAATAGATCTCACTAATTTTCATTTTTATTTTCAACATAAAAATATTTTTGTTTTGTATTATTATGATTATTTATAACGGAAGTTTAAAACGATAAATGTGAGATTACTTCTCGAGAATTGAGTGTTTTATCACAGCCCCTGCCCTGTGTATTCAATGGGCGGGGTCAACCAATAAGAGCACTCTCGTGCACTTTGCTACCTCATCAGCATGAGTAATCCGTATAAGGAGTTGGTTGAATGCGTTTAGAAATGATCGGCGAGCAATATCTGAAATGTGCGGGATGGTGTTTTCTCATTTTTGAACCCCCCCCCCCTCCTCCTCATAGACGACAATTATCGGAAAAAAATTGTTTGCATCAAACGGTTTTCGTAAGATCCGCTTCGTTTGTTTCGAATTGATAAGATCGTGCGTCGAGGGGGTTTCGAAAATTTTCGAATATTGTGTTGTTTCGCAAAACGACGTGCGCCAATATCTTATCAGCACCACGACATTCTTTCTACGCGGAGGTCAAACATTGAAGCGCGACTAATTCGCGTCTAAAAGCTCCAGAATTTCAGATGTGCTCATTTTGATCTACGCCAACCTTAACACGAAGCTTCAACTTGTTTACATCATTTCACCTGCTTTTTAAACTATTTTTCATTAGCTTTTTGGTTTTTTTTTTTCTCGAACGCTCGATTTTTATTTTCGCGCTTTCAACGTTTAAAGGCGCATTTCAAATGTTGAAACAACAATAAACGACTCAAAAAAAATAATAATTGCACATTCAATCGATTATTATCTAATATTTGTAGACGTCGTAAATTCACCGTACTGTTAGCCTGTAGTTTGCTCATGCGCGATGACGCCATGTGTTGCACAAAAGGGGTACCGCAGTTGACTAATCTTCGCGCGCACAGCGTCCTCTTGCTCGTTTCTTTATTCTACACCACAGGTAGCGCCAAAGTTGTTTGGTGGGAAATCACGTGAATGCAGGCGTGGGTTCAATGTACACCAATCAGCGGTGAGTATGGGGGGGGTGTGTGTATGCGCGCGCGCGGGGCAACGCAACCATCGCAACGCCATCATGGTGGATGTCGACGACAGAGTGTTCGGCCCGCCATTATTGATGGTGCCGATTCCGAACGGTGTTCTAGTGATAATCTTTGGTCGTTTGCGTCACCTTGTGCAAAGTGATTTACAATATCGACTCAAGTTGATGATTTATTTGAAGCAGATCTGAAAGATATAACCAAAAAAATGCAGATACCTCAAACAAGCCTTGCAAGATTAAAATAAACATCCGTCGCCTTGTGTAATACCGTTTGACCTACATCAAAGCCGAAAAGCGCATTGCGCAATATTGCAATGTGTGTTGACTGTAGTGTTTAGCAGATGACGCGTATTCAGAATGCGATTTTCATTCCATTGAGGATCAAATTGAGTTGAGACATGTTTTTGGTGGGTTGCCACCTAATTCGATGGATTGCCCTAATCAGAGATACAATGAGGAAGTATTGTGGTTCCATATTCCGGTCAGAATTCATCGGATCACAAGTTCACTTCCCGTCCAATGCAAATCGTCAATCATTTTGAATGAATAGCAAGAAGATTCCGCCTTGAGCTTCCTCCATATGTTGGCGCGAGTCAATTCGTCTCCCTCGTACAAATGATCAAAAGAATCAATGATTAGTGGGCGAGTGGTGGCCCGTCTTCAAATCATCTGGCGATTCGCTGCAGCGATTTGGCCCGTTGTTGCGCAACGCCAACATTGCGCGGCTAATGCACCAACGCGTCCAATTCACATGAGCACTTTGCGTCTTCAGTCGGACGACTCTAGATGGAGATGGGATTAATAGATGGTGCGAATATGGGAAAGTAATATGATTGATCATATATGAGCGTGTATGTGCGTTTTTATGCTGAGCCCATCACTCAGTTTTGAATGTACTTTGGAATCTGGAGAATCGAATCAAATCGCACCATCTTCACGTATTTATGGCGTTTTTTTGGAGCGCCAAAATGTCATAAATCGTGGGAAAATGGGCGCGGAGAGGCGCGTTTCGTGTGGAAGATGTATAGTCGCATTGAAGCAATGCGATGAGCCAAATCCGATTTGAATCTTGTACCGTAAGATTCGCTAATGATGCTCGCCGTGCCAGATGGTTTTTCTCAGCGATTTTGCGCAATCCGATCCGATGTAATGGGCTAGTGTAACGTAAAGGTGAATGAACAACTGGTAATTGGAGAATCTCGGACGATCCTCGCTCCCTCCACCGCCGATTCAACAGATCTCCGAACTTGATCGGTATTGCGAATAATCGAGCGGCGAAAAAAGTTTGACGCGATCAACCGATAACCCGAATTCCGAAGGAAACGCAGTTGACCTGACCCTCTTTCAACATTCCTTTGTTCAAAAATGGCTTCGTTGTGGAGAGAATGAGATATCGCGATTGTCCGTGGTGGCGGCGACTACCAGGAACAATCTTGTTTGGGCTATCTCGCATTTTTTTTCCTACGGTATTCACGAAACGCGTGTCGCCCAACAGGATCTCCAGTTGTTCGCCAACGAACGAACCGATTTTGAACTTGACGAGTTGAAAAAAATTTGAATTTCGTGCGCATGTGAGCGATCTGAGATTCCGATAAACGCTCAAGGTGAATGATGTGAATTCAAACTTGGCACTGTCGAATCTGCATCAGGTATCACACAGCTCCAATCTTCCTATAGGAATGTATATAATTGCTAATAATGCGCGAATGTTGATCGTTGCCAAAATTGGCTATCTCCACGGAGACACAGAATGCGAGAATCGAATAACCGACTCCGCCCCCCACCCGCCGCACGCCCCATTTACACGTACGCCATTTGGCTAATGTTTGTTGTGCAATCGGGTCCCCCCATATTAGGATAACTGTCCTAAGTAGGCGTGGTTCGAGGGACGCGATTGCGTTGTCTCCATTCTCCGCTCGCTATTGCGCATTCCCATTGACCGTAATCCGAGAAGCGTTTGCAGCAAATCACAGCAAAAAAAATTTGAAAAGATCAAAAAGCTGCGAAATTCCCCACGCCGCGTCAATAAATAATCCGAGCCTTTAATTTGATGAATCGGATTAATCTGTGAATCGTTTCATCAACCGAATTCCATCTCGTTCAAAATTTGTCGGCTGCAGATCCCCGATAAATTTGCGGCAGCAGCAGCAGCAGCGAACGTTTTTATTATATTCTTCGGATTTTTTTTGCTTGGGCGCCTCATTCATCGGCGTGTTGTTTCACCTGTGTGCAGGGTCGATCGCAGTCGGCTGACTGTGTGTATGTGGTTCTCGTGTGAGGGGGGGGGGGGCGTCGGCGGTGGCGCGTCCAGCCGGCGACGACTCCCGCCCCAGTCGCCCGGGAGCGCAAACAATCAGAGTTGAGTTCTTTTTTCGTTTTTTTTGGCGGCGCGCCAACCAGCCGCTCCAACCCACCGCGTGTCACACCACGCCTTTTTGTGATGGCGACGACGACGACGACACACACAGCGAGACGCCGAGCGCCCTCGTATATCTCTTGTCCGCATTCGACACCCAAAATATTTTAAAAACTTTTTTTGGCGCCAACGCATAAAACACGCGTCCCCCCCTCCATCCCTCCCCATATAAATATGTCGTAAACGCGAGGCCGAGCAGAGTACGGTAATATCTATTGGCTCGTGACGTGACAGGGGAGGAGGCCGTCGACGAGTCGACACCCCCTTGCTATTTTTACCCGAAGAGATTTCATCATCATCATCGAATGTCATCTGATTGGCTTTGTTTTTCTCTTCTCAGATGGCCAAACACCCAATTGCACCATTTTGGCGACTCGATTTTTTTTGAAAATTTTTTCGCGCGCGCGTTCGTTGCCCTTCAACACACAACGAATTGTTTACGCGATTTTGGCTGTGGAGAAAATCGCCTGATCAGCCTACACACATCGATGACCTTGCATTCCCACCGTATTTGTGTCGTTTTTGCAGTGTCGAGTTTCGGCGAAAAAAAAAACACGAGAAGAAAGAGAGAGAGAGAGTTCGTGCTAGTAGTGGGCAGTCGGGTGAGTGACCCTGTTGGTTGGCTTGTCGCCAATTTGCCGGGGACCATCCATTCATTCATCCCCCCCCCTTCTTCCTTCCATTCTCTTTTCTTTTTGTCGCAGCTTCGGGAAGATGAAGCTGGGGCCCGGCGAAAAATTTTTGGCACACACTCGCATACACACACACATACTTCGCCTCACATATATACGCGGCCCCGTTTTTCCTAGTGTCCCCCCTTACCCCCCACAAAAACGAGAGAAGACGCCCGTTGGCTAGCCTAGTAGCCTCGTTTAGGGGCCCCAACGAGAGTGCGTTCGAATCGCTGAGAACAGCAGAGAAGCGAGTGCGAGCGCGCGTCGCGCGCGCGCGCGCACACAATCGACCAACCGACCGACAAACTCGTGATCGGCTGTGTTGGCGTTGTGCCACGAGTTGTTGGAAACGCGCCAAGGTCACGCCCACTCGCGGTGGGGATGTCTTGCCGCGCTCCGCCAATGAAACACTATCTGCGATCTTCGCGTCTCTCCCCCTTCCCGTGTGCTGGTATCCATCGTTGTATACTCGTTCGCTCGATTCGCGATGTGCCCTCCCTCCATCCTCAATGGGAGAGGTCCCGCTTCTTTGCTGTTTCCACCTACCCGTCCCTCTCACAACAGAACCCAATGACGTCAATTTTGTATTGTTTTGCGATTGTTTTTTTTGGAAGTCGACGTGCTTGTCTCCTCGTCGTATCATTGTCTTATCTCAACACAGTAGAATTGATACCCAATGGAGTTTACACATTTTTATGCGACGCGTGAGTTCCTTCATATTCGATGATCATTGATCGCTTCCGCGTTCAAACGCACGAACTGTGATGCAAATAATCGGGGAATTTCGTCTTGCGCGCGCACACACAACAACAGAAGCAGCAGCACCATCAGAAATTCCCGCAGAATCAATCTCGATTTCAAACTTCCATCCAATTCGATTCATTCCCTGATTTTACTCCAGTGGTGGCGTATGTGTGTATGGTTTTTTTTTGGAGATAGTGACTTTGAGAGACGCCTGGCTATATGTATATCGTTGCGCGCATACTGTAGAACGCGGCCCGAATGGACATTAGTGTCCTTGAGGCCGTGTCAGTTCTGCGTCCTCTACTGCCCCGATCTCCTTCCTCTTGGTCACGTTTGTGAGCGAGCGAGTCGAGTCGACCCGACCCGACCCGACCGTTGAGCGCGCACCATGCCATTTTTTTCGAATGGTACTGATGATGTTGGTCATTGTTGGCGAGTGGCGCTGTTTGAGTGTATGTAGTTTGATCGCAATTGTGATCTGATCGATTAGCCAATCCGAAGGGCACCCAGCCTCGGTCCTTCGTTGCTGACGGTTGTTTTGTTGCTAGGATGACTGTGACGTCTCGCGGCGTCGGAAAAAAAAGAGAGAGAGGGGGGGGGGACGCGTTTTCATCTCGTTTCCTAATGTATTATTTTGTTTTTCAGTTTTTCGCGCGCCTCGCGCTTGTCCGCGCCAGGCGCCGAACCTCTTTGATGTTGTACACTATTTCCGCGTCTCCACCGTTTTTCGTCGTTTTCGCTCCCATCCCTTTCCAACCATACCCACTGATTCCGCTTCCTTCACTATTATAATGCCCCCCATCGGGGTCTCTTCGTCACCCGTCCAACAATTCTTTCACTCTCCCTCTCTCTCTCTCTCTCATCATTCTTTTGGCTCTCAACCCATCGTACCGCAATGTTCCTACATTTAATACGTTCTGTATGTTGTTGTTGTTGTTGTTGTTTTTTTTTGTCGCCTTCTGAAAATCGTGTTTTCAGCTAGATCACAAGATCTCCGAACAGCAGCGGTCGTCGTAAAAGAAACGAGGCTTATTGTAACCACACGTTTGCCTCTTAATGCCACCGGTACCCGGACAGAATCCGCAACAATACAACGCCAACATGAACAACCATAACAACCAATCGAGGAACAACACGAGCGCGTCCAGTGGATTCATGTTTCCACAGGTGAGTGACTCATCGCTCGTTTGCACATTTTGGCCTCTCGATGATCGCTCAATTGTACGGTTCACTTCAGAATCACATGCGCGGAAACTTTGGAGGCTCGGGTAACAACAATGGTTATGGGCGATACACTGTTCGCGACGGGACCCCGCAACAGAACGACGCGCCATTGAGCTCGACGAATCTTTACATTCGCGGTTTGGCGCCGAGCACCACCGATGAGAACCTTCGCGATCTCTGCCAAAAGTATGGAAGCATCGCATCGACGAAAGCGATTATGGATAAAACGACGAACCTATGCAAAGGTTATGGATTTGTTGATTTTGAATCGCCGCACTCGGCTCAGTCGGCCGTTGAGGGATTGAATCAGGACGGGATTCAAGCCCAGATGGCGAAGCTTCAACAACAAGAGCAGGACCCAACCAATCTTTACATTGCCAATTTACCCCTTGAATACAATGAGCAAAAATTGGAGGCAGAGCTTAATAAGTAAGAGTACTCGACCACCGTTCGCTGGCATTTCAAAAATCGATTGATTGTTCAGATTCGGAATGGTTATATCGACAAGAATCCTTAGAGATGCCAATCAGCAATCGCGAGGAGTTGGCTTCGCCAGAATGGATTCGAAAGAAAAGTGCGAAGAGATCATTTCGGCGTTGAACGGCGGACGATTCGAAGGAATGCCACCTGAGGCGCCGGCCTTGTTGATCAAACAGGCCGACACTGGACGAAAATCGAACCGCGGCCCGCAAAAGAAGGGACCACTTGAAGGGCAGTTCGACGCCTCGTTCTATCAGAATCCACACATGATGGGATCGCAGGGAATGCAGTACCCGCAAGTCTATCAATCCTACTATCCATACACAGTCTATCCACGTAAGAGTTGTCGACGTTCGGAATTTAGTCTTGATTGTCCTTGTTTTTCAGAATACGACGTGAACTCGCTATCGTCGCACATGGGTGGCATGCAGATCGGCGGAGGTCAAATGCCACAGGGCGCAAACACGGACTATTCGATGTATCCGGTGCAGAACGTGGCCGGCGGCCAATCGAACGCCGGAGGCAATTCGTCGGCCGGCAACCAACAGTACTATATGAACCCGAACAACGGTGGAGCGCGAAAGATGAAGGCGGCACCGCCGATGTAATTCCGACAAAATGATTGAAGAAAGCGCCGACGTACACAACCACAAAAAAGCACAAAGCACACATACCCACGTTCATGTATTACCCAAATTCAGGAATTTGAATCATGAAGTCCGCTCTTCAAAATTTTCTTTTTGAGTCTCCGCCCTTCCCTTCCCCCCCAAAAATTCCCCTCCCGTCTCCCCACCCTCGTCACTCTGTTCGCTTTTCGTCTACAGCAGCTATTTTGCTAATTGTGTATCACGTTGTTAGGCAATCGTCGTTTTCATTTTGTTCCACTCATTCTCAATCGCACCTCCCAATCGTTTCATGTCCCATCAGAATTCTATATATTTATGTGCTGAATTGTTTTTTTTTTTTCGTGGAAAAAAAAGTGTTTTTTTTGTTCAGAAACTGGTTCGAAATGCTCATCCAGATCATTTATTTATATATGTTCGTCATCTCTTTACAATTCATCTACTGTTGATCAAAATGTTTCATCATCTTCCACTTCTTCCACTTCTTCTTCGTTTTCTGTTTGATGAATGACCTCCCTCATTTCCCAATTGTACATATTTCCCCAGAAGAAAGCCAAAAAAAATTTTTTGGAAGATACTTTAATTCATAGGCTTTCCATTAAATTTCTATTAATTGTATTAATTGCTGAGCCGTATATGCATATATACAATTTGCTTCGTGTGTATAGTGTTTTTTTTTTGCTCTGATTGTTTCATCGTTACTTTAGGGAATAATTCTGTTGAATACCCCCCACTCGACCCTTCTCAAATGTTACCACATCCTGAAATGCTCGAATTGACAAGAAAAAAATCAGGCGAGGAAATGAATTTGATTGTTATGCTCACCGAGCAGCGTTTAATTGTTCACGAACCGAAATTTTGCCGGTGTCGTGAGACGTGTCATCAACCGATGTTTCGAGCTCGTTTCTTCTCCTTCTACTGCTCTCTCTCTCTCTCTCACTCAAATTGTTCAGATTATTAAAAAGTTTATTATTAATATATATATTATATACTATTAATTATACATTTAAATAATGTTTCTTTTTTTTTCCATTGATTTGATTGTTTTATCAGCATTATCATCATCATCATTCTGTTGAATTGTCTCATTTTCGTTTACCATACATTACCGATTGTTTTTGGGAAATACCCTCTTACACGATCCGTCACCATTAAATGTTCCGAAAATTACCTAAACTGTGCCTTTCAATACAATCAGAATCATACACGCTCCATCCAAATGCACTTATTAAATGAATTATTGTTGATTTTTCAATGAAAAGAAGCACACTTGGTTTCAATGTAAATAAAGGTTCAGAAGAAAACAATTAAACAATGAGTTGAAGTTGGTTTAATTTGTAATTCGTTGCACAAATGGGCGGGATATAAATTAAATTAATTTGATTGGTTGGCTCTTGAAGACGCGTTTTCGCCGAATTTCCGTCATCATTCTTCAGAATTCTTAAACAATTGAAATCAATGTTGGTCGATATCGCGGTTTTTTTCGTATCAGTCAGCGAAACTGAAACATTTCTGAGAGTTGTGCGATAAGAAAAGGACTGTACGTCACGTGATTTTGGCATTGGCAATTGTCCGACAGAAATGTAAACAACTTTGTCTGCTTTATGAAGCTCTCGGAAAAAAATTCCATTTTTCAAATGGGGATGTGGAAAATATAGAAGGCGAAAACGAGTTTGATTTTTATGGGTTTCTCGATAGCGCTATGGGATTTATACCAGAAGCTGAAACAGAGGAAGCGACTAAAAGAACTCCCATCGATCGGAAAAAAATCAATTAGAAAACATCAAATATTTAACAGATAATGCTATAGATTTGATAATATTGCAGCTCCCCGTTGGAAAATGGATGAAAAATACTCGGGGCCCAGATCCCCTTTAGCCCGGGCGAACAATACGTCTTTTTTTTGAAGTTGGTAATACCTACACACCAGCTTTCCAATGAAATCGTCATTACGTGTGCAGTTTTAGCTACAATATTTTCAGACAAGAGATTCGTGAGGGCCCAGCATATGGAGGATGTACTGAGAAAGAACAGACCAAAAGTGGCGGAACGCGTGCGGGCGGACGGCCGAGGGATCGAGGAGAGCCTACGATGGCACAATCAATAGATTTTAGAAATGGATGGATGAGAACGAGTGGACGCGTGAGGAAAAGGCGGAAGTCAAGAAATTGGTCTGGTCTTCGCGCTGAATTTCTACCTTGCAAAGATGGGAGACGGTTGGAAGAAATCGGGGTCGATCCCATCTGAATGGAGCGGTTACAAAAAGCTTAAAGACCATTTCCGCCAGCACCAAGTCGTAGTTCATTCGAGGGAGTTTAAGAAGTACGATCACTCCTTACTTGTAAACATAAACAACTCTTGCACCGCCGACGGTGTCCACACCAAACGCATCGAGGGTTTTTGGGCTCTTTTAAAAGAGCCCAAAAAATTATCCCAATGCACAATGAGGGTTTGACAATATTATTTCATTTCGTAATTAACAATTTTTTTTCATAATTTTTAATAATTGGTCATTTCAAAATAAAGAAACCATGTCTTGGCTAACATGCAGATAAACTCCCCACACGGTTCATTATACAGCGCCGCGTAAAATTGGGATAATCAGAGAGAAAAGAGAGACATGTTAATTCTCAATGTTTCGAGTAGCTTCTGGGCGAAATGTTTTCCCGTATTCTGCCTCATGACGACTTCATCGATATAACTTTGAAGTAAAACAGCCGACGTTCCGACGACGCGCACGTTTAATGGGCTCTTTTAAGAGAGCCCAAAAACCCTCGATGCGATTGGTGTGGACAACGTCGGCGGTGCGAGAGTTATTTATGTTTACACGTAAAGAGTGATCGCACTTCTTAAACCCCCTCGAATGAAATACGAAGTAGGGACGAAAGAGAAGGAACCAGTGAAACACAAGGAGAAAGCGACCGTAAAGCTGGTCGGGGAGCTGACATAGGCGGCGAGCGCATGGGTGAATTAGCGCTTCTTGGTTCGGAGCGTTACTAAGATCATCGACGATGGTGGGCATGAAGACAGGAGATCTCGGATGGGAGAACGAGTGGCACTTCGAATAAAGCGCTCGAAAATCGAAGACCAAAATGGTACAAAAACTGCTGCGAAGGACGGCCAGAATAGGGAAAGAATAGCGCGGACCATAGAGCAAACATAGTTGTTCGAGAGCAGGTCAACGGGGAAACCAGTCATGCTGTCGACCGGCTTAAGAAAACTTCTGGCGAAGGCGGGAAAGGAAATGATCGGTATCACTTCACAGACTCACGGAAGAAAGAGCGACGACAATAATGAAGGCCGATGAAAGCTGGAGGTAAATCTAGGGCAGTTCTCGATTACCTACGAGTACCGAAATCGATTGCGCTACTTAAATGCATAAGTTTCTTTGTATCGATCACATGAATCGATTTCTTGTAAAATTCCCGAAAAACTAGAAACTATGACATCAGTGAGTTATTTTCTAACGGGAAATTAAAATAGAGAAAATAAAAACATCAAATGCAAAATAAATGCCGCGGTAGAATTGCCAATTAAACACTACCAAGAACTTGACCATGTGATAAACCGCAAAATAAAACAACAAGCATTAAATTAGAATGTTTGATTTCTCCATCATCTCGCTTCTTCTCCTCGAAAGTCTGCACAGGCGAAATACATAGTACGTAAAAGGCATCGAAGCTAGCAACATTGAACACGATTTTTGGTTTCAATTGACTTTGTAGGTTTCGAAGTTTGGAGAGGCTGATTGGAGAATCGCTGGTGTTTTAAATTCGTAATTGAATATCTGCAATCAAGAAGGCAATTAAAATGAGACTTACACCAGAAAAATAAGAGGGCCATTCAACAAAACTACATAGAAGATTATTTGAAAAATTCCATCCATTTCAAAAAAAGATTCATAATCAAGAGATTTCATGGTCGAAAATTGTCGCGATCAATCGCGTACCCTTAAGGGGATCATTAGAAAATATGAGAATTTCCTAACCTAATCTAATTCTCTAGAAAACCTGCAAATTCTCGAACAGGTTGCCTAGACACAAGAGAAAACAATCATAATGAATGGGATCTACACTTAAACATGAAAAAAAAAACTCTTAACAGGTTTTAAAAATGTGGGAGAAAGAGGTAGGGAAAAAATTTGTGTTCGTTATGACTAACGCTAAACTATAAAAAAACTAAATTACAAATGAGTTATAACTAATCAAATGTCATTTCCACATAAAAGCGCACGAAAATATCATAACAGTGATACAACAAATCAGAAACAACTCAACAACAAATCACTATAAATCAAACTGAATTACGATATATCTATCATTCAATGGATACTCTCTGGTCAGCTTTTTGCCTGTTTTTCCATTTTATTAGATCTTTTTTTTTATCACTTTTTTATATTATCGTTTTTTTTTTCTTTTCAATCTTACATTCTTTTTTATCAAACGTCTTGTGTTTAAATATTGTCAAAAGATGAATCGAATTCAATGGTATTGAACGGCGCTGGTGTTTGGACGGTTCGAGACGAAAAATGAGTTTCAGTAGTTGAAGATCTTCTTGTTGGCGATTAAACTGAAAATGAATAACTTCAATGTAAATTTAAGAAATTTGAAACTTACAGTAGCACAGAAGCTGGCCGACCTCCTTTATGAACGAAATTACGCGCTTTTTGCGGGCGAGAATTTTGAAATTTGCATGAATCAACTGAAGATGAATGTTGCAGAAAACTTTTCGAGAATTGCCTAAACTAAACTAAGAATCTAGACAACCTGCCAATTCTCGAACAAGTTGGCTTGACAAAAAGGGGATGAACAATCACAAACGGAATTCTAAACTAGAACATTAAAAAAGCAAATATTCTTAAAATACTCAAACAAGGGGAGAAAATGTGGGCAAGAGGCACATAGCACATTACATGTCATTAAAGAAGCCACTCTCAGAATACAAAAAAAAAAACATAAAAAGAAACACGTAAATGAAATATACAAAAACCACATATTAATTCAACAATCATGTAAACATTGCTAAAATACATCACATTTTTAATAGCATTCTTTGGATACACGTTGGTCGGCTTTTGCCTGTTTTTCCTTTTTTATCTTTTCATTTTTTTCTTATAACTCTTTTCACTGACTTATCTTTTCTTTTTTTGCTATTTGTTCTTTTTTTTACTATTGGCGAAATAACATGGTGGGAAGGGGCTGGAGGCGTAAATATGGAAATCGAAGGAACTTCAGGAATGATGATCGTAGAACGCGGACATCCTTTGTGAGTGCACGATGCCAGAAACAGAACAAACTGACTCGAAGATTGAAGATTTCGCTTGAATAGTCTGTGTTGAATCCAGAAGACGTGAAGTTGAAACGCTAAAATCATGCCAAATTTAGAATTTTACATTTTTTCAGGCGGTACTTTTAATATTCCGGCAATTGACTAAATACGACTATGGATGGGTCGTGCCGATATTTATTTTTCTTTGTTTTGTCGTTGAAGTGATGAACGAAAATGCCTTGAGCAATCAATCTATGACAAAAAACACTTCACTATCTGAAAGTTATTCGATCATTAAGCGAATATAAAATAAGAGGCTCACCATTAATAACTTTTATCGCAACGGGGCTCCACAGCGAGCTTGGTCCATTAAGAGAAGGTCTGTCTTGCCAAGCGACCGATCGGAAGAGAAGAAGACGGCAAGAATGAGCAACATCGAAAAGAATGACATTCCAAAACGTGGCAGCCCATGCCACGTTAAAGGTCAACTAAAACTAGGTCACGTCAACGTAATCGTCTAAAATTAAATTTCATTTTACTTTTTTTTCTTATTAACAATTTTCTTGGTAAATCACAAACACACACACTTCCACTTCAGACCTTTGCAACCACTCCTCAACCCTTAATTGGTCTATTCAAAAAATTCAAGACTAAAACTTTTAGAAGTTGCCTAGGATTTATATTTTTTTTTTTAAAGCAGGAACCGAAAATTTGGAAAAAATATTCGACCTTTCGAAACAGACAAGATACAAATGAAAATAATTATCTCCGTCAATTATCCAAATTTGATTCCTAGAAAGTTCGAGGAATCAAATTTTCCGAATCTAAATCCATTCACCGTTTAAATTTTTTATCATGACGCGTATGCTTTCTTCGAATTATTAATAATTTTGCAAGAAAGTATTATATCTAAAAGTTTCTACACATACCTAAAATTTTTTTTAATCCAGAACACATATGTCCGCTAATGGATCGTTTTATGAAATGTATTATTTTTCACAAACAATGTAAAAATTACATTAAATGTGCATTTTTTACAACCCTGCATTGGAAAAATGTGTAATTTTAGACTTTTTTAATTGCTTGATTAGGCCCACGAGATTATCGGTAAACTCAAATTTCCTCCAAAACGCATGAGGTTCAACGACATTCCACCCGCCCGCAGTTTAGCAACTGCAGCGTGTTTTGAAACACGCTGCGACGCACAGGTGTATGAGTGTCGACGAACGAACAAGTAAATTTCATTTCATCAATCCTAAATTTCTGAATTTTTCCTCCATCGATCTCTGGGGTTTCTTCATCTTCCTTCTCAATTTTACCGTTTTTCAGCTTTTCAATTTTATGATAAGTATTATTTCAGGGTACAATGTCGCACCGAAAGTTTTCGGCGCCGAGACATGGTCATATGGGATTCACTCCCAAGAAGCGCTCCAGGACTTACCGTGGAAGAATAAAGGCCTTCCCCAAGGACGATAAGAACAAGCCAGTTCATCTTACCGCCTTCCTTGGATACAAGGCTGGAATGACCCACATCGTTCGTGATGTCGATAAGCCAGGATCCAAGGTTAACAAGAAGGAGGTTGTTGAAGCTGTCACCATCATCGAGACTCCACCAATGGTTATCGCTGGAGTTACCGGATACATCGACACTCCACATGGACCACGTGCTCTTACCACCATCTGGGCCGAGCACTTGTCGGAGGAGGCTCGCCGTCGTTTCTACAAGAATTGGTTTGTTAATTTTTTTCAGTTCGCCCTACCACTTATAAGAAATGTATCGTTAACTTGAAGTTACACGTTTCTTAATCGGTTTCCTTCCGCTGTACATTAAGTATATGAAGGATGGCGAGCTGAGTGGCTAGTGCAAATATGCACAAAAAGGCACTTTGTTCGTAATCGGTGGAAACTACAGGGCCAAGTCTAAGAAGAAGGCTTTCACCAAGTACGCTAAGAAATGGCAAGATGAGGACGGAAAGAAGGTCATCGAGTCTGATTTCAACAAGTTGAAGAAGTACTGCTCGTCCATTCGTGTGATCGCTCACACTCAGGTAAAATTTATGATTTGCTGGAGTTGTCTAAAATTTTGATATTTAGATGAAAATTCTCAACCGTCGCCAGAAGAAGGCTCATTTGGTCGAAATCCAAGTTAACGGAGGAACCATTGAGCAGAAGGTTGACTGGGCTCGCGAACATCTTGAGAAGCAGGTTCCAGTTGACACCGTCTTCTCCGTTGACGAAATGATCGACACTATTGGTGTTACCAAGGGTCATGGATTCAAGGGAGTCACCAGCAGATGGCACACCAAGAAGCTTCCTCGCAAGACCCACAAAGGTCTCCGCAAGGTTGCCTGTATTGGAGCCTGGCATCCGTCTCGTGTTGCCTTCACTGTCGCTCGCGCCGGTCAGAAGGGATACCATCATCGCACCATCGTCAACAATAAGATCTATCGCATCGGAAAGTCTTGCCTCAGCGAGGAAGGAAAGCACAACGGATCTACTGACTTTGATCTTACCGAGAAGACCATCAACCCAATGGTAAGAAATTTTATATTTCCAGTGTATGCTCAATGATGAGAAAGTCTGCAATTCGTACTTTGCTGGCGATAACGTTTATTCTGAGAGCATTAACACAAGACATGAAGCTTTATTTTAAGGAAATTATTTTTCTTTTCAGGGAGGATTCCCAAGATACGGATTGGTCAACCAAGATTACGTTATGCTCAGAGGAGCCATTATTGGACCAAAGAAGCGCCTTATCACTCTTCGCAAATCTTTGATTACCCAAACCAAGCGATTCGCTCACGAGAAGATCAACCTTAAATGGATTGACACCAGCTCCAAGACCGGCCACGGACGCTTCCAAACTACTGCCGAAAAGCGCGCTTTCATGGGAAAACTCAAGCGCGACTTCTTGGCTGAGCAGGAGGCAAAGGCTTAAATTAAAGCAATTGTTATTCAATAAATTTGTTATTGTTACTACTTGTTCATTTAACAGAGTACAAATGAATGAAGAAATTCCGAAAAACTGTATTCAGAAAAAAAAAAGGAAATCACATTTTGAGAATGGGAGTAATGTCTCCACCTTTTGATTCCTTTCGAAGTCGAGTATAATGTCGTATCAAGTTTAATGCTGTGATTTCGTAAAGACTGTCTTTGTGGAGATACGATCGATTTTGATGAAAACATTTTGGCCTGCCGGAAATCAGTCATCTTTTTACAGATATGTGTTTTATGAAAGCAGTTCTGATCATTAATCCATATAGCGAAAAAAAAGTAAAATCAGAAATTCTGAATATTTTCAAGTTTCACTTTTGTAAACAATTCTTCTCTTAATCCGATATGTCTTTATTACTATTATTATTATTAGCTTGTGTTCAATAAAAATTATTGAGTCTTGAAGAGATAACAGTTGAGACCATTCTGCGAGTGGAGACAGTAGTTAGTCGTGGATGTTACGAAGGAGAAGGCACCCTGAGAGCAAATGACTGTGAATCGTCCGCCGATTTCAACTTCAGCGGCTTCCACAAGAGCAATCTTGATCTTTGAAGATTCTCCAGAAGTCATTTCCTAAGATAAACCATGAATTAATATAATCAGCAACGAATCCCCCAACCTTCTTCATGATGTTGAAAAGTTTGTCATCATTGCAAGCGACATCTTTTGGAGCCTCATCAACATCCACCTCACGCTTCTTCCTTCCGCAAGCGCAAGTTGGACAACATGGCTGAGGATGCTCAATTCGTGGCAATGGGATGGTTGGAATCTGGATAGGCGGAAGCTGAATGGTGGTCATGCACATTGGTGGCGGTGGTGGTGGTGGCGGGCATCCACACCCTACAAAAACTCGAGGATGATTAGGGAAGATGCTCGAAAGAAAAAAAAAACGAAGACAAACCTCCATTGAAAAATGTGGCATCGGCTGAGATGGCCAACAATAAAACAGCAACCGTGGAGCGAATCATCATCCAGAGTGGCAAACCAAATGCCAATCCCTTTTATGGTCTCGAGGCCTGTTTCAACCACGCCCCTCCGTTTCTCGGGATGCAAACAAGCAGGCGCACAGGTGAGATCAGTGCAAGTTTTCTTATCTCGCGAATCATAACGAGAGAGTGTCTTGTAGGATACAACAAAAACAGGATGGACGGGCGTTTTTTCGCATTTGCGTAAAATTCACCAAAATCAATCGTTTATACACACCCTCAAATATAAAGCAACAAAAAAAAACGTGAAAATCCTTAATCGTCATCCTCATCATCGGAGACAACAATCCGACGTTTATGTTTGACAACCGTTGTGAATGGATCATGAGTACTAATCGGTTCGTCTTCAGTAACACTGGCAACTGAACCGTTCGTTAGTAAATCGCTCATAAAGCGCTTCTGCAATAATATATTCAAAGTTTGGCCAAAATTCCAAATAATAAAGATAAAAAACCTTGAAACCAAATTTATCCTCATCGCTGTCTTCGAATTTGTTACTCTCCTGACCCTCATCATCATCGTCATCTTCTTCGCTATCACTCTCGAACAGTTGCGCAAATCGCCGTTTTCGATTTTGTCCAATCCGCATGACATTCTGAAAATGGGTTCGAATTAAAAAAATAAAACATGAAAAAAATTGATCGAATGATTTTACTAGAACACTCTTCAAAAACTTGCATTAATTTTTCTTTAATTACCACAATTTTCTTACATTTACAGGCGATTTTTCTACCACCGGCTGCAAAACATTCTCCTTTTCTGCAACTTTCGGTCGCTCATGTTTCTCCTGATCTACTTCATCATTATCTTCACGCTTCTCTTCTTCTTCATCTTTTTCTTCTTCTTCTTCTTCCGACGACCCTCCAGAATTGTTCTCTTTTTCTTCTACTTCTTCGTCGTCGTTCAAAAAATCGTCTTTTTTCAATCGCCTCTTCACATGCTCCTTATTTCGAGGTTTCTGTTCCGGGCATTTCGCGCCTGTAATCATAAATTAAATTATGCAAGATAAAATATTTGCTACCCATAGCCGTAAGATGTCGAACAATCTGCGACACTGGTTTCTTCTCACTGAGTCTTTTCACAACATATCGAACAATATCGACACCGACTGAAAAAAGTCAATTCCAAATTTGAAATCAAATCTTTTTCGAATCTCTTACGAAGGTTTTGAGCATCATCAATTTCTTCATATTGAGTTTTTAGAGCAGCCAATTCTTCAACAAGTCCTTCAGGCCATTCAGGAAGTCTAAAAATGAAAATTTAAACACATTAAAAATTCATCTCCAACTTCTTCTCTTTTTTCGGTTTTTCGTATAAAATATCGGCATATGAGAGCTGTTTAATGACTCTTTTCCGAGAAACTGGCCCGTATGAATCAGCTAGTCGATCTCGGATCATTTCGATCACATCAACTGAAAATAAACATCAGTGAGGTGTATTTTCAGGGATCATGGAACAGTCTCACACCTTTATCTTTGCTCTCTAACGTCTTCCATTCATCGTAGATTTTTTTCATTTCGACAACCGGGAAATTCATGTCCATTGCTTCTCTAAATCAATTCATCAATAATCTCTGAATAATCGATTTATTAAATTTTACACCAATACCCTCTTTTCTGTTTAGCTCCCAACAAGTCAAGTCCGAATTCTTTGAGTTTTCGGAAAATTTGACGTCGTGTTCGTTGCCGCGACAAATTGTGTTCAATGTAGTCAAGAACATCAATGCCTAGATCAGAGAGAAAACCATCAACTACAACCCCAAATTAATTCAATCAAACCATCAGTTTCAGATTCCTGAGTTTTATATTCATCATAAAGACTCCTGAGCTCGACTTCAAGCTCTTCCGTCCAAACTTTCGATTCCGCCGTCCGACATTTACTGAAAATTTAGCAAAACGATTTAATCCACACATTTTTGCCTACTCATAAGATCCATAGCCATTCTCAATTTCGTACACTTCTTTTGCGCTTTTCCAAAACAAAACTTCGGCAGCCAAATCGGGTCCCGACTCGAATTCGTTGTATTTGATGAAGAACTTTTTGAGGACATAGTATCCAAACTGATAAAGCTCATACAGTGGACTCGATTTGTGACGATCTTTCGGAATGCTCGAAAAGTATTCATCGACATTCCAAAAGACGTGGAATAGAGAAATTTGGAACAAACGGGTCACACTTTTCAGATCGACAGCAATTCGATGAAGCATTTTGACGAGCGCCTTGTTGAGTTCAATCGAGTTTTTGGAAAAGTCATTGAGAAGGAATACATACCTAAAAACAATTGAATTGTTGAGAATTCACCAAAGAAAATCAAACCATCGAAGAACATCGATTTTGGCAAATTTCGACACATAAATATCCATCTCAAACTCAACTTCTTCAACTTCCCATCCGGGAACATCTTCCTCATCGTCTTCTTCATCCTCACTTCTTTCTTCCTCAAGTTCTGCATCGTCAACCTCCACTGCATTAGCCTCCTCCGCCTTTTTCAATTCAACAGCTACACTCTTCAAATCAGCAATGCAAATCTGCTTTAGCTCTTCGAGCTCCTCTTCTCGGCTCATCTCATCACTTCCAAAGATTCCGCTGGTCAACCACACTTTTCTCGCAGCATGATACAAACCAACAGCAGCCGGAAAACATTTCGATCGCAGAGATCTTTGAATTCCAAGCATTGCGAATTGCCTAAATATAAGAGTGATCATAATTATATTTTTTTAGTTTCAACGATTACTGTTGTGTTTTGTCGTCAATTTCCAAGTGTAACATCAATGGATTCATTCCTTCGATTTCGGGCATTTCTCCTAGCAAAACCTTTTCTAAATGATCGACACTTTCCTCCCAAAGTTTTTCTAATTTTTCCTGCGACATATCATCAAACTGAGCACGATTATCCTCATCAACCAGATGTCTTTTTGCTAAAAATAAAGTTTATAAACCATACAAAATTAATATAGCAAAAATTTACCCGATTTTCTCGTCTTCTTGATTTTCTTCTTTTTCGTCACTTTTTTCAGAGTTCCGCTCGTTACAAACTTTTCAAGAAGTCTCAGATAATTGTGAGTTGTGATTATTAATTGAGAAAGGTACGTTTTTGAGAGGACTGCTGGCTTAAATTCACGTTTTAACAAAAATTATTAAATACATGGAATTACCGAAAATTTGGTGATCAGCGCTGACGACAAATCTCGATATTCTTCAATCTTCAAAATGTGATCTAAAGCTTTTCGAGCCATTTGTTTCTCGGTTTCTGAGCCCTTCTCAAATGCATATTGATGCCTAAATATCACGAAAAAATTTTAATCAAAAACGTGTTTCATAAGTTACAATAGAATCAACTCATTATAAGCCTCCAATGCAAATTGCGCTTTGAGTCCAAAAGCTTTCGCTTCCATTCCTTTCAAAGTACATGCATTCTCAATGTATTCGATTAAACGAACGTTGTTCTCATGGAATGCTTCAACTCCGGTGCATTGGGAGATTTTGCTTAACTCGATTTTCGACAAACGAACGAATCGGGCAAAGAATTTAATAAGAAAGAAATAATTGATCTGCGATGTGCGATGGATCATTTGTTTTTGCTCGAAGACGATCTGCTTTGCTGACTTCATCATTCTAGGATTTCGTTAATAATTTTGAAAATAATTTAGTTGAATCTTTACCTATTAAAGCACACGTCAATCATTGTCATTACCATCGTCTGTAGGCTTTTTCTCACTTCTCTTGATGCTCGGTGAGTTATTTGCTCAACTTCAAAAGGCCTTCGATTCCTTGCGATTCGCTTTTTCATTTTTCTTTCATCACCGAATGAATGTGCTGTGATATTCTGAACCGGTCTAAAACAGGAAAATACAATTGAAGTTAAATGGCGAGAAATTACTTAAAAATCACTTGTTCCGATGATGTAGAGAGCGATTTCATTCCTTTAACTACATAAGATCCTCCGAATCTGAACAGCTTTAACTTGTTTAAGAAAAAATATTTCAAATGTTTCTTTACCTTGAAAATGATCTTCTTTTTTGCGCCTCGTTAACTGCATTTTTCTCGATGATTTGCTTAAAATCGCTTTCAATTTTCTTCTTTTCCTCGGCGTTCACTTCATCATCAAGATTCACCAAATCATCACATTTCTTTTTAAAAAATTCAAATTTCTACAAAAAATTTGATGAAATCTTACAATTTCTTTTAAGAGAAGCGCGAAAATATCCATAATTGTCACATGAAATTCACGCTCTTTCGGTTGATTAGCAATATTCATCAAAGTCTGGAAAAATTTTGTTACAAAGTCTGTAAATATATATATGAATTTACGCGATGAAGGCCAGAATTGAAAAATGACAGAACCACACGATCATGGCAGTTATCCTCAACTTTTGTTCTTCTTGGATCAGTTTTGTCCTGATTAATCGAGAAAATGTACCGAATAAGTAGGACAATTCGCTCGACGACTAGTCTCGAATTCTCGTCGCGCTCATCATAATCCTGAAATTGAATATTACAAACAACTAATGAAAAATTCACTACCGTTTCCACAAAAGTATCAATATTCCGTTTAAGAGCCTTGAAGAAATCAACATCAACAAATGCGTGTTTCGCCCTTCGCAGATTCTCCTCCAGTTCCCAATAAAGTCTCCATTGATCTCGATCTTCTGGAGCTTTACCATTCATACTCGCAATTGTCGGCTGGCATAAATTGACCAAAAGTCTTAAATTGACAATTCTTATTTAAAGGTTTTGTTGAATTTCCATAATACCTTACTGCAACATCAAACATCTCTTCAGTTAAATCTTCACATTTAATCAGTGGAACAAGATCATGTGCAATAATATTGTGTCTTCCACATTCAACACGAGCTGATAATTCCGGTGTGTCCATTCGAAGGTATCTGATGATATCTCGAATTGTTTCTGAATTCAAGTTATATCAACTATTTTTTTTGCAACTAATTCAAACCAAAGCAATCCGGCTCTCTGTGATATTTGCCATTTTCCAGATATCCTAGCGCATTTACGGCGCCCTGCACTAGGACGTTCATCTGGAAAAAAAGATTTAATTGAAATTGGTCGAGAAAATTTAAAAATCGAGACATTGGCGCAATGATGCGCGCAATCTTACGATCAATTGCGGACTGAGAAACCATATTGGAGAAAGGCGAAATTTTTTCATGAATTTTCAATTAAAATTTATTGGTTTTTTAAACATTGTTTTGATTTAATCGATATCATGGGAATAATTACGGATTTTATTAAAATGAAGACAAGAATTTCATGGAAAACGTTTGAGGCGAGAAAAATTCCAAAAAGGAAATTAAAGATAATAAGTAGAATTTCCAATGGATAATCCGTAAAAACCAAAACCAATTGAAGTGAATTTTTTACACCTAGACGCTTCGTACATATTTTTGCAAAAAAATCCATGAAGATGAGAGACTGAAACTCTGAAGATCTTCGAATACTAGATTCGTTTTCTCAACTTCCTTGTTCAAAAAATTCTGAAGAAACTCTATATAAAGACGTTTTCCAATTCGTGAATTTTGGTGGCATTCAGTCCAATTGAATTTGGATGAAGATCTTTCAAGATAATCCACATAAGATCTCGTTTCAGCAGGTCGATTTCCAACAACAACACGCTTAATAACCATAAATGTTCATTTTGTACAAATAAATACCAATATATTTCCAAATTTGTTAAGTACCGGCCATTCAAAATATTTGCATACACGTATTAAATTAATTAAACAGGTTTTTAAAATCGATTTCAAACGGGTGCAACATCGTGGTCATTTTGTACGTTTTGATTCAATAATTCACATATTGTTCGAAAAGTTGGTCGATCATGCGCTTCGATTTCCCAACACGCTTTCATTAGATTATACCTAAAAACTGTCATTAGTTTATACCTAATTTGGCTGCTTATTTATTTGGGACAATTTCGAATCAGCTCTTACGTTTCGTCAGGACAATTTGGTGGCTTCTCAAGTCGATTTCCTTCAATCAAATGATTGTAGATATCCTTGTCGGCAATATTCGCATAGGGAAATCCTCCAAGTGTTGCGATTTCCCATAAAAGAACAGCGTATGCCTTAAAAAAAAACAAACGCAAAACTCAATTCGGTTATTCGATAACGATTATACCCAAACATCACTTTTTGACGAATAGGTGTTCTCACGAATTGCTTCGGGGCTCAGCCATCGCAACGGGATGACTCCTTTGCTCATTTTGATGTAAACGCCTGGACGAGACATCCCAAAATCCGATATTTTCAGCACTTTTCCAGTGCCGACAAGAATGTTTCGAGCAGCGAGATCGCGATGAATTATTCCCAGTGACTCGAGATGAGCCTTAATCAGAAGCGTTGTTTTGAATTTATAGCTTAATAAATAGACTACCATTCCATTCGCAATTTGCTCAGCAAACGAATGAGCTTCGATCGGATCAAGGCAAAGATCCGCCTCATTCTCAATTGTTTTTGAAGTTGACGTCACGAAAGATTTCTGAGGAAAACATCATGCAAATCAGCCAATATTCAAAAATTCGAACCTGTTTTTTGATATTCTGCAAATAATGCTTCAAATCCCCAAAAGGCACGTATTCCATTATCATGCACTGCAAGCTATCATCCATACAGTAGCCATACATGGCAACTATGTTCTCATGCTGCCCAACCTAGAAATATTATCGATTATTTGACAAAATAAAAGAAGAGTTTTCTAAGTAACCGTCTGCATCATTTTGATTTCCCTCACAAATTCCTCTTTTTCCTCGTCAATTGCATTTGCTTTGAGTTGTTTAACAGCAACTCGCAAGACCTGTCCATTGGGACCACGAAGGATGCCCTTATAGACGAGTCCGAACGCCCCTTCGCCTAAAAATGAGAGATATATGTAAAATGAGATATTGTCGGAGTCAAACGACTTAACGAAATTTAAAAAAAAATATTGGCTGTGTGCCAATGCGTCGCGAGGCCGTGAGAAGTACGCGAAATTGCGTACATTGCATTATAGTGTACGCGCATTTAATATTCAATCAATGATAAATTTAAATCTACACTGATTTCGCGAATTTGAAGGCCCCGCCTCCCTTCAGTCGTTTGACGTCGACAATATGTTCAATGGGACGAAATTACCAATGACGGTACCCACAGCGACATCTTGCCCTTGAATCTTCCATTCGACAGCAGTTCCATTCACTTCTTGTGTTGGACGGTATAGAATATTTGTCTCCATAATACTATGCCGAGAGCACGACAATGAGCCGCCTCGACCGCCCAAAAATCGATTCTTTTTCTGCTTCTTCCTTCTGAAATGCAATTTTCATTATTTTTGTCCGAAATTTTTGCGCCTACTTTTTCAGCAAATACATTGCGAGAAGGGTGCAGATCGGCGACATGCAAGCAGCGATAATGAGGAATATGATGAATGCGGTGGATTCGACGAGAACCGTCTTTGAGATGACGTCGTTCTGGGATTGACTCGTCACCGGCACAATCATTGGTGGCACTTTTTGCGTTGCTAAATCTCGAAATTTTTCAACAATTTCAGACAATTGATCGAAATACGCTGAATTTCTTCTCGAATTCTGGTGAAATTCAAAGTATCCAAAAAATAATAAGCATCGTCGTTATGACAAAACTGATTGTCGACCGCAAAAATTCCAATTTTATAATGATGAAATTGTTGGAAATCGAATGGAATCTCGTAGGTGAGCTCATTATTCGGACCCTGGAATACGATGATATTGATTCGAGTTCGAATTGATGTCACTCACTTTGGCGTCTCTCGCCGAAACCGCAAACGAATCAGCGTTCGCAATTCGGTAGGTGTAGGGATTTTCAGAAACATCCGCAGATTTAAACGGAATCGTAATTCTACAATTTTGGCGGGAATTCGAAATGTTGGATTTCGAACTAACCTTTCATAGACATCGACATAAAACGTGTATTGTCGATTTTCTCGCTCGTCGAATTCCCATTTCATTCGAAATATCCCGTTTTGCTCGTCGACGCGCAAATTTTGAATTGCCGCCACATCGCCGAGTTTACAGCTGCAGTACTCTTGAATGCATTCAGGAACCGTGTGCGATTGTTCCACAATAAATGCTTCACCGCCGGTCGGATAAGGAATCGAGCGAATTTGGAAAATGTAGGTGCATCCGTGATCGACAATCAATGGATGACCATTGAATTCAGTGGGAATGGTAAGCGAGCGAGTCGTCTAGAATCAATTCATATTCGAATCATCCGAACACTTATTTTTTGGGGGGAATACCGGCGGAAGTGATGAGGCGAAATAGCCGGCAAAATGTTTTTGGCATTCAGCGCTTTTTGCACTATAACGAACATAAAATCCTGTACGACGAGAATCTGAAAGAAAAATGCTGATAATCGTTCAGAATTGGTAGAAACCTTGATCATCGGCTTCCCATGCTACTTCAGTTTCCAAAATTTTTCCTTCATCCATGATCACATTGGTTCGAATGGAAACATTCCATGGAGGGGTGGCGAACACTGAAAATCAGTTGAATCGTCTCCAATAATCGGCTTCTTCATCGTGGGCTGCCAAAAAAACCCCAAATATTTTTCATGATTTATCTTCTCGTATGAGCAAACAGATAGCGATCATGTTTCAAATTTTGACATTCCAAAATCTCAAAGAGTCTTTCAAATGATTGATGCATCAATTGCTTCTAGATAGGTGCTCTATTTGAGCTTCATTCCCAAAAAATTTTAATCAAGTCGGGACGGGACCATTTCAAATCCCCCCCCCCCATAAATCGCGATAATTTTTTTTCTGTCGCGTTGTGTCTTTTCACCAATTTGTCGGCTAGATCAAACCCGCCATTTCGAAAATAATTGGAGTTTTTGGCCGGCCAAATCGATTAGTACACAATTGTCGAATGGTGTTGTGTGCTTCATCGCGTTCAGGCTCAAATGTTTTAATTGAACACGACGACGACACGACCCAAGGTTTGGTTTTGACGGCGACACCTGACGCCCAATGAGAGCGCTTCGTGGCGAGAGTGGACGGTGGCGAAGAACGAGTCGAAAAATGATAATAATATGTATCAATGTGAGTGTTTGGAATGACAGGTGTTTACTATTGAAATATATTTGTTTCGGACGGCGATCAATTCGATCGACGCGATTTTGAAACGAATCAATCGATCTCACTTACGTGTACTATCCGCCACGTTGTCTCTTCTTGGCTTCTTCGAGCATTCATTGAGGCAATCTCCAAACTCATGGCTCGTTTCGAGATGTCCGCAGGTCTCGACGCAGTCCGACCGCTGGACGACACCGTTGACGACGGCTACCGTACACCACAGTAACCCGATATAGACAAAATTGCACATAATTTATCGCATGGTTGTGTTGATGAGGATGGAAATAATAATAATAATAATAATAGAATTGATTTGGACGAGAAAACCAAAACACGATGCGATGGGATGCGAAATGAAGATCACGATGGATGAGAAACGCTGACCAGTGATCGCGCGAATGTCGAGAAACGCAGACAACAGTTGTTCGAAAGATGCTCGCGGATGGTGTTGAAGAGCAAGAGGAATTGCATTGACGGCCGACGGACGGATGAATGAAAAAATATGGTATGAATTTTGAGTTGAGGTGATTTTTTCAGGTGATCATCGATATTGTTTTCGCACGTTTCGCGATTATTGAAGATCGAAACTCATCGTCTCGCTTCAAGAGGGATCTTAATCGAGGTTCGAGCATGGAACCCCATAATTGTATCTGTTAAAGATTTTTCTGACATCGAAATTCTTCTGAATCAAATCCGCCCCTGCATATTCGCGCTGTGTAGACTTTCTCGCTGAAAATTTCAGAAGCGATCATTTTAGTTTTTGTTGTGCCCATGTTTGTAAGAATAATGTGATTTGTGGCCGATTATCGTGCTATTTGAAATTATAGGGTTTCGTGATTCAAAATTTTCAAGACTAAAAAATGCTCAAACAACTTTTTTTTTCCTTCTTGCTTAAACCCGAAAATCGGCTTTGACGTATAAATAATAGTGTTGTCCTCATTTTAAATCCAGGAACAAGCTTTTCGTATTCAATCAAGTGCAAATTGGCCAGCTGATAATTATTTTTGAAGTCCGCTAATCAACTTCAATATTGTCCGTCCAATAATTGGTTTTCCAATCGCGTGTTTCTATTTTTTTTGGGGGGCGAATGCGACTATTAAGAAAAATGTCCAAACAAATAAATATGAGTTGAGTCAAGCTGACAATAAAAAAAAGAGCCAGAACACAGCAAAACAGCAAATATTCGGTTGAGTGAACAATTCGCTGCGGGACCCTTTCAATATCGCATTATTGCTACACATTTCCTATTTTTTCTTTGTTGATTTTCCCGATTAGACATTTATATTCGATTATTATGCGCAAATGATGAATAATTTCCTTGTTGGCTGTCGAAACGATTGAAAATCGAGGCGATCTCATTAACATCCACCTCGCTTCATCTTCTCCTTCTACTACTACTACTACATACTTCATCATCATCATCGTCTCGCCCAATTCGCTGCTCGCTTCGTTTTCTGAGCAACGCGCGAAACTAATTATTAATACAAAACATTTTCATTCGCCAGCACTTTTCGGCCTTTATCATTTTGCTTATATTAGTCGTTGCGCGAAAGAGAGAAAAAACCGCATCATCCGTATTTCAAAGTTCTCATCAACTTTTGATCTACTATTAAACATTCATCATTAGTTGAATTTGAAGTTGTTTTGAAGCGAGTTGTCCGCAGATGAGTTTTCACATCAATCATCCATTTTTTTCGTTGTTGTAACAATCAAAATTCAAGAAGAAATGACTAGGGCAGCTTTCAAGATCCCCACGATGATACGAATGATCGGCATGAATTTGAGAATCAGAATTAGTCATTGAAGCAAACAAAAATTCAAATTTACTATTATTATTCAATAATAAGGGGATTCAATAAATTTCAATCAAAATTTTTTTTACGTCATCATCAAAAAAAAAAAACCAATTGTAGAAGGAGCAATCGGACTCTCATTTCCTTTAGTTGATGCGACGCCTTCCGATCTGGAATGGCACTTGGTTACTTATTATCAATTTTTTTGTCGACTTTTCCAAACTAGCCTATGATGGGTCTCATTGCGATTTCTATATTCTCAAAATCAATCAAAAACAAAAAATGATGGCATTGTCTGCTATCAGCGTTGGGTTTTTGTTAAGTTCTCGAAAATCAAACTGCTTCCGCCTGGATGGCATTTTGTGCAAAATCAAACCTCGAAAATTCTCAGTGGGTAGTAAATTCACATCTGTGGGTAAGAATGACACCATATGTTCGGGAATTCCAACGGAAAAGTTTCAAAATTGAAATATACGTGCATTTTGATTCGACCATTCTCAAATACGTCAAATTAAAAAAGTATTTTATTTTGAGAATGTTCAATTGAGATGGTCCGTATGACTTCGAATCCATGAAAGCAAATTTTTGGATCAAAACGACCCCAAAAAAAACGTGTGCATTATCCAATTTTCACCAAATAAACCTATATTGGTAATAATATTGCGTATCCGTTTCGTGTTCAAATTCGATTGTCTTTCCCTCACATTTTTCTTTTTTTTTCGATTTTCTCCATTTGTTTTTTTTTACAAACTCTCGATATTCGTTTCTACCAATATGGCTCTTTTTCTTGGCCTTTTTCGTGCCGCCCAATTATAGGCTCCGCCCACTAGAGACCGACATATAAGATTTTAGCTGAGAATTGTTGGAGAAAATTGATTTCGAGAATTTGAAACTTCCAACTTTTCTTAATATGTAATAATTCCTTCAGTACTTTATTTTTTATTCAATTGGACCCCCCAATTTGTTTTCATATCAATTTTTCTGAGATTGAAAAAAAAATTGCGAAAGTTCAAAGAAAACCTAATAGAATTTCCGCGATTCGCCATTCAATAAAGCTTTTTGTTTTGGTTTTCATTTTCACTTTTTTTTCATTGTAGATCAAAATAATCAGAAGTTGTCTGAAACCATTGGAAACTTCATTTGGAATGTTCTCGTTCGATTACGCAGCCAACAAAATTGAATTTGAATTTGTTCTGGTTGTTTCGAACCGAACAAATCTTAAAAACCACTGTGAACACCGAAATATGTATACATATATTGGCTACGGTTGAGGATTTCGTGCGCGTTCAAATGATTGAATAATGCAAAAAAACTCTGCATCCAGCTCAACTAATTGTTTTTTGATGTTTCCGTGGTTCCGGTTCAGCTTTCAAATACATCGAATTTTGGTTGCAAAAAATTGCATTAATGTGAGCATGATCGCCTATTTTTGGAAGGGATATCTCATCTAATTATTGTGATAATCCAATCAGGGAATTTAGAAATTCTCGAATATTTCTACTGATATCATTTTGCATTCAAATATATCTTAGAATTTCTCGGCACATTTTCACTTGTGCGCCTTTAAATGAGTTGTTTTAAGAGTTTATATTGTCGGCGTTAAACGACTGAAGATTCGCGAAATCAGTGTAGATTTAAATTTATCATTGATTGAATATAAAATGCGCGTACACTATAATGCAATGTACGCAATTTCGCGTACTTCTCTTCGCGCACGGCCTCGCGACGCATTGGCACACAGCCAATATTTTTTGAAAATTTCGTTAAGTCGTTTGACTCCGACAATATCTCATTTTACATATTTAATGAAAAGAAAAAATATTATAGGAAGATAGAATTGATGAAAAAATTACAGTTACTATAGGAATTAGATGTGAGAAATTTGGGATTCTCAGGCAAATGAAAAAAAAATTTTGAGACAATTCTAAAATCTTATGAGGTTCGTTGAGAGGCTAACGTGTCTCTATAATATTTTAGATTTGTCTCAATAAACTTTAGGAAATCTCATAAGATTTTAGAATTTATCAATAAGTTTCAATGAATATTGTGAGACTTTAAAGTTTATCAATAAGTTTTAGATTTGTCTCAATAAACTTTAAAGTTTATCAATAAGTTTTAGATTTGTCTCAATAAACTTTAGAATATATCAATAAATTTTAGATTGTTCTCAATAAACTCTGTCCAATATTATGTAATATCATACGTTATCGAGCAATTTTCACACAAATAGAATGTAATAACAGCCATAATAATTGAATATGTATGAACATTTCATTTATTACAATATTAATGCGAAATGAATATATTAATAATAAAAATCAGAAAAAAAATAAATGAATCAATTTATTCTTTTCGCATTTTCTCCTTTTTCTGCGAATGACGCACAACGTTGCTATAAGGAATTCGTTGCATATACTGAAAGAAAATGTTGAACTTACAAATTTTGATGATTGAATTTGTCGTTTTTCGATTAATTTCATGAGTTCTTTGCGATAAAATGACTTCTTAATTAAATCCGGATTCGCGTTGAAACGAATTTTCAATGAAGTCACAATCTCGTGATATAGTTTATAGCTGAAAATTGCCAGTTTTAAAAAATAACTGAATGAGTCTAACTTTCTCAAAATACTATATCCAATCCCGTTTGTCTGTTCCGAGCACATGTTTCTCTTGATAACGTGATAAATGTGCTCATGCGCTTGCGTGCTTATTGCCGACAGCTGACCATGACATTACTGTACAAATGGTATATAAGTTGCTGAAACAATAAATACAGTAATCATTAGTATTATTTCTTATATCAACGACAATAGCATGATGCTACAACGTTCAATAACTCTTAAAATTGCAAAAAAACGACTTACGTGCACTTTTGAACCAGAAAACAATTGAGGCGCCCCATCTCAAATTAGAATTTCTAATAATTTGCAAATATCTGCGATCTGAAATAAAAATTTTCTATTATGTACATAGCTAACGTTCCCATATTACTTTGTTTGGTAATGTTGTATTTGTAACTAAGCGAGTCGGTGACGCCATCCATCGGTAGCAGGCATGTATAAGCAACACAACGGCTGAACCTAACGGAGGGATGGTCCTAATCATGGCGCTAGAAACAATTTTCACTTCAAAAATCTTCAAAGGATGATAATTGCAAGTGGTAAATTAACTTACACTAGCTTTTTCGGACCTATTAATGTCATTGAATTTTCCTGATAGCGACTTTACCGAAGATGGCAGTCTCGCTTTCACATCAATAGCTTCGCATCGAAAAATATTTATTTCGTTTTTAACGAAGACTTCTAAAAGACAATCTTCAATTTTTAAATGCTGAAAAAGGAGAGACATAATTGAAGTACCTTTTATTATACGTGTTCCCTCGTGAAAAAGGTGGAAAATATCCATGGCCGTGATCCACATGGGCACCTGCTCATTGAATTTGCTGTATTTACCTCGTTCCTTAAATCTATCGGCCAATGTTTCTGGAATGTTTGTTCCACACTTTTCCCGATCTTCTAAAATATCGAAATCATTAGAAACTGAAGTATAATTGTAATTAATTGTAATAATTGTGCGTATTTTTAAAATTCATGAACCTGTTCATGCAATGACATGTTTAGACACAACTGTTTCAAATTCAGCATGTAAAACAATGCAGATTTAAGGTAGTGTTAAACATTTATTATAAAAACTTGCATTTCATGAATACGTCCATCACTGAAGTGAAGAAACTATTACAAAAAGCTAAAAAAAAAACGGAAGAAACATCAAAAACATAAATTATTGATTGGAATTTAGAAGATCTTAAAAAGAGACGCCGCAAATTGCGTCAGTGGAAGTCATAAGGGCCTTATTCAAATTTTAAAGTCTCACAATATATTGAGATACTTTACACTTTCTCAAAAGATTTAACTTTCTCAAAAGATTTAATTTACAAATTCCAAATTTTTAAAATTTATTGATTCTCAATAAGTTTTAGAAAGTATCAATAGACTTTAGAATTTCTCAAAATATTTTAGAGTTTATCACTGAATATTTGATTCTCAAAATATTTTATTTGATTTGCCTGAGTTAACTAGTTTTTTTTTACAGAATTAGAAAGGAAAATGTTAAAAAGTCGATAAGGAAACAATAAAAAGAACTGATTCTTCGAAAGAATATTAAAAATTAAAAAAGTATGGAATAGCGGTAAATAATTTGCGTTGAAATTGTTCATAAATTTTTTGAAAATTCATTATTGCTATTTTTTAATATCGTACCATTGACTAAATATTTCTTAATTCAATTTTCTTTAATTTGAAAAATTGGACTTCTTCTTTTGGTACATGCTTAAATCATTCGTGATAAGACACGCTGCAGCAATTATTGAGATGATAGAATTATTCTGGTGTTTATTTGGTTCTCTGCTATTTTTTGTTCGTTTTTGGTTTGATTCGCGGTTCAAATTTGTTCGTGCACACAAAATGAGCGCAACTTGCCCGGAAAATAGTGTCTAGTTGAATCAATTTCACGTGAGTTCTACGCAAATTTGCAAGTTTTCACAATTTCAGGAAGTCTGAGACACAAATCAATCCGGAAATGATGGTTCGCCAAACCAGAAATCATTTTACACTTCATTTCTCGCCATGATTTTTTTCTGTGGTTATTTATAAACTCAACCAAAAAAAACTAGAGGTGTGCGTAGTAGTATGTATCCATTTCAACGAAAATGATAGCACGAATTGAATATGAATACAAATCCGATCAAGCAAACAAAAATGGATTAAAATTTTCTTGATATCATCCGCCTCATTTTTCCTCTTGTATTTGCGAGTTTTTAAATATTTGCCGCCGAATATTTAATGAGTGAAAACGAAAAAAAGGTACGCATGAATCTCAAAAAGTGTGTGGGTCGACATCTTCTGCATCTTCTTCTTCTTCTTCTTTTTTCTTGCTGAAAAATTCCGTGTGTTGTCATGTACACACATATAATATAAATGAATAACAAATTATTCGAGGCGAACAAGAATGTTTCGCGTGTTTTTTTCACTGGTTTATTAATTCTTGACTTTTGTCTATTTTTGGTTATATTTTCATTAATTATTGAAGAGCTATTATGCCATCTGACCTTTATTTTCTCTTCATCACTCATTTTCTGGGAATCGAAGTGAGCAGTCGTGAAATTATTGTGTCATTTGTTGCCGCGCTGTTTGCGGACTTTCATCTACCGTAACCAGACGGAAATAAAATTTATTTTTAGCGCATAATTACCCGGTGTTTCTCTGAATCCGAATATATCGCACAAACTCCACTAATTACACATAATTATGATTGGTTATAAACATGTGAATTATAATTAGGAAGTGTGAAAATTCGCTAGCCATCTAAACAAGTAGGCTCGATGAAAAAAAAAAAGCTAAAATTGAGAATGTTTCTATCGCAGTTCATTTTCTGTTGCTTTTGATGCCAAAAAAGAAATTGATGTGGTGCACGAAACCAGGAATAATTTACGGTTTCCCTTTTTTGTCAATCATTTTTTTTTCATAGTCAGTTTATTTATTTTCGCATGTTTTTGGTGTAATGTCGCAAACTTTTAGGCAGAATGGCAAGCGGCTAATTATTGATGAACAAATACCCAAAAACAACTCGGGTTCGCTTTTGCTTTGTTTTGTTGTCTAATGCCTTTTTTTTTGTCGATGTCGGATTTCATCAAAAACGGCCTTCTGACAATTGGGCTTTCGAAAAATGACCATTGTGGTGCAGAAAAATGCGTTACGTCACCTGCGGCTTAAAGGCTTGCTAGCAAACATTTAACGCGAATCAATCGTCATCTCGAGTTTTAATGAAACCCTTCAATTAGATGAAAACCCATTGTCGACGTAATTCCTTTAAGGAAATAAAACAAAGCATTTCTTCCTTCAATTTCTGGCGTTGTTGCTCGCCTCGAATGCCGAGAACAATGGGATACATTAAATACACCTCTGCCCTTTATTCTTATTATATTTTTTTTTTGGTGGGCGCCCCACATTTATACATCGTTTTGTTTGACTTCTGCCTCATTTACGCATATTATTGGACCGTGAACTGAATGGTTTCAGTTGGAAGCGGCTCGAAACTTGGCGAATATCGACGCGCGTTTGTAATTTGAGCGTTGCTGTCCCGGCGATTTCTGTGGCTATTCACCATGTTGTTTTATTCTCTTTTTTTTCGTTTCCGGACTAATTGAGAGTGGGCGGCTCGCTCGTCTCGTTTCCACTGTTCCTTGCTCGACGTGAGAATTATGAACTTTGCTTGATTTAAGACCTTCAAATCCCACTATTTGCGATTACTGTAGAATTGCCGCAACTCCTTTAAACAACTACAAACAACAACAACACCTTGCTGCAATAATATTCATGACATGAAATTTGATTAAAGAAAATTCGAATGGATTTTATTTTGGTGACTCATAATTAGAAAAAATGTATGAGAATTTGAAATTGAGTACCAATCTCAATTTTATTCCGTTTTTCCGTCTTCAAAAAAAAATAATTTAATAATTTATAGCGATAAATTTTGAATAAATTTTTTACCGACACTTGCTTTAAATGTTGGAACCTCTTTTAAAATTATTGAACCTTTGGACTCAATTTTTTTTCGTCATTTCCTCTTGAAATTCCATGTCCATTTTTAACCCAAATTCGTTGAATTGACGCATTGATCCGAAATAATGTTGACTCGAAAATATTTATTTTCGATTGACTGATAAAATTTATTCAATTGAATCGCAAAGCTTGTTTATCACTTTGAGTTTTTTTTTCAAATTTTTCTACTAGTCTCGTTCCTCAATTATTAATTATTATTCTCGAGCAAAAAAAAACGAAACCATCGGTTTTTTTTTCTTTTTGAGAAAATTGAAAGGCACTATTTTCAGGAAGACGCATTGCAGATCGGCCATGATACGATGGTTCGAGGTGCAGGACGATAAAACATACTTCTTCGGCTTCAAACTCCTTAATCGGAATATCGTCACCGTATTGGCGTTCGTCCAATTGATTGTGGCGAGCGTCTCGTTTGCTCAGCATGTCTATTCGGTCGCCTACTTTCAAAAGGTTCACAAAAAATGTTTGATTCGCATTTATTTCGACAACAAATTTTCGAAAAACTTTTGTCAGAAATAAATTTTGTTGGATTTCTTCCAATTTTACTGATTGCTTTTGATATATTGGAAAAAATTATTTTTTTTGGTCATTCGAACAAAAATATTAAAGGCGGAAGTTGAAAAAGATTAAAGAAAATTTGTCTACCTATTGTTTGAAAAAAATTTTCAACGAAATGGTGGAATTGGAGAAGTTTTTCTTGGAAACGTCCTTCACGAAAAACAATTGGAAGAATATTGCTTTACAATTCGCCAAATGACTTCAAACTGGGGGTCTCACAACGAAGAAAAATGGAATATTTTTTCATGTGAGGAAAAACAATGAATAATCCAATATTCCCAAAGCCCATAAATCAAACATTGAGAAATTTTCGAAAATGTTAATTTCGTGAGATTTTCATTTTGTTATTTTTTGAAATTTTTTGCATTGCTTTTATCGCAGAAAAACATGAAGCCATATGGAATAATGGACCTTTTTTGAAAGACGATTCCAAAAAATGTTAATCTTTTATTTGAATCAGAAAACAATCAAAAACTGTAATTTTCAGATATTCTTCTGCTCATTCAACGAAACCGTTTCAAATAGTGGAAATTTTCTGTCCGCCGATGTTATTGTATTCGATTTTGGACTTTATCATGAGCTGATTAATGTGGGAGTGCCCGGTTTTTTATTTGTGCATAACTGAACAATTTAAAGGTGCAAGAGTGTATTGCAAACTATCTTGATGGCGGATATATGAGATGTATGTGGTGTTTCACCCAGATGATCGCCTTATCATTAACAATATGTAAGTGTCTTTTGAATGGTCCCTAAAGTGTTATCATCTGATCTAGATACGACTTTATGTGTCCCTAAACCGCATCCTTTATTACTATGGCCGATGCTAATTATTCAAAATGCGTATTGTTTTGGATTGGTCATTTTGACGATCGCAACTGCAGATAAAGTAAAAATATTACAGTATACAATGAAATTTATAAAATAATGATTTCAGCTTCTCGTCGCGCTTTTCCATCCCGTCAACGCTCATCTCAACTTAATGATACTGTACTTCGCGGTGGGAACCTGTATCAACCACTTTTTCGATTATATTCTTTGGCATTACTACTGGTACGAGGAGTTTTTGTATATTGGAAGGACCGGCAAGCATGTGATTCCGTTTTGGGTCTGACAATTACAACATTACTCCTCAACATGATTTTTTTACACAAAATATTCTCACTGTGATGATTCTAAATGTTCATTTTAAACGGCGCTTTTAAGCGTCTCAATACGCGTTTTCTTATTCTTTTTGAAATTTTGACCAAATAAATATGAATACATGCATATTTGTGGATTGATGATTGTCGGAAAATTGAAAAAAAAACCCGTCTCTTCTCAAATTTCATAAAAATTTGATTATGCAACATGGATTCCGGTTTAGATTTTTCATCGAAAATGATAAGATGTTATAATATCAATTTTTCATTATTATTCATATCTCGTCGCGCTTCATGCTTGCCCGAATCAAAAACTACATCGCCAAAAATGGTTTTGCACGCGAATCGGAAAAACGAGGTACAGTAATTTTGTGTCACTTTGCGTCATGGTCATTACGTAATTAATTTCGTATTTTCATTTTCGATTACTCATTTTTTCCTTGCAAATTTTCTTCTAAACTGTGATTGGTTTTGAAAATCTAAAACATCATGTATATTAATAGATCAACGCGTCATTTCCTTTCTGAGGTTGCGCGACCTTGATCGATGATATTTTCTCTTAATTAAAAATCGTAAATACAGATTGAAGTTCAAGTCAGCAAATTACTTTGATTGCGTCATAAAATCAAAACAAATGTTATCTTTCATAAAAATACGCTCGCCACCAAGCACCGAGCCCGTGGGGGTCAACACATTCAGAGTTATAAAAGTTTGAGGGGCTGTTATCACGAGCCCACTCACACCTGAATGTACGACGAGCACACTCGCCGCTCTATTTGCGAGCAAAAAAAACTATTGTGATGTTTTGTTTTGCTCCACAAAGTACTCCATCCATGTTGGAAAGCCGCAGCGACCTACGAAGCGTTGTTTGGAGACGCGTCGGGCCATTGCGGACTCTCGTCAGCATACCCACTCTGCGTCTCTGACCTGTTTCTAGCTGACTGACTGACTGACTGCTCGTGCGAGTGTCTCTCGACGGGCCGGGCCTGGTTGGTGTTGTGTGCGGCGGCCCCCGGTGTCGAGTATTATTCAAACGTTTGATTTTCCATTCGTCTCTTGCTTTTTGGACTTGATCTTGAAGTTGTATCATAGTACGAAACGAACAATCGATTCCTGTTACGAATCCTGTTTTACCCTCACCGTCCCGCAAATACTCCCCCCCCCTCCCCCAAATACACCAAACAATTCGCATGCCTATTCTTTGTTTTGGCGTCGAAAAAAAGAACCGTCGATTGTTGCCAAATATTGATCGTTCGCGTCCAAAATTTTGATTTCTTCTCGAAAAATGCATGGCATGGGAAACACAGCAAATCGAAGAGCCTAATCCAATTTCGGGCGAACATTAATGCAATTTTGAATCGAGAGAAGCATCGCAACAAAATCAGAAAAGCCTGGAAAGTTTGGTTAAAACACAAACAATGTTTGATAAGAGCATTTTTAATCCTTCGAATTGAAAATTAGCCCAACTTTAGATTTTATCGAAATTCGAAAAATTCTTTTTAACTGCGCCATCTGCCTGGTCTCGGTCGTGTCGTCCAACTCGACACAGCTTGTCTCCTCTCTTCTCCCATCTTCTTCTTCTTCTCTTCTTTTCCCACCGATTCATAAACCCCAGACGACAGGCACAGCGTTTTGCAGACGCCACTCCCCTTTTCCCCCCAAAACGTCCCGTGCCGCTTCCTCTTCCCATTTTCATATTATATAAATAATATGCGTCGAGGTTGCTCCGTGTCCCAAAAGACGACCTTTTATTCCGAGGTTCTCGAATGACCTTATGGGATGCGTCCGATTTCGGCGACCACGGCGGCGGTCGTCCCGATCGGCTGGCCTCGCTCCCAATGCGCCTTCGCACGCGCGCGCGCATACACACACTGACCGCCATTCGAACACTTTCGATATCGATTTCTTTATTTCCCTTTGGTTGTCGTACATTATATCGTCGTCGCTGGCCTTGAATCGGCTTCGCAACATGTGCTTGTACAGCTGAGAATGTCGAAAAACGCATGAAACTGCGAATAGCTGCTATAAAATTATCTAGTATCCTTATCGAATCTAAATGCTATTTTTTAAAGCAAAAGCAACAGGTTTTAGAAACTATAGGTGGTCATAAATAGATTTGCTTCGTCGAGTATGGACTAATTTAGAATGTGTTTCTTATGCTTAAAAATTTTTCGCCCTTATGTTATATGAATACATTATAATCAACATTAGATATTAAAGGCGCATTCATAAATGTGTGTTTTTTTTCGCGTTAAGATCAACAATAATAGTAATTGCGTTAGAATATTAATTTTATTCGTCCTTTTCAGACAATATTATTTTATTATTGTTATATTATTGAATTTGTCCCGCAATTATTTATACATTGAAGGTACTTGAGACTCGAACTGTAGAATGTTTGACCTCAAAAAAATATGTCTCGTACTTTGTTTTATTGCCTTCAAAACGGTAAACATTGAAAAAAAAATGAAAGTGTATGATTCGGAAAAAAGGTTTTTTGATCAAGGCATTCCAGCCCGAAGAAAGGAAAAAAAGATTGCCATTTCAAATAAAACTTTTTTTCTTGTATTATTTTGTTGTCCCGAGACCGAAGAAAGAACACTCAATTATTATAAAATTTATTTATATTTGAGAAAAAAAACGTATTTCAAATATTGCCGCCATTGATATTGATCAGAGTCCATTTCTTCGAAATATTTGCTCAATTTGTTCTCCATATTTTCAATTCTTCATTTCAGCTCCTAAAGAAGGCGGCGAAAAGAAGTGCAAAGTCTCGAAGATACCACGATCTCTTCGACGTTCGATTGGTGTTTCATCAGGCTCTGGCGGTGGTATCAAAATGAGCGGACTCGACATCGATGGAATCGCCGATGATTTCGTACGATTCATTATTCGAAGACAATAATGTTTGAAAAGTGTTTTTTGTTTAGGTCTCAAGTGGCAGCCACAATATGGGACGATCGATTTCGCCGTGTCCTTCGGTCAGCCATCAAGGCGATCCATTGCTCCCCGTTGCCGAGAATTGGTGTCATACGCAGGTAATTCTGAATTCGAGAAATGAGACGAAATTGATCGCCAAATGATATTCAATTTGCAAAATGTTTTACGTGAGTTCAACGAATTTTCGTTGGAAAATTATTTTTTTGAGTGTCGGATAGATGCGATCAGATAAGTTTTTTTATTATGTTTCACTTTCTCTGTCGATCTCTTGCTGAGAATTACAAGCCGTTCAAATTTCTTATAAAAGATGAAGTGTAACAAATATTGTTTAAAAAAAAATAGGAAATAACGAAACATTTATCGCTATCATATGCTCAGAATTCAATTTTTCGTTTTAGGTGAAAGTTGTGAAATTTAACTATATGTGGACAATCAACAACTTCTCGTTTTGCCGGGAGGAAATGGGCGAAGTGCTGAAATCATCGACATTCTCCGCCGGCAGCAACGACAAACTCAAATGGTGCCTTCGGATCAATCCGAAAGGTCTCGACGAGGAATCGCGCGATTATCTTTCGCTCTACCTTCTTCTCGTTCAATGCAACAAATCCGAGGTGCGCGCCAAATTCAAATTCTCGATTTTGAATGCCAAACGCGAGGAGACGAAAGCGATGGGTTTGCGAAATTGCAATTATTTCCACCCTATATTGTACGCATTTTAGAATCTCAGCGAGCTTATCGGTTTGTGCAGGGAAAGGATTGGGGATTCAAAAAATTCATTCGACGCGATTTTCTACTCGATGAGGCCAATGGACTTTTGACGGATGATCGGTTAAGCATTTTCTGTGAGGTACTTCAATTGTTGGTTGGTTGGTGGGGGGGGATGATTCAATTTCTCTTTACACTTGAAATTGTCTAATTCAAGAGATGTTTGGTCTTTCACTAAAATGTCATACCTAATTTGGTCTGTTGTCATATAATCAGGTGATTCATGTATTCGTCATTAAAAAAAAACAAAAAATGATAAACATTCAGCAGACAAAATTTGCATATTTTTTTTAAATATTCAATAAAAAATTGATTTTATAATATTCTTTCATGTTTATTAATTCACTTGTAATTCTATTATTTAGGTTTCCGTTGTCGCTGAGACTGTCAACGTGACCGGTCAGACCAACGTCTCGCAATTGTTCAAAGTGCCACCATGCCGACTCGCCGACGACCTCGGAACGCTCTTCGAGAATCGCACGTTCTCCGATTGTAAACTCATCGTGAAAAATGGACGGGGCATCCCTAATCAGATCTTTTATGTAAGCAATATATATATATATATTCGGTTATTCTTTTCAATTTCGCATTGTCTCAGGTGCACAAAGCGATTTTGGCCGCCAGATCCAAGGTTTTTTGTGCGATGTTCGAACATAATATGAAAGAAGCTGAACAAAGCGAAGTCATAATTGACGATGTTGAGCCGGAGGTGATGCGAGAGCTCCTCGGATTCATGTATACTGGAACTGCTAGAAATCTGGATCATATGGCGCAGAGTCTAATCGCAGCTGCAGATAAATATAATCTGGATCGGCTGAAGGTGATGTGTGAGCAGTCGCTATGCCAGGCTCTTACCAATGACAATGCTTGTGTTACCCTTGTGCTAGCTGATATGTATTCTGCGGATCAGCTCCGAGCGCACGCGATTAATTTTATAAACGTGAATGCGACAGAGGTAAATTTGTGTTTGGTTTAAAACATGGGTAATTTTATAATGAGTTTAAGGTGATGAGTAGCGATGGATGGCATGATCTTGTCAAATCGCATCCAAATCTCCTCGAGGAGGTTTTTCGCGCACTTGCTACCCAACAAACGCCGCCGGTGGTGCTCGTGCAGCCGCCCAAAAAGCGTCAGAAGCATAATCAATTCTGACCATTATTTGCACGGGTTTCCAAAATTTGTCGTTGAATTTTGCTACCCCAATCTTTAGCGATTATACATAGAACACACACACACACGGGTAGGATAATTCTTCAGTCCTCCTCTCTCCAAAATGTTTTCTTTGCTTGGCTTCGTATTTTTTCTTGTAATTATTAATTGTCCAACTTTGAAATATATAACGGAATGTAATAAATTCGGTTTTGGAATTCGAGTGAATCAATCATCACATCTTGATCGCGCCTATTCAAGCATATCAAAGCAGCGGCGAAACGATAAAAACCGCCGGTTTGGTATTTGAGACCTCAACGACATCAAGCCTTTCTTTCGAACACATGAAATCGAATTAAAGAGGATCGTAAAATATTATTCGAGGAAATGAATTAACCATTTTTCGATGATTGATGATGTTTGCGGATTAGCGATTATTTTTTAATCTTCACGTTCAAAAATTGAATAGAAAATTATTGAATCGTCATTTTAATAAAAACACGCTTTTCAAAATGGTAATTGGCGAGATTTTTTTTTAAATATCAAATTCAAATTATTGGTTTCAGATGCGTTTAGAAATTGCACTTGTTCTAGAATTATCGATTTTGGTGTCTTCTTTAAATATTTCTTATGAAAATTATACATATTTTAATGAAAATGCTTCGCGACAACCACATTTATATGGTTTGGATACATTATTGCCGTAAAATGAGATTTGAAATTCAATTAAATAATGAATTTAATGCAGGGAAGATTTTCTCACCGCCGATAGTAATCTGATATCGGTTTTTGGGGAAGACGTTGATCAAATTGAAAAAGCCTATCTTTCAACAAGTCTGTCATGTCATGAAAAATCGATTGCTTTGAAAACCACTACTAAAGAAGACCATATGGAAATATTTACTCCGGTGAACGCGAAAAAAGTAGAATACCGAAAAAAAACCTTCAACTCTAATAGCGAATTTAGACGGATATCAAACAAGAATATTATTTTTTTTGCACCGAGCCACGATCTGAGCAAATCAATTCGATGATCAAAGTAAATACGATTTTGGATGTCTCTTGGGTCCCTTATTTCATCGTATTCTTCTTTGGCCTATTAATATTATCGGCAATGTTCTCCGGCCTCAATTTGGCCATCATGTCGTACAGCACAAAGGATTTGCAAATGATTGAGGAGTTCGACACGAATACGGCGAATCGGTTGAGGGCATCGCAGGTTTTAAGCATTCGTCGAAATCCCAACTTTGTTTTGTGCAGTGTCATCCTAGGTAAACATTTTTTATTCATCAAAATAATAATATATCGAGGATTCAAGGCAATGTTCTCTGCAATACTGGCATTACTCTTATCTTGGACTACTTTGCTCAAGTTGCTGGATGGGATGGATCAGTCGTGGTTGCAGTGAGCTCCACGTTGTTCCAGCTCGTCTTCACTGAAATTCTGCCAGCAATTATTTGTACCAAGTATAAAGCAATCGACATCGAAATTTAATACTGAAATAATCCAGACAAGCGCTTTATTTTGCTTCCCGCTTACGATATATTGTGATTTTCTTCATGGTGTTAACATGCGTTCTCACATACCCAATTTCACGGATTCTTGATTGGATTATCGGAAAAGGTCTTGAATTAATTTGGAGAATCGAATTCGCCAACTGTTTTAGACGGATTGCAAGAGCATAACGGCACTGATGAGTTTGCGGGTCTTGTGAGCAAAGAATCAAATCGTCAATTTAGCGAGGTCGGTTTCCCATGGTTATCATTGCCGTTGGACATGTGCTTAGGTCATTGACATAGCCAGGAATACAATGAAGCTGAGCCGAAAAGCAGCCGGCGATATAATGACTCCAATCGAAAAGGTGTTCATGATTTCCGATCGTCAAGTGCTCACGAAGCAATGCTTCAACGCCATCGTTGTCAATGGGCATACAAGATTGCCAGTGTATTCGGCGGCAGATGTGAATATGATACGCGGAGTTCTTAATGTCAAGGATCTGATTCTCATGCTCGCTGATGACGCCTCGGCATCGCGATTAACAGCAGCGACGTTGTTGGATGTCTTCTCAAGAAGCAAAACGGTTTCTCTTCATTTGAATGTACATATCTGAAAAAATTGCTCATTTCCAGTTCCGATATGTGATCAAAGATATTCCGGTTCCACAATTGATGACCGAACTTGCGAAGGGTTGCCCAATGGCGATTGTCGTCGAATTCACGAGAAAGGAGCCTGATGGTGCTTCAGGAGCATGCTGCGTTCCAACCAGTCCCTATAAGGTCATTGGAATTGTGACCCTTGAGGATAACATCGAAGAAGTCGTCGGCGAGATTTTTGATGAGAAGGACGTGGCGCCGCAGTCGGCGGAATACACGAGTCAAATGTATTCAAACTCACGCGCAGCATTGATCATGTGATCATTTCAGAGATCTTTCTTCAATTTGAATTCAATTTAATTGGACCACAACAGATCTTATTACTATTGAATTGTCTATTTCATCTTTTATAGAAAACATCTATTTCATCTTTAAAAAAAAAAATAGAAAACATCCATTTCATCGTGTTATCGCAAGTTATAACTTAATAAATTAAAAATTTCATATCATATAGTTTCATTTGATGTAATAAATTCATTATTTTCAAAACAGGTTAAGAAACAACAACAGTGTACAAAAAATTCAATGGAAACCAAGCCCAATTCCGCGAGCCGTGTGTGTCGACTCACGAGCCATTTCGAACTGTCGGTCGAGATCGGCGAACATCTTTTTCTGGCGATTCTTTTCTTCTGACAGGGTCTTCTCATCCTTCTAAAGAATAGATAAATAATTTTTTTAATCAAAGAAATTGATGTTTTACATCCGGTTTCGGTGCACTTTTGACGCCCATTAATCTCATAAATTTGTTGGCTTGCGAATCATCCACACCCGTAGCGGCAATTGCAGAAGACCATAGCTTTTCATTTTTCGCTACAATTTTCGAGCTTCCCTCTGAGGAGCCTTCTTCTGGAGCTTCATCCGTTGTTTTAGACTTATTTCCCCATAGTGCCTTCCTTTGAGCTTTGATTTCTTCCTGACTGAGGCGATTTCTAAATAATGAAATTTTGAAATATTCCAAAAATTATAATCACTGTTCATGGCGATTTCTATCGTTTCTTTTGTCATTTCTTCTATCGTCCTTTCTATTATTGTACCCTCTGTCCTGTTTGTAGTCACGATCTCGTCTGTAATCATCTCTACGATCATCCCTGCGTCTTTCCTGAATTAAACATGTAAATAACAAAAACATCCAATTAAAAATTACTTTGTAATCGTCACGATCGCGATTGCGCTGATGCGGTGAACGATCACGTTCGATATCTCTGCGTGATGACGAATGTTTCGACTTTTCCGGCGTTCTCTCCCTCTTCACCACTTTTTCATCTCTAGAATGCACATGCTGCATATTTAAAAATTAGCAAAAGTAAAGATAAACTATATGAAAATGATTAAAATTATTATCCGTACTAACATTTCTCATGTGAATTAATAAAAACAGAATAAAATTTTACCTTTTCTCATCCTCGTCGTCGCTTTGATTAAATTTAGTATGTTTCCCCATTACTGAAATAATTAAATAATATTTTAAACTTATTAAATGTTTTAAAGACGATCAAAAACAAAAAATACGGTGTTTTGTTTCAAAAATAACAAAGGCAAAAATCGAAGAATAAGATATTAAAATGTTGTCGTCAGATGAGATGTTTTGTCCGCAAGCGTACCACAGAATTGCGCACCGTAATTTTCACGAGATTTAATTTATATTTTTGCTCTTATCGCTAATTAATCATCAATAAACATTTCCAGATGCTCTCCTTATATAGTCGAAGGGCATTGCAAGCAGTGGGTAAAATCCAATCATCAGTTCGCCTGAATTCGACAAATAAACCAACAAAATGGAAGAGTGAGTAAAAAATAAAAGTGCACCTCCAATTTGTATCGATTTCAGTCGAAGAGAAAACTGAAAATGATACAACAACGGTGAGCATGCAGCCAGTTCAAGACTCATCACAATTTCGATCGGAATCAGACGTTTGCTCTCTTTGTACTTGCAATGTTCCGGTCAAAGTGTCATACAAGTAGGTGAAATAAAAAAATAAGCCATCCATGATGAATAAATTTAAGGGATGTTCTTATATTAGAGCAGTTCATGCGAGATGATGGCACAGTTTTGCCAAAGGAACTCACTGGGTTGTGCAAAAACCAACAATTAAGAGTAGAGCGGTAAGTGGTAGCAAATTCGAAGACAATGCCAAGCTTTGAAATCTATAGATGTGTTATGCAAGCCCACTGGTCAGGTTTATTCGGCTCAAAATATGGAGATGTAGTCGAAAGAAAAGGTTATTATCGTTTCAATCGATACTGGAATGATGATATGGCAATGTATCGTTTGGAAACGAAAAAGGTTCACGGCACATGGTACTATATCAAGCGCTATCCGACAAAGAACAACGCAATCTTCAAAAATCCAATTAATTAATTATCATTTGCAGTTTTAGGTGTAGATTATTGTTATTGTTTTTTTTTTCAATTATTGTTTTCAAAAAATATACGAGTTTTTTGGTTTTTTTTTCGTAGAAGTTTTTCGCGTTTTTGACGCTATAATATTTAATTTTTTTTGAATATTCGTTAATTTAATATTCTATTACTAATTTCTAGCCGCCCCAATGTCATAAAATGCTATTGGTGGTTTTAACAATTCCATTAATCATTGGCGCTTCGGAAATCAATTTTGCACCAGCCGTATGCCCACAGATTCTTGGTTGTGAATGTCTCGAAGAAACTACATCACAAGTACGATGTTACGGAGCTGGTAAGTCAGAAAAAAAAGAATTCATGTAAAAATGATAAAATTATGTCATAGGACCGGAAAAAATACAAGAAATTCTACGAGTTTATGGCAATGGGGTGGTATCAATCGAGCTTGTTCGATATCAATATGAGGAAATCGATTTCTCAATGTTTGAAGTTTTTCCAATATTGGAAATTTTGAGCTTTGAAGGTGATTTTCAAAATTTAAAAAGATGTCTCGATGGTAGGAAAATTTTAGATTCGGAAATCGAACTTCTCAACTTTACGAATCCCCTCAAAAAACTGAAAACGCTGCGATTGAACAGAAATGAAATGACATCAGAAATGTTGAGTCAGGTATGAAACTCTCAATTTTATGTGATTTTCTTCTTTTTATAGATTTGCTCGATCGGAAATTTCACGCCCTCTCTCAAAACGCTATCGTTGAAAGGCAATTATTTGACGAATTTCAATTGCTCGGATTTTGACGGATTTAAGCTAAGCACATTGGATTTGAGCGATAATCAGGTTTTGAAGGGTTTTTGTAATCATTTTTAATGGAGTTTTTGATTTTTCTAAAGCTAGCTGAGCTGATTTATCCGATAAGTGTGGAGAATCTGGATTTGTCGAGAAATCAACTACAAAATTTCAACAATCAAAGTGTCGAGAATCTCAAAACTCTTGGTAGAATTAAAAACTCGAATCATCTTCAAAAAATTCTTACTCGATTATAGATCTTTCGCACAATTCGATTTTCAACTGGACAACACTCACATTCCCAAAATTGACCAAATTGTTGGTAGCTGGATTAAAATCCGATTTTGGATTCGAAATCGACGCGCCCAAATTGGAATATTTGAATTTGGATTATTCGAATTTGTGGTTTCTCGATTTTCACAAGATAAAAACGCCTAATTTGCGAAGGTTCAAATATCTTAAATTTCTGAAAATTCCATTTTTTTCATCGATTTCAGATTCCTCGCATCAAATCTAAATCAGCTTTCTGCTGTTTCTGGAGTCTTACCACCGAAATTGGACGTTTTTCGACTAACCGACACCAAGCTTCACACATTGCCAAAAACGTTCTTTGGGCACAATAAAGGGTAGAAATTTTTAAAAATTAATTTTTCTTTTTAAAAATATGGTTTTTTTTTGCAGAACTCATCGAATAAGGAGAAGCGCCAAAAATGTGACGTTCACTTCGAAAGAGCTTGTTTATGAGCCATGTCTTCTTCAATGGTCGATTCCAATCTTTCACATGACTGATATTGAGCAAGTCTCAAATTACACAATGTACGGAGCTTTCAAATTTCTGAAATTATTTGTCTTTTTGGTTGCAGTGATGATTTGACGTCTGCAAATTGCACAGTAGGAATTTCGAAGTCGATCCCAATTCATTATGGCTTTTATGGCAAAAATAGTATTGTTGAATGTCTCGCATACGGTAAAGAAGCTCCAATAGTCAGCTGGTACCGCTATCATCCAAGCATTTATCTTGGAAAGTATGATCCGAAAACCGACGAGATTTCACACTATAATGTGTCGAGGCAAACGATAGAAAGGTAGCAAATTTTATTGGAATTTTGTTGAAATTTATTGATAATTTTAGCTATGAAATACTATCAGGAGGGTATTTGCTGATCAAAAATGCCAATAGAACCCATATCGAGCGATATGTATGTGTTGCAGAGAACAAATATGGAAAAGTTTACGATATTGTCAAGTTTAGGTAATTTTCGAATTTTCGAATTTCCAACAACACATTGGTTTGTTTTTAGACTTGACTACACCAGCTGGTACAGTTTTCATGTATTCCATTCTGTGTTCTGGGGAGGTCTTGCGACTTCCCTCATCGTCTGTCTTGTCTCTTTCCTTCTGAACATCACTTGGATACTGACGAGAAAGAGTGCCCTGTGGTGGATTCAAAGGTAACCTGCCTTAAAATGTTATTAATTAGACAATTACCCGTTGTTTTGCAGAGCTGAACGTCTGTCGAGGGTCCGCAAAATGGTTGAAGCGATGGAGAAATATCGTGCTCGGCAAATGGAGAATTTGCATGAAACTTATACGCGAAGAGTTCAACTCGTTAGAGATAATTATCATCAACAGGTTAGTTTTTCAGAATTGGATTTTTTTTTTTCATTTTTTGATCTCAAAAAATTGTTGAAATGACTCAAAAGAAAAGAAACGTGGAAAATGTGGTGAAAAAGAAGTTATCGCAAAATACGAAAATTGAAAATAAGAAGAAAAAGAAGAAGCGGAAGAGAAGAAATGCGACATTGTAGACCTCTCTCTCTCTTTTCTTTTTTAAAATTAACTTTAATAAATGGTAAACGAGTGAGAAGTTAATACAAGTTGATTTTTAAAAAAATCATGCAATTCAGTAATGAAAATTCCAATCAATTTTTTTCTCTTTTCCAAATTTGAAATTATTGTCTCTTGGAGTTTCGAAGCTCATATCAGATATGCAATCAAATAAAAAAAAAGCACGCCGTGGGAACAGATAGGCGATCAAATTTTGATATTTTATAATTTATTTGAAACCCAATGCAAACTGCAAAACGATTTTGTTCGGAACGATTGACTTTTCAGGTGGAAGCGCTTCGAGTGTCGTATACAGCGCAGTCAGAGAAGTTCCGTGATTATCGCGCTGCTCAGATGGACGCCGTCAGCTCGCATCTCGAGAATTTGCGCGAGAACTATAATGCGCAATTGAGCCGTGTGCGAGAGTATGGTTCGAAGCGAGCCGAGCAACTCTGGGAGAGCTATGAACGCCAGGTGAACCGAATGCGCACCTTCAGTCTACAGCATCGTCTCAAATTGATGAGGCAGTACAAGGTTAAGCAGCGTTATTTGAACAAACTTCTTGAATCGTTCCAAACGTCGACGCATGATGATGAGCTGGAGAAGGTGAGACTCTCCAATCGTCCATTCCTCGATTTATTCAATTTTGATTCATAGGAAGAGAAAGTGAGAGCTGCTTTGGAGATGCTCGAGCATCCGGATGTCGAAATTCCGGAAACGAGCTCAATCCGAATGTCGCGCGCTTCATCGTTCCATTCGCTGCCTGAATATCTGATTGATGATCGTGGAAATGTGCAGCCTGGAATTCCAGGATCAAGTGCCCCAATAAGGTATTCGGAGACAAAACTCGAATAGTCGGTCCCCTGACCAAAGATTTGCGATGCGGCACATTTCAATGTTGTCGAACCAATTTGAAATGCAAAATGGCGCACACATTTTAATCTCAAATCAAATCCAAATTGCGTGCGATGCGCCAATTTCCTGTTCGGTTTTTTGTTGCAATTTTAATGACATAGCCGAAACCCTTCTGCAAGTGGTTAAGCGCTCTCTCTCTCTCTCTCTCTCTTCAAAAACTGAGTATCATTGTCGGACCATAAGTGCCATTCAAATTGTTTGATTAAACGTTCAATGAAATTTGAGAGCTTGAATATTGAACGAAAATAATTCGAGTTGGCTTTCAGATTCTCAGCCGTCGTTACATCACCAACGGCATCGAATGGAAGTGGAAGTGGACGAAGAAAGACCGCGTCGACTTCGGCAAGTCAAGACAATTACTGAAACGCTTTAAATCGATTCGTCATCGATCAAATCATCCCAATTCCATTGTGCTGGGCATACTCGAATGTACTTGTTACTGTTAGAAATATGTGATTTAATTATATATACTATATATGTAATTATTATTGTGTGTATGAAATAAGAAGCAAAACATTGACTAGTTTATATTACCGGGCAAGAAAATTGTATTGTGACAAAACGAACATAAAAGAAGCATGAACTGTGTACATACAACATAGCACCAATACGCTGCGCGGAGATTTTTTGGGGGAGAAGGAGATTTTTGTGGAAAAGCAGTATTATGAGCAATGAAGAACATTCGTTAGGATGGAACTCTTCAAAAAGGGAATAAATTGGCGGGAAAGTGAAATTTGTTGAAAAGAGGAGGCGAAAGGGGTAGGCGAAAAATTAAAAAAAAAAAACGAAACATGGTAAAACATTCTAGGTGTCGATTGAGAATTGCTTGAGATCGGTGAAGACCTCGGTGAAAAATGTCGATGATGAGTTGAGAAGAAGCATCTTTTTACTATGCGAGTTTACCATTCGAACACAGCGGGTCCAGAATGCGTTGCGATCCTGAAATTGATTGATTCTTTTCGGAAATCCATCGTACACACTCACTGTCTCAACGAGAAATGGCTTCAGTGGATACGATATTTCGTTACCCATATACGAATAGGATACATAAAGGCAGCTGAGTATCCATGCGTGCAATTCCTCGAGAGATCCAATTGTGTGGCGTTCGTCTATAAGATTAGAAGTTGTCAAAATAGGGATGGCGAATTGCGAACCTGGTAAAATATCACGAACAATCATAAAAATGAACACGAGATTCGCTGGATTAATAAATGCGATATCCTGCCAGCCCTGAAATGAATGACAATTTGAGATTTGCATATATTCAACCGTTTTTAGTACTTGTAGCAAGAGAGATCTGTCTACAGAACGAAGCCATGTTACTAGATGGGCGGCTTCGAATTCCGGGACGACACACATACTGGCAATATAGGAGCCAAGACCTCGTAAAAGTTCCGATGTAGAAGCTTGGATTATTGTTTTTCGTGATCGAGTAGTCTGAAAATGTGAATAGTTAGATTTATCGTAACGTATGAAGTGGTGTACATCTTGAAGTGTAGTAGTAGGTTCTGGTTCAGTTGGAGTTAGAGCGTTAGAATTTTCGTCGCGAATTCGGGGTCTGGAATATACGCATTCAATGCTGTAATCTTGGTGTCGCGCAAAACTAAGTGCCGATTTACAAGCAAACGATAGAGATATTTTAAAGGCCAAAAACGCTATATTTAATTTTTCGCCATTAAGCCAGATTTCCGAGGTCGAGCGACACCCAAAATTAAAATTAAAATTAAACATACCTTGGGATATGCTTCGGCGATCCAATAGCGTTTCGATTAAGGTTATTATTAGCCAAATCTTGTTTATTTAAATGGAATCCCCGTCGAATCTCGTCGCGAATACTATAATAGTTAGGGATTATTGTCGTTGTCGAGCTGTCCGCAGATTTTCTAAATATGATTCAATTTAATCGGATCGCGATTCATCTTATCACTTACGCGCTATAGTTTTGGTTTTTGTCAAGGGAAATGGATACTTTTCCATTGCCGTATTGAGATCCAACATTTCTTGTGAATGATACGAGACTATCACTGGAGCGAGAAGAAGTTGCATCTAAAAATTGAAAATATATCGATTGTTATTTATAATAATATAAATACCGGAAGAAGCTTCGCTTTTCGCATATGACCTTCTACTCATAACAGGTTGAATATTTCTTTTGCTCCAGTTCCATCCTTGCATTAGCATGGATTCCTTGACGACAGCGCGCTCACGTTGCGGTGCAAACGTCGGGCCACCATCCCCCGGTGAGAACAGGTGATTACAGACCTTAATTTTGTTAGTTGATATGGTTAATTGAAAAAGAAAGATGAATAGTGAATGTCATCAAAAACAATGTCTGCATTTTCGCGTATCGGTGATAACAGACATTACCCAATCTACAGTAGTAAAACAACTTACAGATGTCTGCGAACGATGTTGCTGTGGTGACGTCAAATTAGCGCCCATTTTGAGCGCTTCTAAGAATAATACGAATTAATTGAAAGAAAATTGTTTTCAAAACTTACATTAAATCAACATTCAATGCCGGGCTTCACATGTAAACCCTGACTAATTTTTTTCTGCAATAAAATATAAATAAAATGGTGGATCCAATAAAATATGTTCAATGTTTCCGGTGAAATGATAAATGTGGGCTGACAGAGCGTATGAATAATGAGCGGAAATTTGAAAAAGTAATAGCTGACATTGAAAAATTGACGAAGAGGTGGACTCGACGGAGCAGCAAATTTCGTTCAGTGGCGGATTGTTACAGAATTCCTATGACTACTTCTCGAGATGACGTTGGCTCGTTTCCGGCGGTCGATTGCTCTCGACGAACTTATTTTGAAATACTCATACAATGAGCAATTTTCGATACAATAATAATAATAATAATAATAATAAAATTAATCAATGGTTGCCGTCTCTTCCGTTATGCGATCAACAAAAAGAAAATGTCAGCTTGGAAAATGCAAAGCATGATTTATTATAATATATCTTGACAACAAGCCACGTCATTTGACTAAAAAGCGGAGGCCGAAGACGGGAAGGAAATTGATATCTTGTTGAGTTCCTCGTGCAAAGTAATAATAAAAAAAGTTGAGCCCATGAATATTTCATTAACCACATAAAATAGGGTCATTATATGTATTCGTATAAAATAGAAAAAAATGGACTCGTGGCCGCAGAATTTTCGATATCATCATTCCATTCAAGGATTCCCCCCCCCCATATCATTGCAACAACCGTGTGACTTTCTATTCATCAGGGCTTCATTTAAAAATTGCGAGAATTTCCATAATAGGAGAGGAGGGGGTAAGGTCTCTCAGCGATCTTGTGAGGATACTGCAGCGATTGTTTCCATGTGCCTAGTTTCTTCTAGAAGCGAGCGGCTGATAATTTCTGAATCTTTATTTTAAGAGCGAAATTTTAATGCTGATAATTTAAATATTGTTGTAAGACATTTCGGTTACTGTAGCTATTCTGAGGACCACTCAAAAAATAAATCGATTTGACGGCGAACTTTCGATCTTTTTGTTGTCGACTCTCAAGAATCTCATTACATATCCATATATTCTCGATAAAGAAAAGCACGGCAAAAATCACGTGTGCGATGTTTACTTAATTGGAATTCATCACACAACGTTGCGCCAAAGAAGGTCCCCAGAAAGACGCTATACGACACCAATTCGATATGTTCGATTTGCAGCGAACAAACTTTTGATGAAAAAAGAAATAAATAAATAAAATTTGGTAATGCAAATGAGACAAAAAAGGCGATCGCCAATAACTAAATTTGGAAGTTCGAAAAAAAAGACGTGAGACTTAATCGCGTGTAAAAAGCCATTTTTAAATCCGAAATTCGTCAAAAGTTGTTGATTTGATTTTAAATCGGAAGTTGTATGTTTGATTCATTCTAATCAAGTCTAATGTTATCGATTTTGACTCACAGGATATTTCCATGTAAAGGATTTTCGAACGAAAACGAGAAGAATTGACAAATGTCGGTTTTTAAAGGAGCATTTAGCGTTTCAAGGCATTTTTTGACGCGAATAGATTGCTGTAAAGGTTTGATAATCGTTGGGCTAGTTTGAATGAGGGACCTTCTCAGCAAAAGGGACCAATTTGCACATAAAACCATTAAAAGTGGGTCAGATTCCCCATCAGTTTTCTTTATTTCAGAATTTCCCGTTTTCTGTAAATTATTTTGGCAAACCAATTTTCTTGACTAGAATTCACAAATAATTCTTTTATTCCATCAATTTTCCATAATTTCGTATTTTGTAAAAGCTTAACTATACTATATAAAGTGCAGCGGCGATGAGAAACAAAAGCACAAAAGGAAACAAACTTGACAGAATCCATAAAAAGTGATATTGGGTGAAACACTTCAGGAGAGAAAACGCGAAGAAGAGTTGACGTCTTCTTCTTCTTCTTCTTCTTCTTCTCTATTCGTATCAATGCAAAAAAGGGGAGAAGCGAAACAAGAGAAGCGCTCGCCGACATTGTCGTCGTCGTCGTCGTCGTCTTCTTCTTCTTCATCTTATCTGCATCGGCTCGCCGACGCAGACGACGAGACACCACTCTTGGAGCTCTCCAACTTTTTTTCGATTCGCCGTTTTCGCCTTTTACGGCGTGCGTTTTCGCCGCCAGCGGCAGCCAGCTAGAGAGGAAGGCTGTGAGCATTGCATGCGCGCGACATCGATTTTCGTCGGTGTGGTTCGAGAGAGAGAGAGAGAAAGAGCGAGAAAAAGGAAAGGGACCCGTCTCGTTTCGCTCGACTGCGGACCAACTGCGTCTCGTAATGTGCACGACGATGATGATTCAGGAAAAAAGGAGGACCGGACCGCTCAGATGGGCAAAGGGGGGGGCTTTAATGGAATGTGGTCCGACGCGCATTTGAATTCATTTGACGCGGTCAATGATGGATTGCGAAACGACGATGTTCTTGAGAGAATCTGTAATGGTCCCCGACGTTACGAAAACTATTCAGATGATGGGACCATCGGAAATAGGGGGGATATGACTGAAATTGTTTCGAGGTCTATCTGGTTTCTTCGACGTGTCTTTGACTCAAAAGAGAAATAAATTTGAACACACATACAAAATTATAGTTGGCTTCTGATTCTTGCCTTAATTATTCAATTTGATCATCAAATTTTGATCATGGCAAACGATTCCTCACTACCGATTTCTCACTACCAAATTTCCTTATACTCATTCTTCTTGATTTTATCAATAATCCACTTCATTAAAAAAGGGAGTTTAAAGAAAATCTTTTTTTTTTTCATTTTTTTATTAAATATAAAAAAAGCTAAATTAATTTAATCTTTAAACGAATGAAAATTAATTATTAAAAACACTTTACAAGGAATAAAAAATATTTCAAAAATTATTTAAGGGGACAAACAATTATTATTTATATATTGAATTTCCTAAATGCATTGTTAACTTGGAATACAAACTTTTCCGTGTTGAAAATAATATGAACAATATCTATAAAATATTGTTAGAAATAACCTTGTTAATCACACGAATAGAAAAAAATTTAAAAACAATGCAGTTAGGCTGATATTCATGGCTGCGGACCGACGAAAATCTTGAAATATTTTTTGTTCCTTGTAGTGTTTTTTAAATATTCGTTTAAAGATTAAATTAATTTAGCTTTTTTCTTAATATTTAATAAAAAAAAGAATTTCTTTAAACTCCTTTTTTTGAAATGAAGTGGATTATTGATGAAATCAAGAAGAATGAGTATAAGAAAATTGGTAGTGAAAAAAATGGTAGTGGAGTGAGAAATCGGTAGTGAGGAATTGTTGGCCTCATTTTTTTTGTCCAACTCAGAAGTTGAATATAACGCGGAACGAATTTATTGATTGTAATATTTAATGTCCAAAGAAACCGTCGTTTGCGTGTTTATCAGTTTTATTTTATAGTTATTTCGCCGTTTGTACCGAACAATGACCATATTCGGAAATGTTGATTTTTCCTTCGGCGACTTCTCTTCTTTAGTGTAGCATACATGCGGACAAGCAATTCCTTCGTCCACCATCCGTATGGTCCGAATCCATACTTCCGTTTGAGTACGTTAAAAAACAAAAACAAATTTTTGTTTCAAATAGAAGGGAAGGTTGGCCGCGGACTAATTTTTCTCGGCCGCGGACGGAGGGATGTCGGACGTCCGCATGGATGCACAATTTGGGTGTTCCCTTAATTACACACACGTATTGTAATTAAACCCCAGCATATTTCTTTCTTCTTAAAGAATTTACCAGGAAAAAATATGTATATGATGTTGGGAAAGTTTTAGTCATATATGATTTCGAGGAAAAAAATGATACATAATCAAAGTAATAAATAAACAAAAAAATTTTCAATGTTTGATTTCACAATATGGGTGTCATTCACAACATTCGCGTGGCACGGTGAATAATTCTTGTGCTGCCATCGCCTTTGAAGGCACATCGGCAAAATTCTCGAGACTGCCGGTGGTATCTCAGGTAAATGAAAATCAGTCGAATTCAGAGAAAAATGAAATATCAATTAACCTGATTCGAGTAAAAATAATTAAAATTCGATTCGAAATTTTGGTTTCGATTCATAGATTAATTTATATTCGATTTCGATTGAAAACGCAAATTATTTTCGAATCCGATTAATTTTCATTTACCTGACAAGGGAGGTCATTTTGCTGTCCGTCTTAAAATTTTTTTATTTTTTGCATACAGATTCTTTAGAAAATTTCCAATCGAATGGACTAGGTCGCTACCTGCGCAAACTTCTAGTTATCGAGATATGGACCTTCAAAGTTTTAGCCCCTCCTCACGTGAATTTTGCACACAAATGTGCGGAAACTCGAAATGAAATAACGTGATGTCTTATCTCGCGCTTATATCCTGTTTCGGCAAGCAGTTGTCACAGATAAACGGCAGCATAGGCACAATGGAAGCATAATGGAACGGCTGTGGATATCATAGGAATCTTATATGCAAGTTATATGGAAGCATAATGGAAGCATTTTTTTGCGGAACCGCGTGTTTCGTATATGGAATGAGCCGTATGCCTTCCATATGGGCAAATAAGAAAACAATTTGATTGCTGTATTCAAAATTTATTTCATATTAACACATTTATTTAATTTAAAATAAAAAAAACAACATTGAAATGAATTTCAATTAAGATATAATCAAACAATTAGTTACTGGCAACTGCCGAACTATTCGAATCATTGTCAGTACTGACATCGAGCGGGACGCTGTAATAAGTAGAATTCATATCGTTCACACTTGGTTAAAAAGCCGTGTTATGATATTTTTAAAAACAACAACTATTGCTAAGAAATTAGGCAAAAGTCCTAATGCACATTTAACCTATCCTTTTTTCGCAAATATACGCTTGTAGAAAGAAACCGTTATCGAATTTTTACCTTTTCTCCACTTTTCCTAGTCGCTACACTTCGATTATAA